AGCGGATCAACGGCGCGTCAACTTAGTTCCTGGTCAGCTCGCGAGTTGATTTTATCACGTCCTACACCGTCCATAAGATGGGGGGCCACCTCCCATTTCAACACCTCTCAAACACCCCGAGAGGTCGGCAGGCGGATTTGAACCCGGACGTGCCGTAACGCGCCGGGAGCAGAAGCCAGGCCTTAACCTCTGCCAGCCGCCCGCCTATACATGCAGGTAACTGCCATAGTGGGCACGTTGGCCGCCGCCGCCGCCATCTACTGGTCCGAGCCCTGGTTGTACCCTCTGCTCATCGTGGTGGGCTTCATCATCACCAACATTACGGAACGGAAGATGGACCGCCGGCTCTCTGTACGTTGTGGGCTCGGGGCGGGGGGGGGGCGCGGCAGAGATAGGGTATGACGGTATGGGCGAACCGGATGGCGCATCGGATTCATGCGCCTTTTGTTCTTTGCGGGAGGGCGGTGAGGGCGCAGAGTTGGTCCCTCCACCGATATGCCCACTCCCTTCAAGCAGCTATCCGTTCTCCCCCTCCCACACACACAACCACCTTTCGCATCCGACTCCATGGAGGGTGGGGAGGGAGCTGGGTTGCCAGGGTTCACAAAGCGCCCTTCCGCCGAGTACGCCCCACAGCAGCTGCATGGGCTGCCGCGCTTTCCCACACGCCGCCGCTTTCGTGTCCCTCCTCCTCCTCCTCCTCCTCCTCCGCACACCCAGGGCAATGATGGCGGCGTGGAGTCGCTCGGCTTCGGGATGCTGGGCGGCGGCGTCCTCATCGCCACCTGGGTGGTCGTACTGGTGGTGGTGCTCGTCCTGGCACGGACCAGGTACGAACACGGCGACGGGCCGCTCAACTGGTTCGAGGTGTTCTACCGCATTGGGTCCATCATCTACGGAGGCGGCCAGGTGGGTTGCGGGCTTCGGGCGGGAGGGCAGGAGGGCGGGAGGGCAGGAGGGCGGGAGGGGGGGAGAAATGGTTGGGGGGAGGGGAGGAAGTCGAGGAGCAGGGGGCCGCCTCCATATTTCAAGAAGAAGTCAGCAGCTCTGTTACTGTTGCGGGGGAGTCGGAGTGTGTGTGCGGTTGTGTGGTTGAGATGACATTTGACAGGGCATGGCGCCGTGCCCAGGGCGGCTAGGCAGATCTGGCACTAGGCAAAGGGGGCCGGGTGGGCCCTTCCGGGAAAGACTGCCCAGGCCCAGGCTCCAAACGCCGGAGCGGGTGGCAGCGGTGAGGGGCCGCTGTTCCCTTCTCCTGCTGTGAGAGCTGAAGGGACTGCGCGGGGTGGGATAGAGCACGGTGACGCAACACGGCGCCTCGGCCCTCCCGCTTCTATCGGGGCCTGTGACGGCAGCTGGCTTGGCGGGGAGGGACGGGGGCCAGCTGGGGAGGGACGCCACCCACCTGATTCCTTAACTACGGCCCCGGACCCTGTTGTGCAAGCCGCCTTGGTGCCAAGGTCGCCCGCGTGTTTGTGTGCCTGTCTGTTTGTCTGACTGCCTATCGCTCTGTCTGTGGCACGTGTGTGAATTTGTGTATCGGAATCCCCGGACCCCGCTGATCTTCGGGGACCCCCCCACCCCCCCAACCCCACCCCTTGGTTCCTCCTCGACCCGGACCATCTTCACTGACCCATCGCATGCCACCTGAGGAGCCCAACACACTGAGCCTCCTACTGCCTCAAAAGGGGGCCAGACCGGTCCGTCGGTTCACCTCTCTGCTCGCTCCCCCTTTCCCCCTCCAGGTGGTTCTTCCCATGCTGCTCACGGACGTGGTGAAGAAGGGCGAAGATGGAAAGGAGCTGCCCAACACCTGGGTCACGGAGAAGCAGTTCTATGCAGGCCTGGGTGCTGTGCAGGTGGGGGCGGCCTGGCGGGGTTGGGGGGAGGGACTGAACATCCCGGTCGCGGGGTCAGGGGCATGCAGCCCCTGAACAGCTGCTGTGTTCCTCCTGCCCCGGAGGAGCCCTCCGTGGGAAGGAAAGCTTTCATCACCATCATCATCATCATCAGCAGCAGCAGCAGCAGGGAAGAGGATCTCCGTGTAATGTAATGTGATGTAACGATTATAATATAATTTGCCGTTTCTTGTTTTTTGCTTGTTGTTGAAGCAATACCGGTAGACTAGTCTCCCGTGCTCACACGCGCTCGTGTGTGTGTGTGTGTATGTGTGTGTGTATACACACACCTTCCTTTGTCCCGCTCACCCTCCTTCCCTCCTTCCTCGCCTCTCAGGCTATGCCCGGTCCTCTGTTCAACTTTTCGGCCTACCTGGGCTGCATCATGGCCCTCAAGGTGAGGTGCGGTGCGGGGACTCGCGGCGATATGCGCTCCTTTTCGTAACGCCCGCGCGGCCTTCGTACAGTGACACACAAGCACACTCAAACACACATACATACACATTCTTTCGCTTCTGCCCCCCCCCCGCTGCTGCTGCAGTTCAAGTACCCCTTCATTCTGGGCGCCGTGTTGGCGTGGTTCGGTCTCTTCTCTCCCGGCGTGTTGCTGATGTTCGGAGTGCTTCCCTTCTGGAAGCGGTTCCGCACCTGGCAGGTGTACCGGAGGGGGCTGTCGGGCATGAACGCCGTGGGTGTGGGGCTGATCCTTGCCTCCGTGTTCAAAATGGCACTGGACGTGTACCACATTAGTCCCTTCAAGACCGCCTCCCTTTGCATCGCCCTCTTCGCTTTCACAGGTAGGTGTTTGGGAGGTAGTGTGGGAGGTAGTGTGGGAGGTAGTGTGGGAGCCCGCCAGCATAGCAGCTCTCTAAAACTCCTACTGGCATGTATGTATGTATTTATATGTATGTATTTATGTGTGTATGTGTGTAAGACGTATGTATGCACGGCTGTCTGTTGCTTACGGCTTCGCAGCGGTGGACGAGCTGAAGATTTTCGAGCCATTTGTGGTGTTGGGCGGCGCGCTCCTCGGGCTCCTCGGCTGGGGCGTCGAGCTGCATTGAGGAGCTCCGCGGCTCCCCCGAGCTGGCTCCCCTGACAGGGGCCTTATCCCCGGGCCGCGTTACCCGCAGCCGTGGGGCGAGGGCCCGGCACTGGACCGATCCTCGGAGTCCCCGGGTAGCTTACCTCGGAGTAGGGGGAAGGGGAGGGGGAGGAAACCGGGAAGGGAGGGCCAGGGACTGCTGTGTTAGCCGGTGCGTGCTGAGCAGCGCCGCACCGCCCTTGCCGTACCGCAGTAGCGGCATTCCAGTATGATGCGGTGGTGGGACTGAGCGGGCGAAAAGGGTGAAGGGCTTGAAGGCGCGGGTTGCTTAAGGGTGTGTGGGGGGGGTGGGGGGTTGAGCCCGGGGTGCACATGTGTGGTCGTAGCTGCTGCTAGCCAGGTACTTAGGTACGGTCGCGGGGACACTCTAGTGCGTCATGACAGACAAGAATACGGATTGACAGATGGGGGCGGAGGCCGACAAGCACGGTACGATCGCACCTACGCCGCAACCGGTCGCTGTGGCTCCGGTTGGCTGGCTGGGGTCTATGGAGCGCGGACGCACAACACAGGTCAGGTTCAGTTGGTTAATTTACCGGTCAGGTTGGTTGGTTGGTTGGTCGGTTAGTTGCAAATGGGGCTGCCATTTTGGCCCGTGCCTGCCCGGTGACGCACGGCCCAGTGGCAGTGCCCATACCCGGGCTCGTCATCGCCACTCGGCATACACTAGTAAGATGTCGCTATAGAGCATGTTTGCACGCTCGTGAGTCCATCCATGCATTGTATCTAAAGTAGCAACGGAAGCAGCTGACTGAAGAAATCGGGTGCAATCGGGTGAGCGGAGAGAGAAGGCAAGGCAATTAGTCTAAAGCAGCTCGGTGTGCCGTGGGGGGGAGGGGGGGGGGAGTTGGAGGTTGGATTGCTCAGAAACAACAACGTGGTTCCTAGGGCTGGACTGCATGCTTAGAAGGATGGCTGTCCCCTGAATGGTCTTCTGGATGTCCGGAGGCCGTTTGCGGAGGGGATACTCACAGTTTGTGACATTGGGTTGGCAGCATTGTGACCTAGGGTATGAAAGGGCCCCTACTACTTGTTCGCTAGGTAACGTGAGCAGTAAGTCGAGCCCTTTTGGCTTGGGTAAGAATATGAAGCTGCTGACCGGGAAGAGAGAGGGGGGGGGAAAGGTGTGCATCCATAATATCGCAGCAGACTTTATTACATTGTTATGTACGGAACAAATGAGTCGACTGCTTTACACGAGTACGGCAGCTTGTGAGAACATGAATGCGGTCAGTCAGTTGAACGCATGAATGTGCAAAATAACGAAGAGAGAGGCAGAGGGGGGCAGTGAGGGGGTCAGGTGCGCGCGCGAGGCACCGAGTGTATCGGAGGGAAGTGTGAGAGCGGAGAGGACGCTCCAGCAGGAGCAGGGGCAGCATCAGCCACGGGGGTTGTCGAGGGTCTCTTTCGGCGCTTGCCCCGGAATGGGGTGCGGACGAGTGCGAGCTCGTGGGGGTGTTTCCTTCTTCAATGGCAATACAATAAAATGTGCTTTCGTGCTGTTGCGCGTCTCCCCAATGCGACGAGACTAATTTACGCATGTGCACGTGTGTAGGGCTGTGGGCGGTTGGGAGTCCTGTGCATCCTGTGGACTCGCGCCACCTTGTCTGTGAGCTGCCTGCATGGTGTGTAGACTCGGTGTACCCCCCAAGCGAAATGGACAACCGGTCGCGCTGTAGACACCTAATGATACTGGAAGATGGTTTAGGAGCTCAAGTCTGCGTGGCTAGGGTTCGCGTGCACGTCGTAAGCGCTACTTTCGCGCATCATGGAAATTTGGAACTCAATTGGTATACTATGGGATTGCGACGCGCTGTTGCTGTTGCTGAGAATAGTTCGTCACGTCATCGAATGAATAACTGTGTTACTGGGATTCATAGCGCACATCGCGCAGCTTTGCTATTCGGTGCGTCTGCCGTGCGAGGCATTATGCGTTTGACTCGTGCCGGACTGCTGGTTGCATGAGGGTTTGGGGAGACGCAAAAAACAGTGAACTCAAGAGTGTCAATACTTCGACTTGTGGGGTTGTGCACACGGTGCTGCAGCAGCCCAATCGTAAATTGAGTTGGCTTCTCCCTGCTGAAGTCCTTTCGGATTCTCTGTAAGAAGGGAAAGCGTGAGCACCTCAGTTGCTTAGGAAGCCTTCTTACCTGATCCACCATTCTCCTCGGGAAAGGTTAGCGATTGTGGCAAGTGATGAGCGTGATGAATAAGCTACCAACGTCGTCAGTGGTGGGGATCTGCGGAAATGGGGATTGGGGCACCTCAGACCACGGAAGTCGGTTAATGCTGTGCGACGCAAGGCAACTGTCAATCGTTGCCGTCGTTGGCAAGCGGTATTAGGTTGCGTAATCCTGAGTCCCAGACCAATTGCGGCATCGCTTACTGCCAAAGATTTTGTGTTGGCATCTTAACGCTAACTACATTCGCGAAGACGATAGCAGTTGGCATATCAAATGGTTTTGAAACCCTTCTTCAATACGGTTAAAAGTATTGAAATGCATGCATGGATAAGGATTAGTAGAATAATATCCTAGCTCATAATAATTCGATAATACTGACAAGCTCATCCATCTAGGACAAAACCATTCACACGATGGTTGCTTGACGCAGCGTATATTAACTTTCTATGGCCTGCAAGGCATGCGAAGAAAGGTATATGCACGCTTTGAACCCGGAACGCAACCGGAAGTCGATCAGCACGGCGCGGGCCAGCTACAAATTCAATTGGACTATCCAAAATAATCCGTATCCTTGCCGATTACCATCCTACGTAAAGCTTGGGAGGTTAACGGCGGCGGTAGAGGTCAGCAGTCGGCGTAAGGCTACGGCAATGACTGCGGCGACGCCGATACCTGGGGATTTGCAGACGGAGGTCCTCTCTCTGGTACCCGCTGAACTCAGTTGCGATACCACGTTTCCAAATGGCCAGCCACCCTGCCACCCTTGCATAGCGCGCGCCGCAGAGGCGCTGGCCGCGGGCGAGGTCGTGGCAATTCCAACGGAGACAGTCTATGGCCTAGCCGCGAATGCTCTTTCCGCCTGTGCAGTCGGTCGGGTCTATACCGCAAAGAACCGCCCTGCCGATAACCCGCTCATCGTCCACGTGTCTTCCCTGGACATGCTCGCGTCGCTCTACCCCCCTGGCTGGGCCCTCCCGTCCGTCTACGAGGCTATTGTTCGCGACCTGTGGCCAGGCCCATTAACCATCCTCCTCCCCCGAAGCCACCTCGTGCCCGACGTAGTGACGTGCGGCCAGTCCACCATGGCTGTCCGCATGCCCGCACACCCAGTGGCGCTGGCGCTCATCGCCGCCTGTGGTTTCCCGCTTGCCGCTCCCTCCGCCAACTCCTCGGGCCGGCCGTCCCCCACGTTAGCTCGCCACGTACTGGATGACCTGGGCGGCCGCGTGCCGCTCATCTTGGACGGTGGAGCCTGCACTTACGGCGTGGAGAGCACTGTCTTGGACGGGCTGCGGAACCCGCCTGCCATCCTCCGGCCGGGCGGCATCACACACGAGCAGCTGGCTGGCTACCCCGGTCTGGAGGGGCTGCAACTCTACCGCCGCGATTTTGTGGATCCGCAGCTGGAGGCGGCGCCCTCGACGCCAGGTATGAAGTACCGGCACTACAGCCCCAACGCGCCAGTATTGCTGCTGGATCCAGGGGACGCACCCGCGGCTAGCGTGAGCGATGAGGCACTGGCTGCGCGGTTGCGGATAGGTACGGAGTTGTTGCTGGAGGAGCTCCATGCACAGCGGAGGGATGCCGGCGTTGCTGCCAGTCGCAACGAATGTGATGGCACGGGGACACAGGCGAGGACGATGGAGCAGCAGCAACCTCAGGGCCAGGGAGATCCTAACTCTCATGAAATGCCCACCGTTGTTAGGCCCGTGGTGCAGGTGGGAGTGCTGCGCACGAGCCTTCTAGGGCTGCGCACCGGCCCGATGCCACATCGCCATAGCTCCGAGTCGTCATCGCTGCTGTCGTGCCCCAGCCCAAGCACCTGTGCTAACGGTGGGTCGGCCCTTGATTCGCGCAGTGAGCAGCAGGCACCTGGGCTACAGCCTGGTGTGTCCAGGCAGCAGGATAAGTTAGAGGAGGCACGACAAGGCGACCTGTGGCCGCAGCGATTGCCTCCCTACGAGTACGTGCTGGGCCACGTGTCCCGGCCGGCAGCGGTGGCGAGCGAGCTCTACGCCGCACTGCGTCACATGGACGAAGTGGGTGTAGCGGTAATTGTGGTAGAGGGTGTGCGTGATACGGGCGCCGGGGTGGCAGTGATGAACAGGCTGCGGAAAGCGGCGAGTCGTGTGGTGGCGGTATGACTGGCAATCGCAATTCCGACTCAAAACAGATGTTCCGTTGCAGCCTTCTGCAACGCGGGCGTGCGGGTGGCGTGTCGTTCGGATTTACTTCATGAGGTGATCAGCTCCGGTCTGACACTTATCGCATGATGCCTCGGAGGGCAGCAGCTGCGCCACGGAGGCGTTACGAGGGCCAATGCGACCGAAAGGCCGAGACCTGAGGGGTGGGGGGTGGGGGACAACATCGGGGGGAAAGTGGGGGCGGGGAGATGCGCGAACGGTAGCGGAAGGGAATATCCTGGCAGTGAATTGAGCACTGGGTAGGACGCATGGAATGCGAGTAATCTGCGCGAATGCGCTGTATGGTGTGTGCACGTCATTTACGTGGTGTAAGTAGACGTACCCACAGCCATAGAGGTACCATAGCAGGTATAGGTACTCTCCCCCCCCGAGAGGGGGGAAAGTAGGGTGTAGAGGGGGGCCCTGGCCCCCAGGATTCAAGCCATTTCTTAATATGACTGGCAGTAGCCGCTGAGCCCTGCGTTTAATGTGATATTTTGTTCTTCGCTCCCACCACAATGCATGATGCATTAGCCCGATAGCAAGCGCCTTGCGAAGCACAGCAACAGGTAGCTGATGAGCTCTTGGTTACACTGTAATAGTACGCACGAAAGGACACGCAGGGCTTACATCGCAGTGCACACGATAATCTTATGCCAGTTGCGTCTCGAAACGCAACGGCAATGCTACATCCGAAACAATTGATCTCCACGTCGACGCCAAGAAGCCCTACACCGCTGTAGCGGCCGGTCATGAAAGACGCTGCCTGCCAAACTACGAAAGAATCCCAAGGGCGGTAATCATTCTTAACCAGAGCAGTACGCCAGGATAAACGTCCAGGACTGGCGGACAATGCTAGGCGCGACGACAGTCCTCGACAGCTGTGCCGCACATCACCATAAAACAGATTCGATATGAAAAGGCGCAATCTTCTGGGCTCGTAACTCCAATAACACCTGCCCACTCTACACTTCAGCCATCCTTGCGCAGACAGGCCCTGTTGGGCCAACTAACTACCATGATTATCCTGCTGGGGGAGCGGCACCTTACTAGCCCCCTCTACCAATCCGTGCACGCATACGCTTCCGATTTTAATTATGTCCGTCAATCTCCGGTTGTCAGCACGTCCAAAATGACATAATCGTCACTCCGCCAGCCATCACTACCGCAAAGTTATAACCGTTCATTACGCTAAGTGATGCACATGTACATGACGCTATACCGCACTGGGACAGAGTGCCACAAATCCTCACTGCTCACACTGAAGCGCAAAAGAATAACGAGACACAGGTCCGAAGGCATGAGGTTCTTGACATGGCGCGTGCCTAATAAATTGCGACCATAGACCAATGCTGCGTGTTTTCTAACCCATTGCAGTTCGGCGGCCAGTTATGGCGGGAAGTGCTTAACCCACAGATCACGACATCAGGCATGACCACACCGGGCATATCACAGCCCCGTGGGCATGGGCGGGCTCGCGCCGCTCCATGCCCAGATACACCTTATGTCACAACGGGAGGCCACATAACGGAGTTCGCTGTACGCTTGGGGGCACTTGCAAGGAATCCATACTAAAGCGAGAGGCAGGTGCCCCACCTGCCTGCCGTCACGCGGGCCAACCACAGCCCCAACCGAGTAATTGATTTATACGAATGTGCGCAATTTAGAACGTATGGACGAGCCATCTCCATTGCTTCCGAAGAAGAGGCGGCCCCTTATTTGGCCCACCGTTACTACGCACGCGGATCCCGCTAACTGTCCCAGGATAATGTAACCAGTACGACCAGGATGGTCACATGTCAGAGACGGATAACCGAGAACCGACAGAATGATTACCTGGCAACATCGTGCCCCACGACATGGAACCCACAGGAGAAGGCTTATTTTTACTGATTTCTGCAATATGATTGACCGGACTCTCCGCCTACACTTCCAGAATTTGCACGATGGCGTTGTACACCACATCCATGTTGGCGCTACCGGTCATGACGGCTACTCGCAGGGTAGTGCCGTCGCCACACAAACCCTTGGACTGTGTAAATGCAGCCACGCCGGCCACTAAGCCACGCACTTCGGCGATGTCTCCATGTACTACTGTCTCGGGTACTAGGTAGCCAACCTGCAGGTCAGGAAACGGCACAACCACAACAGAAGGCGCCGTGCTGCCATCAGCGCACACCAGCAGATGCCACAGGATCGCAACCAGCGTCGCTGCGAGTTGCGTCCCACGGGTGCTACGTAACCCCAAGCCTACATGAACCCACTACAAAAGGGGACCTAACAACGGTCATCATTCCAGCACTAGCCTTATGCGATGTCAGCTCAATGTCGGTCCCTACAAGCAATACGCGTGACTTCAGGAAGACGGACGATTACGACTGCTTCAATCAAAGGGCACTGTCGTGTTGTAGGACATTAGCCCCTGAAGATGACGGCCTTTGGTTGGAACGATAACAGGAAGACTCTTGGCTGGGCGTATGCAGTTTACTCATCAACCATTAGTCTCATCGCAAAGATTGGTATGGTTCATTGTAAGGCGGCAGCGCGTGACGTTGTTGGTACGCAAGTGAACCAACCTGTCCAAAGTAGACCTCCCGCTGCGACACGACGGACTGATGGCTTGACACTACCACCAGAGGTACGGGCGGCCGGTATTTTGTCACGATGTTAGCGGCCTCGCCGTTGTCCGACACCACCACGCACAGTCCCAGTTTGGCGTCCATGCAGGCCTTGGCCAGCGCCACCGCGGCCGCCTCCACCGTATTGAATGGCTTGGCAGAGAAGTCCCTGTGTTTAGGGAACCACCATAAAGGAATGCCAAGTATTTATCCATGTCCTGATTCCAACCGGCTGGGCGTACACGTACCGGCTTGAGCGCATCTCTCAATCCTATCCTGGTACGTATGCTGACCGTAAGTCATGGATAACAACCGTGTCCCACAGCAGCTTCACAACGTGGTCAGCGCCGCGCACCTGATGAACGAGTGCATGGATGCGTAGCTGGTGGCGTGCTCCGCGTTGCGCACAATGTTGGCGGCCGTGCGGAGGGAATCTGCCGGAAAGGCGCCAATGGCAGTTTCGGAGCACAGCATAAGGCAGGAGGCGCCATCGAGCACGGCATTGGCCACATCCGTCATCTCGGCGCGGGTCGGCCTGGGGTTGCCCACCATGGACTCCAGCATCTGGCGGGAGATGATAACCGGCTTGCCTGCAGCAGAAGGTGCGCGACATTGGTAACAGTGATCAGCATGGTTTGTGCACTTAGATTGGCAGCCATCGCCACAACACGCCGCAGAGCTCCCACAGGATGGGACAGCACATGTTACGAGCTGCTGTGTAGGCGCGTTCACCCTTTGAATCAATTCCGTCGTTTTTGACAAGTAAACGATACGCCAGCAGTTGTGGTTAAAAAGACGGAACCGTATGCATCCTTCCAACTCTGCTCCTGACACGTTCCAAGCCCCTTCAGCACGCGCCCGCACGCACCCGCAACGTTTGCTTTTGTTACAACGACGCTCTGGGCAAGCGCCACCTTCTCTGGTGTCACCACCATTCCCAGCTTGCCGCGGGCCAGCATCACTGCGTCTGCAGCCTCCAAGATCTCGTCCAGATTACGAAGCGAGTCTTCGCTCTCAATCTTGGCGATCTGAAAAAGGTTCACGCGCGCGAAGTATAGGCATCAACTGATGAATCATGCTGCTTCCACGCCGCTATCGCCGTTGTACCAGCCCAAGACGATGTCAAGACACCAATTGCTTAGATACTCAAGCAATAGCAAACAAACACATCAAAGGTGTATACAACACCATAACAGCACTCAGACGCATGCAATACACATGATGACTGGCCCCTCGGTCACTTTTGCCACTACCTACAAATTTCCATCCAACACTCGCGGCTACTCACCAGCTTAATTGTCTCGCCTCCATTGTCGTCAAGGAAGCCGCGAACAGCTGCCAGGTCATTCCGGCCACTAGCTCCAATTGCGATAAATTCGACCTGCAGACGCAAGGAATGGGTGTACGTGCCTTCACATAGCAGGATGGAATTTTTATGATCCTAGAAACACAGACAGCATGCCTTCACCGGCAAGCCGGACGGACGCTTCCCGGAACGCTCTCCAGTGCACTCACCTGGTTTGTGAGGGCGAATTCTGAGATGGCCTCCACGTCTCCAGCGACAGGCACCGCTGCATGGATGGTGACCCCCACCAAGTGCACTGGCTGAGGGCAGCAGAGTCAAGGGTTTGGATCAGGGCAGAGATGAGAAAAATAAGAGGAGCATACTCCACTGCAAGTTTGGGCAGCGAGTCCAGTGAGTCCATCGCAGCTCCTTCAGCGCTCGAGATGCGAGCACCTATGACTTACAAAACCCAAAATCAACGGAGATCACCCCTGCCGGTACCTGAAGTAGCGTGTTGCGAGACCCAAACGTGTCCCAGACGCGCCCACATGCCTACCTTCCGGGGATACAGGAAGGCGTGGTTGAGGACAACGCCATTGACAGGGCCACCGGGCCGCACGGACGTCACTTCAATGTTGATGAGGCCGTCCTGGATACGAATTAGCCCTCCCACCTTGACGCAGTCTGGCAGATCCGCAAGCGATACGCCAATCCGCACCTGCAAGTTCACGGGTATTGTCGAGTTCCATCAAGATTTCATCCATCTCAGGGACCAAAATGATGTGGCAGGCATCTGAAGGAAGTGCTATGCCGTACGTACCATCATCCGTAATCGCGCGCGAAGCGATTATGGTCATCTCAGACAAATGATGATTACTCCTTTGCTTTCACCGGAGCATTACTTTCATCTGGGCTAATGCCATGCCTTGAGCACTGCAAGTCTACGCCATGACTAAGCCACGTCCGGGTAAAACGAAGATGCATGGTTAAATCGTGTCCTGCATTGGCGTTGGCGTACCAAACCCACCTTGTCACCAGCCTTGTACCCCACGAAGTGTGACGGTGATGTATCATCTGTGCCGTACATCTCAACCTTGTCCCCCACCTGCACATTACGTGGTCACACGGTTTAACTCATCAACTCCGCACAGCTTACAACTGGATGCAAGGCTTGCTCGCTGCCGAGGAAAATGCGGTTACTATGTGCCGCCATTCCGGCAAACGACGGGTGAAATGCAGCCATGGCCCACGGCCAGCTGCAATCACCTGGAGCTCAATCTTATCGATGGGCTTCCGCGTCTCCCGGTCGATTAAATAGCTTGTGCGCATGACGCTACCCTCCAGGTCCAGCATCACAGCCACTGTTCGTTTTTCCTCGGCACAGATACTGCAATGGTTGGGTAGGACAGGGCATGGCGCGGCTAGCGCATTAATAAGGGAAATGTCGACATATGTCAACTAGCTAAGGCATGGGTAACGAACCAAGCAGTTCGGAGCTCTTGCCACAGTCAAGACGACTAAGACAAGGAAGCACATATGTCCAAGCCATGTCAACGCAGTCCAATACGCGCATGGGTTCTAAGCAGCAGGCACGCAAGTTCTTTGACATAAATGGTACATCTCGCCCAACAAAACGGTTGCCCTACATAAGGCAAACGCCACTTCTTAATTGCTGCAAACCTCATGCCGATGCATGAATGGCAATAAACGCACCTCCGCAATTTCACGTACATCTCCTGTTGCCATTGCATAGTGCCATGCGCGACGTTAAACCGCGCGATGTTAGCGCCACTGGTCACAAGCTGCCTCAGGACCTGCAGCATGAAACCCGACGTAGCAGATTACGTTATGGACCCTAGCCGCCTCCTTCAGGGGCGCAAGGCAAGCGACCATCAGACACTTGTCAACCTCAGATGCCTTCGTATCAGTGCACCTGACGCATTGACGTAGACACCGTTTCTCCTTAGCCGTACCTCGTGGTCGCTGCAGGCGGGACCCACGGTGAAGCCCAGCTTTGTCTTACGGACCGGGCTGTCACTGCTGACCAGCATGGGCAGGTCAATGGTCGTAGACCTGGGTGGTGGCCAGAAATAGCAAAGCAATCGCACTGAGAAAAACTTCCCAACTGTGTCAGTACTCAATTGTTATCTGGTGCGTAGTATCTAAGGGCCTGTAGGTGGCAAACGGCGTAGCTAATTCCACACTGCCCTAACGTGTGACCCCGACCCCCTGCGTGATTTCAAAACCCGGGCAGCCCCGGCGCACCCAGAGGCGCATTGCTTGAGGACATTTGCACGCACCGCAAAGAGATGGTTTTGGCCACGAACTTGGGGTCCAAGGCGGAGCTGCTATACGCCAACGAGCCCAGCGCGTCCATGTTCAGGGCACCCGGTGCGATAGTGACAAAGCTCTCACGCTCTGGCAGCGTGTCCATTGAGTCCAGGCTTCCCCCGCGCGCTACCATGTTGCTGATCAGCACGAGCACCTATCGGGGTGTCAGGGCACAACCTCAGGCGAGCAGCGACTCAATCTAGGCATACAGATTGCTTTCATACCGTCCAAGACACGTGCAAATCATGGCCAACCACGATGTTGTTTGCCTTAATCACCGCGAACTGCCTCACGTTTATTAAAATAACGGAATGCTGGTTCCTCAGTCAGTGGCCGCATGGTAAGGACTGCGGCAATGGAGGCTCCAGGCTACCCTCATCAGGCAATCGTCTAGCGCGGACCCCACTTGCCTCTTTGCCCGCGACGCACAGGCCACGCTCCACGCCATAAGCCATGGCCTCCACCAACGCTGTCTGCATGCCTGTGACATCCCGGATGGGCATCCGCAGCAGCTTGGGATAGCAGCCAAACAACGCGGCGCAGTATCGTGCCAACGACGCGTTGCTTGTGACCACCAGCACAGGCGCGAAGGGCCGATATTTGGCCAGTAAGCGAGCCACCTTGCCACCCTCCGAGAATACGACGATCATGCCTGGCGGGTTGGTTAGGGTTTCAGCATGGCAACATGAGCCGTTCAGCACTATAGACACAGCATTAGTGGATGTGAGAATGTGAACTAAGCAGGAAACATACAGTCGCCAGTGTCAGAAAGATTGTGGAATTGTGGGAAAAAATTGCGGACTTGGCCAGACGGCACAGGCAGACAGGACATGCAAACAGCTTGTCTGATCACTATTGGATGACACGCCACACTTTCTGGCTTTCACGCCTGCATCATGAGTCTGGCTTGGTCTCACCGGGCCGAATGTCAACGGCATTCTTGGCAAGTGTCGAGCAGATGGCTTCGATCGGCCCCACAGGCTTGGGCGTAAATTTCCGGATGTAGTCGAAAGACTGGTAGAAGTTGACACCAATCTCCGCAGAACGCGCGATGCGGGCCATGGTCTCGACGGCTTGCGCAGGGTACGCGCCATTCGCGCTTTCGCCTGTAAGGCAAATTTATCGGTTACGGCGGTGGTGAAGTCCCACCAACCCATACCAAATAGATTTGCGTTTGGAAGATGCCCCAATTACTTCGTTAGCTCCCATCCTGGCATTACGGCACATCCGATAACCTACCCGAGAGCATTACCGCGTCCACTCCGTCCCATACGGCGTTTGCCACATCAGTCATCTCAGCGCGTGTTGGAACTGGGTTCGTAATCATGGACTCCATCATCTGGGTCGCGCAGATCACGAACTTGCCGGCGATGCTAGCTTTCGTAATCAACATCTTCTGTGCCAAAGGCACCTGCGGCAGTTGGCGAATGATACGACAATAGAAGAATTGAGTGGAACAGTACTCCATCTCCGCAGAGTTATGGCATGGACATGTAGGCGACTACGTTTCCTACCACGCATCAACAACTAAATCATGACCGACTGGAAATAATGGTTTAATGGCAACCCCTCCCGAAACCCGCCAGGTCGAATGAGGAAGGCTAAGCTCACCTTCTCCACAGGAATCTCCATGCCCAGGTCGCCGCGTGCAACCATGACGCCGTCCGTAACCTCCAGAATCTCGTCGAAGTTCCGCAAACCCTCCGCATTCTCGATCTTGGAAATGATTTTAACCTGCCGCATCCATTATAAAACCAGCAGGAGGGACGCTGCCTAAAAAATACGAGTTTATAACGCATGACATACAGGCACCGCCAGTCGATCGCTCATCCTTATGAGCCAGGCTGAACGGATTAAGGCCTGCCCTTGTGACAACTATTCAAACTTACATTCGTGCCGCCTGCGTCGTCCAGGACACTGCGGATGAAGAGCACGTCCTGCTGGCTCTGCACAAAGGAGGCCGCCACGAAGTCCATGTTATGCTTGACGCAGAAGTTCTGCAGGTCATTCTTGTCCTTCTCGGTTAAAACCGGAATGTCGACTTTGACACCTGGCAGGTTGCAATTCTTCCTCTGACCCAGCTTCTTGGTGTTCAATACGGTGCCAATTAGCTTGTTGTCATCCACGATCTCCTCCACGCGAATTGAGATGCTGCCGTCCGCTAGCAGGATGCGATTGCCGGGCTTCACGCTGCTGCAAAGCTTGGCATACGAGAGTCCAATGTGTGTCTCGCCCGTTTCCTCATCCTTGTAGCCCTCCCAGGTGGTGTACTCGTCTCCCACTGCGTGAATGGTCACTTTCTGGTCGACCACCAGCTCAATGTCCTTGCCGCCTCGCAGCATAGCGGTGCGTATTTCGGGACCCTTGGTATCCAACAAGCAGGCTGCGTGAAGTTCCTTCTCAGCGCACACCTGCATAACAAGCGGTGTCGGCCGTCAGCAGACCGTAAACGCAGCGGCCTTAAAGCCCGTGCAGTATTGGCACAAGAGAACGCCAATTGTAACCCCCGCAGCCGGCGTTAGGATTGTCTGCCAATGCCGAGATGCTCAGGTTCCTGACGCATTTTGTTTGTGTTGGTGGCTGCTAAAAGCGTACAGGTACATGTGAGGAGAGGACAAGCAAATTCTGTGCGAAAAACAAGCTGTCCAGAACGAAAACCACGCTATACGTGATGTCCAACGTATATAACAGAGTGCCTATCGGATTTCAAGCAAAATAGGCTATGACCTCATACTACTGCCAACTAAGTAGGGCAAGTCTTTCGGATAGTCTGAATTCGCAAACAGATCATGTCGCGACGGTGTGAACCTAACTTCGTCATTGTATTTCCAGTTATTCCTCCTTTTTCCTTCCGTGATTTTGTGCATTTTTCTATTGACTCTTCCATCAGCCTGTCCGTGTCCAGAGATACCACCCGTTTTGTTCCCCTAAAAGGAGCAGACTCCCCTTCCGTTGGCCCCCTGTCCCCTTTGGGGAAGGGCTCATCAAGTTTGGGAACCGAAAGGTTTACCAAAGGGGATGACACTTTTTGGGTATGACACCCTAGGTATCCCCTTGCAACCCTGGCTCGCATGGGCCCATTACACAAGATGAACGCAACTTTACGTTCAACATACACACACAGAAGGGTCCGCAAATCAATTGGCACTGCATGTGCTGTACATGAAATGTATTAGCTGGCACTACCTCCTAAAACCCACCTTGCGGAAGCGCTGCAGCACCGCCAGATGGCCCTCGTGGTCGCCATGGCTGAAGTTGAGACGCAGTACGTTGCATCCCGCATCTAGCAGCTTGGCAAGCCCCTCCTCCGACCAGCACGCTGGGCCCGCCGTGCAAATGATTTTGGTCTTGCGTACAATAAACTTCCATTTCTCCTGCTCTAGAATTGTGTCAAGCCCAACCTTGGTAGACCTGCGTAGGCGTTGTGTGAACAGATGTTGGCACACAACCCAGGAAACCTCCTCGCTACATCCCTTAATTTGTCCCGAAGCACTACAAGCATCGCAACGCGCTACGGCAGCTGCAGAGCATTGTTAAATAAAGCCAACCCATCACGTACCTGTGGAAGACAATTGTGTCCCCAGGGTAGCAAGTGTGGCTGTACTCAGCGGTCGTCGGCTTCCCGTACACCAATACACGGGCCACCAGGCGTTGATCATCGTAGATCTGTCCAGGATACGGCCGGTTGCGTCACACTATTAACTCATGTCACAATAAGCATATGGCCTTGGTAAATCCAAGGATGGCTTGACATGTCTGTGCTACGAAGGCTGAGGGTTGCTAAACGCCCACACACTATGAAGAATAAGATGCAATTTTAGGCGCTTACTACGCCACGAACCAATCGGTCAGATCTCATGGCTCCGTTATTCAAAGGCGGAACCAGGCTCCACAAATTCCCAGTAACTAGACCGCACAACGGCGGCATACCTGCGTCGCTGAGCTGGCTTTGCGCCTTTGCAGCACCACCAATTGATCGCCCTCCCCGACATCCGCCAGGCCCAGAGCGCGCGCTGCTGAAACCGCCGTTTCCACGAGCTCGCTGATGCTCACGTTCTCGACGTCCTTGGCAAGGACTCCCATTTGCCCGAATATGGACCTGTGCCAGCAACCGGTGTTCGCGATGGAGCCACACACATAACAGCTACAAGCATTCGGATGCTCCCAAATAAAACCCTCGAGCGACGCAAGATAAGTGACGCTTGTGCAGTCATAAGTGCGGTATGGCAACCATAACCCTCCGGCAGAGCAGCAGCAACGTACTCCAGCTAAGGGTCAGGCACGAACGAAACGGCCCTAGCCACAGCCCAAACCATGTATTTGTCCTTGCCCACCTGCAGTGCCGCACTAGCTGCACGTCCGGCGTGACAACCATAACGGGAACCTGCGGGCGATACTTGGACACTAGCGCCGGCGCACGCCCCGATGTGGTGATGCAAACCATAAGCTTCGCGTCAATGTCAATGGCTGTCATGGCGGCGCCGCTGCACACGGCCTCAGCGCCCGTCATCGGTTTTGGCGTATGATTGCGGAGAAAATTAAACCGCTTTGTAGTCTGCGGGCATTCAGGCAGTAACCGGCAGGTCCGTGATGATGAGATAGCCTGTGAGGCCAAGGCAATTTTCACCCAAGCGGCCCACCCACCTCCACCATATGCTCTGCATTGACACAGATGGCGGCCATGGTGGCCACTGCCGCCTCTGGGAAGGAGCCGTTGGCAGTCTCGCCTGCGGAAACGTAAGCACAAGGTCTTAATGCACATGCAGTCCCACTACAGCGCGGGATGCGGCCCGTTGCAACACCATGGCGTGCCTCAGCGCATACACTGCAGACGACGGGAAAATGCCCCAAATGCGTCCGGACACGTCAGATGCTGCCGTTGCAGTCTGGCATGGCTATCCAAGCACTTGACGCCGTGTAGCTAACTCAAGACTTCTTCGTTGTAAAACTTCATGGGACTTACCCGACAGCATGACGCAGTCGGTACCGTCAAGCACTGCATTGGCCACATCTGTCATCTCGGCGCGAGTCGGCCTGGGATTGGTGATCATGGACTCAAGCATCTGGGTGGCGGTGATGATGAACTTGCCCGCGATGTTGGCTTTGGTGATCATCATCTTTTGCGCCAGGGGCACCTGTTGTCCACAGATACTGAAAGTCAAATGACAGGATCCTTGCGGTTGCCATTGGTGATTCATATGCCCGCTCATGAGTTGACAGTCTACATTTAATCAATCACATCCCTGTCCGATATCTTGTAAAGGGTCAACGCTGCACGAACCTTCTCTGCCGCAATTTCCATGCCCAGGTCGCCGCGCGCCACCATAATGCCATCGCTCTCCTTTAAAATTTCGTCGTAGTTCACCAGGCCCTCAGCGTTCTCGATCTTAGAGATGATCTTGACGCGGTTGCCCCCCACATCGTCGAGAACGCTACGAATGAACTGGACGTCAGCCGCACTCTGCACAAAAGACGCGGCTACGTAGTCCATATCATACTTCGCGGCGAAGTTCTGCAGGTCATCAATGTCCTTCTCCGTCAGCACCGGAATCTCCACCTTCACACCCGGCAGGTTACAGTTCTTGCGTTGACCCAATTTCTTGGTGTTCAGCACGGTACCTCGGAGGAGTTTCGTGCTGAGGATTTCCTCTACGAGGATCGAGATGCTGCCGTCCGCCAGCAGGATCTTGTTGCCCTGCTGCACGCTGCTGCAAAGCTTGTCATACGACAGACCGATGCGGGTCTCACCGGTTTCCTCGTCCTTGTAGCCCTCCCAGGTGGTGTACGCCGCTCCGACTGCCTCGATGAGGATGCTCTGTCCAGCAACGAGCTCAATATCCTTGGCTCCCCGCAGCATGGCAGTGCGAATCTCAGGGCCCTTGGTGTCCAGCAGGCAGGCCCAATGCGGTACCACCTTGACGCCTTGCGCTTGGAGCTCTTCCTGCTTCTGCTTGCAGACCTAGGGACACCAAGAGTACAGCAGGTGCGTTGCGATGGTAGTTGAGAGGCGCAAAGGGAACTTCATGTGTCACTGCATGGCCGCCCCCTTTCCTGTGTGGCCGCGTCCCGCAGCAGCCCGTTAAACCACCATGCCCACTCCAGATGTGCTCACCTTCCGGAACCTCTCCAGCACCTCGTAGTGACCCTTGTGGTCCCCATGGCTAAAGTTGAGCCGAATAATGTCCATGCCCGCGTCCAGCAGCTTGCCCATGGTCTCCTCTGACCAGCACGCCGGGCCCATGGTGCACACCAGCTTGGTGGAGCGGCCATGCTTTACTGGCGCGGTAATGAGCGGCAGATTGGTTCGCGTGCTGCGGAGGCTCCGCACGCCAGGCCGCTGGATGGGCACACCCGATGGCGTGTATAGCGTGTTGCCTGTACTCCAGTTTCTCCGTTTAAGGCCAGAGCCACCTGGCTTGACGACCGTGACAATGGGGTCCGAGTCAGCGCTGCCAGTGTGGCGGCCGCGCGCAACAATCATTCGGCAGTCGTGCGCAAAGGGCGGCAGAAGGCCCAGGCTGCGGACCTTCTCCAACGCCTTCTCCGCTAGCTCCTCTGACTCAATCTCCAGGCTCTCCAGTAGTAGTGGCACCTGGCCGAAGCTGACGCTAGCTTGCCGAAGAACCTGTCGCGGTTAGGGGCAGGAGATATCTGGTTAACTCCCCAGCCAACGTAGTCAGTCAACCAATGAATTGAACGCATGGGTTGCGAATTTATGTCTGCATCGTACACACCGTTCGACCTGGGAGTGCTCCTCAATGAAATTGCGCTATCCATTTAAGATGGCAGGCGCCGCGGCAAAATGCTTCTCATTTCCATATGGCAAGACGACCCAGCGGGCGTGAAGGTCTTCGCCGCACAAAACCCACAATAGACCCCTGTCCGGCTCGTCGGTCTGGACTTATGACACTCACTCACCTGTGCGTTGGTGCTGGCCACCACCACGAGGCATGGCGGGCGATACTTTGATATCAGGTTGGCAGCACGACCATTCTCGGTCAGCACCACAACAAGCGTGACGGCAGTACTTCGTGCGACACGCCTGAAGGCCTACGCATGGAAAATTCACAGGACCAGACGGTGTCTCTCACCAAGATCGTCAATGATATCGCAGACGGCTGTGGACCGGCACAAAGCGCTTAAGGTACATGCAGGTAGGTATTGTGCAAAACATGGCAAAGCAGCGGGGCCACATTCGAAGGACTGAACGCTTGGCAACGTTACGCAACGCGTGGGAATCGCCAACACAATCAACGCACCTCCGGCGTCGTGTCCTCGGTAAAACCAACCGCCATGGATGCGGCTGAAGATAGCATGCACTCTGCGGGCTCCATCGCCAGTTCGTTGCCCTTAGTTGCCCAATACCTGAAGTGGTGAAGTAAACTCAGCATTGGTATAGATACCAAGCCTTCCGGATCGGATGGAAACCACGGGTATTTGCCCTGGCCATCCTTATACGCGGAGCACAAGGGACATGGCGCATTTCTGGGCACAACACGACAAGCAGCATGCGCTGCGGATGCAATATGCCTCATACAGCAAATGAAGGGCTGCTGACCTGCGCTCCGCAGGTTCCGTACCGGATAAAGCTGTATTGCGAATAGTAGTCCACGCCGACCTCCGCATTTGCAACGATGGCAGCCATGGTCCGCACCGCCGTATCTGGAAAGTCGCCGTTGGCGCTCTCGCCTGCGGAGAGTAAAAGGGTGCGAGACAAGTCATTTGCATAGAATGCAATGTGGACCACAATGTCGATTAATATCATACTCAGGGCATCAGGCGGCCAGGGCTGAAGCATATATAATGAGGCCACCATCCAAGCTCACCCGAAAGCATGACGCAATCCACACCATCGTACACAGCGTTGGCAACATCAGTCATTTCGGCGCGCGTGGGGCGGGGATTGCTGACCATCGACTCCAGCATTTGGGTCGCGCAGATGACGAACTTGCCGGCGATGTTGGCCTTAGTTATCATCATCTTTTGTGCGACGGGCACCTGATGTAGCAAGCGGGAGCATGCCGGGAGAGCAAAGGCCCGCATTCATACGCCAAGCAACACGGCCCTATGCTATATCTATCCATAGCAACCCCACATGGGCCTCCATTCATTTTGTAGGCGCGCACAAGTGGTTGTGTCATCTTTGCCGTACGGCGACTCTTGAGACCCAGCCATTTCGGTGGTTGAGTACAACCGCCTGCTTAGTCACACGCTTACTTTTTCGGAAGGAATCTCCATGCCCAGATCGCCGCGCGCCACCATAATGCCGTCGCTCTCCCGCAAGATCTCGTCATAGTTGTTTAGCCCTTCCAAATTTTCAATCTTTGAAATGATCCTGACCTGTTGGCCACCGACCGCCGCGTCCAAAGTACGGCGAATGTACCGCACGTCTGCTGCGCTCTGCACAAAGGACGCTGCCACAAAGTCCATCTTGTGCTTGGCGGCAAAGTTTTGCAAGTCATTTACGTCCTTGTCTGTGAGCACGGGAATGTCCACCTTAACGCCTGGCAGGTTGCAATTCTTGCGCTGACCCAACTTTTTGCTGTTAAGCACCGTGCCCCGTAGGACGCGCGCAGAGATAATCTCGTCAACGCGGATGGTGATGCTGCCGTCTGCAAGTAGGATCTTACTACCCTGCTTGACGCTAGCACACAACTTGTCGTATGACAGACCAATCCGGGTTTCGCCCGTCTCAGGGTCCTTGAAACCCTCCCAGGTGGTGTATGCCGCGCCCACTGCTTCCACAAAAATGTTCTGGCCCGCCACCAGCTCAATATCCTTGCCGCCCCGCAGCATGGCGGTACGGATCTCGGGGCCCTTTGTGTCCAACAGGCAGGCGGCATAGCTGCCCTTCTCCTCGCACACCTGCGCAGCCGTGGTGGGTCCCAAGTCACATAGGTTAAGGGCCAATCCTTTTCCTTGGAGAACACGTTTGAGCAGCTCGCTACCCTTTCCCCCGCGCCATGCCATCGTTTGACGGGATCAGCCGCAGCGCATACACCTGGAACAAATACCAATTCGCTGGTTCTGGGTCGTCTGTAGCTTGCATCCGTGCCTTATTTTAGCTACCTGGTTAAGGACTGTGGCGTTGGCCCGCAGCGCTGGGCCCCCAAGCAGGCACATGTACGCATACAAAAGCCACGTGCGTGCCAAACGAGAATGTGCCCAGGATAGCGACTTGCTTTTGCTAATTAATGGTTTCGAGGTATGAAAGCGCCACACATAATGCACACGTAGGTTCGAAGGTCAGTTAGAGCCAAACCGTAATGTGCTGTACATGAAATGTATTAGCTGGCACTACCTCCTAAAACCCACCTTGCGGAAGCGCTGCAGCACCGCCAGATGGCCCTCGTGGTCGCCATGGCTGAAGTTGAGACGCAGTACGTTGCATCCCGCATCTAGCAGCTTGGCAAGCCCCTCCTCCGACCAGCACGCTGGGCCCACCGTGCAAATAATCTTCGTTTTGCGTGCCAATTCCTCCTGGTCCTTCAAGATCATGGCTAATGTGACATTCGTTGCGCGCTCGGAGTGTACGTCCGGTGTTTCCTGTGGCGGCCTAATCTCCTCCGGTTCGTACTCTGGTGCCCATTCGCGCTGAAGCTTGGTTTTGACAGCTGCCATGCCGGCGTGCACGGGCAGGAGCGGCGAGGGGATAAAGGAAAGTCGACAAGGTGCAAATGATAGGCGTTTGGCACCGGCAACACTGGCAGGATGGTGGCACACGTGGCATAACTGCCACAGAACTCCGAACAGATATTCGTCCCGTGTCCCGGATTCATTCATGCCGGGATAGGCAAAGCCCCCAGGGCTGACCCTTTGGATGGCAGGAAACGTTCGACGTAATCGGTGTACCTTTCAACGCCGATCTCTACGTATTTGCCAACGCCATTCCTTTTCCACTGACACACTTGTCCCAGCGCCTTTACAAAGGGGATCGAGAAAGTCGTGCGCAGCCCTAACCCCATGGCCTCCCATTCCCCATAACCACCCGTGGGGCGCTGTCCTTTCCCCTGAAATGCCAGATCACAGGTGCCACTGGACGCCTCACCGTTGATTGTCTGCTCTTCGACAGACATAGCTTGTGGGTGTAGTGAGAACGTCTTAGTGAGGCGACCAGGCGACTTCCTGTTGGATAGTTGTCACACGGGAAGTGACAGGTGCTTACAAAACAGTAAGTTGTACTGCAGGTATTAGGGCGCCTTGACATGGCTTATACAAGGCTTTGTGGAGGCTACGTGACGGCCATGCGACAATCGCTAGCTCTGAGCAACATTTCGCCCAGACCGCCGAGTTCCGCCTCGAGTTATGACAATTCCACCGTGCCCGTATATCCTATATAGCTAACCTGACTGATCGGTCATCGAAGGCATACGAACGCCCAGACTTCGAAGGCGATATGGGTGATATAGGTGGCGGGGGAGGTTTGACCTCTTGTTTTGGCGCCGAATCACCATTTCTATCTTCCGAATCCCGCCGTCGCGGTGTCACGTCTACAGATGGACTCTTGTCGCTTCCTTGCTTGGAGACATCCTTCAAAGGAATGGCAGCCTGTATGAGAGTTAGGCAAAGAGCGCAAGTAGATTTAAGCAGAGAGAGTGTTGAGACACTTGTAAAAGCGCTTTGATCACCAGTTTCGAAAGAAGTGCTAAAATTGCCCGCTTCAGCCTGTTCCCCGATACCTGTGACGGAGATGCGTTGATTGAGCTACCACAACCCATCTTTCCAATTCAATCCAGCCGACCAGCCTTGAATATCCGGGGTCGGCTTTTAGCTGGGTGCGGACGCCCCGAAGGCTAGATATCTTACGGTTTCATAAACAGGCAACTTCGCGGATATATCGATAGGTGGGGATTTGCAAGTCAAAATCGAGCTCCAATTCTCTGTCGTGGTTGAGCCCACACAAGCTCCGTCTCGTACGTTTACCGCTTCGCCGTATTTTACTTCGAGCACCTGCTCGAAACGAAGCAAACTTCAAGATTTCACTTTAAGAATTATTCTTGTCATGGTCTTTTACATATTTTTACATTAATTTCACCTCATCACTTCAAAAATTGTCCCAGGGGTCAACGAAAGGCCATAAGAGGTAAGGACAAGAACCGTTACTAGGGTAGGGAGTACAATAATGAAAATCAACAACATTTATATCGGGTTATTGCTCCGTGTCCCCGTTGCCTTCTCCACGATGACGACTGTGCGGATCCCCTGCTCGTGGGACTTACTGAGTTAATGCGAGCCCACTATCCCAGAATTCACGACATCTATCCAGGTGTTCCACACGACGGAATTCGATGTTGTATTTCTCCAAGTTGCTATCATAAAACGGTCACGTTTGAGAAGGCGTGCCGCAGAAACAATGAGAAACCAAGGAAAACCCACATCACAGTTAGGGCACAACCCCACGCAGTGTCCGCTGAATTAATCGACTCAGTAAACCAAAATGACAGACGCGCTTGATCGTGGAAACGCCACGTATAGTCAACCGCCTGTCGGCCTGCCGAAGCCATTTTGCCAGCGCAACACGAAAGCCGGAACGTCTTCCATCCAGAGGCCCTCAAGCAAAACCCATTCCAGTTTAGCCAGTGCTCATTATATCTGCAAATACTTCTGACCATGTAAGACCGGGCACACGTCCGGGTCCCCTTCCGTCCAAATGCTGGGCGCCCGCACGCATACCACGACAGCCCTCTTTTGGCCGTACGCCCAAGATGTTGGAACAACAAATTTCACGGGTGGTCACACCATTCGCTTAATGTTGGTTGCATTCAAGGCCAGCAGCTCTGGGCCGTCGCTGATGCGCGGTGCCTACCCTAAAAATTCCTTCAGCGCGTCAATCACGTGCGGGTGCGACCTTCGCCCTGCCCCTCTGTCCCAGATGAAATCTGGGCACGCACCACCAAGAGCAGAAGCGGGGCACGGGGACACGGGGACGGGGCAAAGTTGAGGTGGAGCGAGAGGTGGGGAGACGCGGGCAGGGCCTCGCAGGGCCGAGGCTGCTGGCCTGCTGGGGTGAGTAATGGCACCATGCGTCATGAACACCACAAGGAGTGCAACAGGTGGTCTAGGAAGTCCTGGCGCTGGTGGCATTTAGCGCCATGGAGATGTAAGGGGGCAATTATGGCAGCGCAGGAGAGAGGGGGCCGCGTCCCCATGAGCGGGATACGGCGGCTTAGGGCATGCCGTCCAGGAGCGTGTAATACTTCGGGTGGAGATCTATGGATCAATGGCGACGGTTTCATGCAATCGCATTTCTGGGGCACGCGTGTTGGACAGTGTGGGGGCGTTGTGCGCGGGCTTGAACTCGTATGTGCTGGGCCGTCCCAGTGTGGAGGAAATAGGCTCTAGCTGGGCGGCAGGGTATGTTTGCGAAGTTAACCACCCAGCCATTGTCCTGGTTTGAGGTGGTTTCAACCTCATCGGCATGAGTGTATTCGGCTGTTCCACTCGTAATGAGTCATAAGGGTCCCCCTGCCCATCCAAGACTTCGGAGGGTCCTGGCACGCGGGGTGGGGATCTTAAGGCGGGGTACGTGGCTAGTAGGGGTACCTGCACTTGGCTAATTCCACCTCTGCGACTTTTGTCCTGCCACCTACTGCTGGCCATGCCTAGTTGCTTTGGACTGTTTGGGCGGTGGTATGGGGCTAGCGGTGGTACCCTAATCAGACCTTTCCTTGCATACAGCGTACAGGTCCGGGCAGCATTACGGGTGCTCTGATCAGATTCACGTACTTAAGCTTCAGTAATCATCGTGTTTCGCGCTCGATCCCCGGTAGCCCACGCGGACTCCTGTCATGCACATCCCGCCGCCAAACCGCCAGGCAAGCCGCTACACGGTGGCGGAGGAGGCGCGGCGATTCCACTACTCACTCAACTTACCCATGTGGCTGTAATCCGGAATGACCACCGTCCGTCGATGCGCATTAATGAGCCTCCGCTCCTGCTCGGCGATGTCTTTCAACGTTGCAAGAATGTCGATGGCACCTGCAAGCATGCATCAACGCGTCATTGAGACACAGGCGTTATAGCTTGCCAAAGAAAGAATTACGATTGTGCATGGTGACTGGCTCGCTAGACTGAGGTGGGTTATGCATGGTAGAAGCGGGCTGTCAGGCGGGAGCGAAATGTATGTCCTGGCGATACCCGTTGCAGCAGTTGCCTAACTAGGACTAGGAAACCCGCATGGCTGAACGCGTGAATGTGTTCAAGTGGCCCAGAAGCCTCCCACTCTGTAACAGCATTATTATTATTATGGACGCGTGAAAGAATAGCTGGTGAAGTGATTATGTACCTGCTATGATGACCACGGGCGTCCTCATATCTTCCAGTACGTACTGCACTTAGTGAGGGGGGAAGCATCGTGTCAGTGGACAAACATGGTTGTTTCAGGGAAGGACATACGGTGATTTGCGCAGTCCAGCACGGCTTCATCGTGCTCACCAAAGTACGCAAGTGTACGCACGAAGGCTTGCACATGTACCGGTTAGGCACGGACGCACACTGCTCTTGGGCACCTGGGGCCCCCCGTTGTCCTCACCTCCGAGCCGTAGTTGAAGCGGAACAATCTGGGCTCAACCCGATTGTAAATCTGCGGGGCAAGCGTGGTGAGGCAGGTCAAGATACCATGATCAGTTAGAGGAGTGAGGGAGACGGATTGTCAAGGAATTACACCACCGGTTGGTTTGCAGGTACCTTCGCACTCCCCAGCGGCATATACGAATGCTGTCCATATTCCGCGCGCTGGCAATTCTGAATGGGCTTTGTCACGAGATGCTGCAATGAGAAATGGGTCGCTAGTTTGTTTCTGAGCAGCGTGAGCGGCGGGGTTACGTTTGACCTCAATTAGTGACTTCCTTGGCAGGCAGGCAGGCAGGCAGGCAACCGCGTGGGACTACTCAGCCGCCTGGTCGAGCTCTGAGCATAGATGACGCGGCACGCACCTCAACCCACTGGTAGGTGTTGTAAAGGCTGGTGGACGAAGGCCAGCCGTGCCAGTACCTCCTGCAGGCAAAGCTCGCACCGCATGTGCGCGCAGGGCAAGGGCGGGTGCGAACAATGTGCGATCACAACGGGTGTTCCCCTTACCTCGCGGACATGATAATTCCTGATGCGGGTGATGGGGAACCAAGCTTAAGTACTTACTTAAGTGTGCCATCAGCCAGGACATTGCGCAGCGGGTTGCTGTGCAATTTGGATTAGCCGTATGTATGGTGAGCTGGTGCGTGTGTTCATTACGGTACCTACGAATTACCGTGGATGTTGCACCGGATGCTGTTAAAGCCATGAAGGCCTCAACATTGGCCGCTGCAGGTGGGTGATAATGAATCGCTATCAGAGGTCGATTGTGTGGGTGGTCACGTACCCTTCAATGAGGCCCCCTCTTCTCCCAAACCCATGCTTTGCTAATGTCCGGGTTGTTTATGGATGTCACAAGAATCGTACTTCAAACGAGCAACGGAGTCCGGGAGAGCCGTGCGTACTTATAATCGGCGTTGGTGATGAAGCGGGACGGCCCGAAGAGGTGAGCACTCAAAGCCTGCATGGAGGGATAGGATAGACACGCATAAGGTCATTTTCGGCCCTTGCGCATCCTAACGCCTAAGCATATACCGCCTGTGAACAACATGCAAGAGCAAGAGCACCACGTGCAGCTTTCCTGTACGTTTCAGTTAGGCTTACCGCGCAAATCGACGTATGTATTGGCAGTTGGCAAATGCCGTTGGGGATGAGTTGCTGCAGCAGGAAACTCATGAAGAGGAATTCCTGGGGCGGCAGCAGGTTGGCTTTTACGCTAGCCTGCAACAGGATCGCGTGGAAAGGGCACATAGAATAGGTAGAATATCAAGCACGTCATTCTCATGCAGGGTCCAGGGGTGAGGGTAGGCAGTTATGAGAGAGGTGCGTTGTAGGGACCTACTAGTGCCGACTAGTACGGTACGGACTACTTGTGTAGTCAACCGTGTACGGTTTTTACGGGTTCTCACGGTCGCCCCCACGATGCAAGTGCACGATGCATTATACGTGCCATGTATCACTGGGCTCACACTCTTCACCAGCCCCACGCAAGTAGCCAACCATCGGCATCGTGCTATCGTGTGTGCGTGTACAGTCTCCCTGAATAAAGCTTATGCATTTAACTTCAGGAATCAGCAGTGCATGTTGCGCTTTACGACAGCAGTTCCGTACCCAGGAAGTTCCATACCCAGCTGTGATGGTCATACATAGTTTGAAGACGGTGAAAGAGAAGCAAGCAACACGCAAAACGGGGCCATTCCCAGCCGTCCGAGTGTAGGAAACGGCCCTCTCAGCCCTCCGACGCCTGTCCGCGACTCGCCCTGCCACTCTGCCTCCCGCACCAAGTCCCGCCACTTACATTTACTATGAGAGAATAAGCGATTGGGATTCCCACTTTCATGTTGGTGATGAACACACTTGGCCCCAGCGAAATTACCACTCCCACGCTGTCCGTTAGGTTGGTCTGGGAGCTCAGCGTCATCAGGGGGATGGTGCAGCCCTGGCTATGGCCCACGATTCCCACCTGCAAATGAAGCAACCGCAGACATCCGGGGTTGCGATTGTGTCGATACCCAGCATGCTCGCAACAGCGAGCCCCGGTGCGTACCAGGGACCATTTGATCCCTGTGGGTTAACTGAATCAGTTCCTCGTTACTCTTAACTCCTCGTGCCTGGCGAGGGGTTCCCTGACCATCCCCCATGCAAAGGAATGTCTCCTCTGCTGTACCTCCCCTCAGCTCGGTACCTAGAGAATTGGGTTAAGCGGTATGGGGCGAGGTCTTTTCTGGGGGTCTATCGCAACAAGATTTCTGGGTATTTTACGTGCAGTACACAGCTCCCTACGTTTATTGTAAGGTCAGGGAAGATGCCCGGTCGCGAGGAAGGGAAACAAGTCTTCAAGGGGCTCAGAGACTTTGATGAACCTCGTCGGTTTTCAAAGTCCTGCGTTCGGCATACACAGCGATTGTGCCTGTTGGGTATGGTGCGATGTATGGGGTTGGCCTGCTCTTTTTAGTGCTGTGTCCTTCGTAGTAGGTCGCTTAGCAAGCTTTCAGTCAGATCTTACTCCGCCATGTCACGCTGCACCAGCAACGTTCGGTTCCTGGCGTACGTTTCCCAGCGGCCATAACTCCCCCTTCACCCCCATCGTCATATTGTTTTTGGAGGCACTCTTCTTCGGCCTGCAGGTACCCGGCAAGCGGCGTCCCCATGCCTTTGCTGGAAACCTGCGCAACCGCTATATAGCTGCCTACCGCCAACGGCTGCATTTACCTTGGGCATGCCCGTCACATTCTTCATGTAGTGGATGATAACGGGCAGGTCAATCTCAGCCATCTCGTCCTGCAACATGTATTTTTCGTTAGCGCAGGGAATCAGGGCATTGCACTTGGTGTTCACCGTACATGCCCCTATGGAACACATCACTTTGTACGGGTACATACTCTCCGGATGGGAGTACGAGGATGTGGGTCAAACTTTAACATGCGCCAAGTCAACATTCAAGTCAAAAGAAGTCGCACACTAGAGAACCCATTACCCAACATAAGCCACTCACAAGTGCGAAGTTCCAGAACTCGGTCTGCTTGTCACTGTAACGGACGTGTTCCCGTGAAAAGATATTTCCCCGGGTATTCGCCAACCAGACGTCGTAGCCTGAACCGCATATTTAGTACGACAGTACGTCAGTGCCGATTGTCCAGCATGGCAAGTACTTATGGATGCGGGCGGCAGCCCTCATTGGCCCAGCACGCAGTCCCGTGCATGCATTTGTGGCTGCTGGGACGCATGAGACACGCTTCCGCATGCAGGCATGTTCAACTTCTTGAGCAATAGCAGCCGGTCAGCAGCACAATTCATTGCAATACAACCTCAAGACATACCCCGGTGTGTGCAGCACGCCGCCGAGAATTCCAGGCGGCCTATGTTTCACTAACCTACCGTACCTACAAATCTATAAATAATCCCAGACGGCCTATGTTTCACTAACCTACCGTACCTACAAATCTATAAATAATCCTAATAACTTTGCCACAGGCCGCGGTCCACTGGCTGCAGCCTTGCGTGTGCTAAGGGGGAGGGTAACTGAGGGCCGTTTCGGCCCCGACATACCCCTTAACATGACCAAGCCCTATCCTACCTATCCTACCGAAGTCTATCTATCTCGTGCCCAGAAACGCTGCCCGTTTGCCGGGGGCCGGGTGGAACGAGTCCCCTGACTGGCGTGCGAGCCCAGCGCAACACACTTAACACTTGGCAATTAACCCCAGTGCAACCCCATGTGCAGTGCGCTCATGCTCCGCTCCCAAAGCCTCGCGTGCACATCTATCCCGTGGACAGTAAACCCAAAAGATCTGTACCCCGGTCTGCCAGGAAGAAGGCGAGGCTCTCGTCCGGACCGTTGACAACCCAGCTGGTGCTGGCGAGCGAGATACCGTGGATGAGCAGGACGGGCGGGCGCTTGGCAGTGCCAGGGCCCGCCCTGCCGTACGGAATACGAAAGCAATTGAGGATATAGCCGTCGTACGTCAGCACGTGATGAGTTTCTAGGGGGAAGCCCTTCGGCGTTACCAAGCCTGTCTCAGGGCCCACAAAAGGGAGGGGGATGCAGGGTGCGGCGGGGCCGGCGAAAGGGGGTCAGCTCGCTCACAGCAAGTTCGCTTCAAATGGATTATTACTTGCCGTCCGCTGCCTGAGGCCCTGTTGGGCCTACCTAGCACGGCAAGTCCTTCTATGCCCCCGCCGTGCTGCTGAATATCAATGAGCCGAAAACCGGTGGGTGGAGGGTGGATACGGAAGCCCATAGAAAGCATAGCTGCGCTAGGGTGGAGGCCGGGCTTGGTTAAGCATGTTGTCGCGTCACATGACTGTAGCTTTGATTCCTACGTTACGTACGGCAGAAAGTGTACGGGAGGTTTTTCACCACATTTTATCGTGCGTACAGGTGCTTACAGGGATAATGAATGGACTGATTTGGTGGCACCGCAGCATTTAGGAATTGAAGGTCCTAGATTCATTTCCTGGGTAGGCTCCCGGCAATGGTCGGGAGCGTGAGGTTATGGGTAGTTGCTGAGACGTGGGGTTGAGGTCGCAGTTGATGGACCCCGCTGGATCGGTGAGGCGATTGCTGAACCCTTTGCCTCTACGGATGGCCGGGTGAGTAGATGAGGTGGAATCTAAATGGCAGGATCCAAAACCGCCTTAGGACTCGTTTGTATGGCGTAGTACATTGTGGTAATGGTGTAGGATGCTCCAAGGTGCTAAATCCCAGCTCAGTAATCAAGTGTCTGAAAAAAATGGCCCAGAAAACACACACTCTGTAACACTTAACATGGATAATGGCATATGCCGCACAATGCCTTAATGGTATGATGCTCTCTTAAAAATAGTTTTAACGACCGACTGGCGCGCACATATGTCCCTCACCATGGATTCACGCAGCTATTCCCATTTCGAATGGCTCGTTATGCACGTACGACATGTTGAAGGGTTTCGCCCCCGGCTTGCCGTGATCACTTACCGGCCATGTCGTAGATCTTCAGTAAGCGGGACGGTATCGGCACGGTTGCATACGGCGCCAACCGCTGCTGAAGGCCGGATACATCGCCGGACAACATGGGCCCAACGAAGTCAATATCATTAAAGTTCAAGCTGCTGATGTTGCCTACGATGTATTCTGCAATTGCCTCTATGGGGATGGTCTCTCGGGCGACATTGCCGTACCCTACTGATAGGCCACCTGTGGCAGCTGTCTTTAGCCGTCGGCTCTCGGCCCTAAAGGACGCAAGCACAAGCACGACTGGCAGGAACAGCACCAGGGATCGAAGCGCCCAGTAAAAAAGTCGCCTAGGTTTTAAACCATCGCTCTTGTGATTGGCAGCAGTAGCGGTGCTGGTGTGGGTAGCGGGCTTCGAGACGCTTCGGCGAAGCCTAATAAACGCCATTGCGAGTCAGGTGTGGCTCAGGGTTGTCGCAGGCAATGAGGGGGGAGATCGAAAGAAGGTTTGATTGCGGTAACCAAAGAACGATTTGGCGATGTCTGCGGCATTGGATAAAAGACGGCATGTTGAAAATTCGCCTTTCACGGGCTGGGAGGGGACTTCACTTCAGACAGTGCCCTGACGGGCGATGTCGATACACTTGGTTTTGACCACTTTTCAACTGCCTGACGACGACATAGCACACCCTGACAAGCCCCATCGCAATGTTAAAACCTATTATCCGATGCCATGAATCACTACGGTGAAAGGTACGGTGGTTTTGACGGTGCTGCGCTGGTCACAGCCTATCTGTCGCCACCAGGGATGTATGGCTGCCCAAACGCTGTCCAAATCTCTATCTGCTGTTAGTTGAATAAACACGACTTGAGAGGCGACTACAATTAATTTAGAGGTGGAGCTAGCAAGCGGATCTCACACTGTTCTCCTTGTATCTGAATTGTTGTTGTCATGTGCACCAGTGTGCACGCTTTGGGCCGCGTGCTGCGTGTCCGACTTATCAGCAACAGTGGGTACCGTAGATTTGCGTTTGCGGCTACAACCCTCAGCTACCCACGTAACCACGCAGTTACAAGTGGGATGTTGAGTAGTTCCTCTTCACAGCGCGAGATGTGCGCTCTGATGGCACCACCTGGGACGGTGCCTGAGGGCGGGTTCGTTGGACATCCAATGTTGCAATTTAGTAGCTATCGTACAGTACGGCATACACTGTTACAGCATATTAGTGCAAAAGAGCTTATTTACGTTAGTTTACTAAAAGCCGTATCGAGACAACGCCTTGTCAAACCTTACAGGCTGCGAAGCGGCTATATAAATCTACATTTGCCTCCAGGTTCACCAGCAATTGCCCATAAATGTAAAATGTTTTCATGTTGATAAGTCTCTGTGCCTGAATACCTTTGAAACGGTAAGGCGCATGTGAGCCTAGGCTCGCATGTGCAGGCCTGCACATGACGTGGCGGTGACTCGTCATCCACTGCCCGCGGGTGGGTAGGGGAAACTAGCTACCGGTGGATCACCTAGCTACCGATAGGCTACCCCTACGAATCGGTGACCGGCTGGGACAAAACTGGGTTGGCTGTAATGGCATGTAATGGAAAAGTTCCTAACCATGCATAAGAAGTGCCTTGCCTACACCTGGTTCAGTGAAGCAACCATCAGACCTGCCTGCTGAGCTGCTGCGTGCTTCTGTGCTGGCGGCTGGTGCACGTTGACAGAAGAAGATTTTCCTAACAAGACTGCCCGTGTATACGTCTTAGATTGATTTAACATACGCTGTACAGAGGTAAATTGCCAACTTTGACCAAGTTCACAAACAGTTTTAGGATCCAATGTTTGTTATTTCACCTTGGGTGAAACTAGGTGAAAGCAAGTTGACCGGTTCGAAGCGGATAAGAGCTTACAGGCCCCTAGTCGCGCCCAGCCTCACCATCACCGCCTTAACAGATCAAGGCCCGGCACGCACGTACACGTGGCTTCAGTGGCAATCGCTTGTCCTCTGCTGCTGCTGCTGCTGCTGCTGCTGCTGCTGCTGTCGGCCAGGATTGGCTGGCCACAACCTTCTTCAACGCCCAAGTACGCACCGTTCAGCTTTCCTTGCACAAACCTAAAACATTTCTGCTTGCTTATCCAACAAGCCCAGCCGTCATCACCGCCCAACACAGGATTAAACATTCATCGAAGTTCATCACGCAGGTTGTCGATCGCGTTTAGCTGTGCAGGAGTGTCCGTCACTCCTAACTTATTGCTACCGTACAATATTTTGTACGATACACCACAGGCGTTGGACAGCATCAGGTTTCCCCCGTGCAAATCTTCCTTCCCCTTGTTGGCGGGTGCCAGCTCCAGGCGGGATGGGAACAGTCCTCTAGGCAATCACTGTTGCACTCCATCCACGCACTAAGCAAAACTTTCTGCCAAGGACTCCAGAACGATGGGATACACTGTTCGAACCGCACCGGTGTCCCAGATGAAATCTGCGGGCAATGCAATTCAACAACATCACCCGTGGGAAAACTGTCAAAATCCCGCACACCACCGCGGCGGGCGGCGGAGACGCGGCGCGAGTGGGAAAAAATGTTCAGCTATGCTGATCTAACGGGATCTAAAGGGGAACGACTTTGCCCAAGGGCTCACACCGCATGCGTATGATTATGTACTCTTGGTAAACGCCTGCAGCGCGCGGTTGGCGCCGCGGTTGGCAGCTTCTCAACATGCACGCCTTAGGCAGGGCAAAGGCACGAAGAGGCGAGGCGAGAGGACCCAGGGCCGAAAGCGGAACTCGGCCCGGCTTGAGGGTTCATTCGCGGGATCAAAGCACCTCACCCATATGGCTGTAGTCCGGGATGTGCAGCTCGTTGCGAAGGACGTTCCGCAGCCTCTTCTTCTGCTCGGCAATGTCTCGCGTCGCAGCAAGAACATCGTTACCACCTGCACGCCGCATTACCAAAGCGCCGTACGGTTTTTTACTACTACCATACGGAAATCCCATGTCAATCCTTTTACAATCCTAAATGGCGTTTTTAGTCCCTAGCGTGCCATGTTGAGGTTAAGAGCGAGCAAAGCGTGTACCTGACACCATGACCACAGGCGCCCTCACGTCCTCCAGTTTGTACTGCAGCCATTCAGCATCCGGGGGGGTTTAGGGTTTTTAAGGGAAGGTTAGGGCTGCATCGGACAGGGCACTGTTCCTGCTGGGCAGTCCAGCGTCGCAAGTGTCACGTCACATGGCGTGCAGAAGACTCGGGGCTCAGGGCTTTTAGCCCAAACATTCAAGCATCGGTTGGCACATTGCTGACGATAGCTATTGGATGGATGCGTGTAATACAGGCACGCTGCGGTCGCTCATACACACACATACACTCTCTCTCCCCGATGACCCGGTCGTCTCTCATGCACGCATGGCATGATGGCGCACAGGTGCATGCAGGGCCGCTTCCTGGCAGGAATCCCTTCTGTAGCCCCCGTCTTCACCTCCGGCCCGTAGCCATAATGGAAAAATCTGGTTCCTGGCTCATTGTAGATCTGCGGGCGCGTGAGGTCACCGGCGACAACTTGGGTCCCTTTTTGCTCGTTGGGGGGATAACAGTTTGCGGTACAGCGACAAGCGTGATGGCCGATTGGCAGTTAACACGCGGCGGGAGAGGAATGCAGTTGCAGGAAATGCACCGCCTGCCGCCATGCTGGCCTGATAACCTCCCACAGCAAGCAAGGACAGATTTTGCTTCAATTTTTGCTTCTGAATTAAAAAGCAGCCGACATGTTGCATATCGCGACAGGCATCGAGACTCGCTTTGCAGGGCGATAGCTATTACCATCACGCCGCTAGCGGGGCGTACGTAAGTACGCAGGGCTAGGCATGCCAGCAAGCCCCGTCCTAGCTAGTAGGAACATATCCCTTGCTAGGTCACCATTGGTGGTGGCTTCCTAGACACTCACCTGGGCCCACTGCATGGAGTTGCCTAGGCTTGTGGAGGAGGGCCAGATCTGCCAGTACCTCCTGCATTCAAAAGGACCACGCGACCGTGCGGCAGCAAAGCAGCGTGTTACGCAGGATGCAGAGCATACATAGGTAGGACTGGAAGATCCCAAGTCCAATGGGCGCAACTGCGATATGAGCCCATGAGCACGACCGTACACTGTAGGCAGTACATAGAACGGGCCGTACCTGTACTGTGCGGCGGAAATCCTTCGTGAAGCGCCAAAAATACCCTCCATTGTGGTCTGTGAGTAGGGAACCAAACAGCATGAAGCAAGGATCAATCTGTTAGCTCTCGATCATTACCCCGGCGGGCCTTTTTCCCGAACGCGCTACGGCGGGAGTTTACGAAGTACACGGCTCCGTGCCCTCAGGCCCCTTTGCGCGCATACACACTCACCAGGCACGTTAGCATGGTCCCCGGCACCTGGCACACGCCGTCCAGGTAGGTCTGCTGCATCTGCGTGCTCATGTAGATCAGCTCCTGAGCGGGCAGCATCCTATAGACCTCGCTAGTCTGCAGGGAGCAAGATCCGAGGGCGCCGCCATAGCCTCGTGTAGCCTTAGTTAACATCCGGCAGTGATGCCGCAGTGGGCCAATCCTACGTGTTTCAAAGGGCTTCAAACGGAACACGTGTAACAATCTTCTGCTGCGGGGCCCCCGGTGATGTGTGATGTGTGATGGCGGCAAACTACTGCCGTACCCATTGGTTCCTAGGATGATCGGTTCCTCTTGTCTGTGCGATCGATATCGAGCTTGTAGCGGTAATGCCGAACGTTGCCTCGGGATTGCATTTCACAATGCTGCGAGCTGGCCTTATGGAGGCGGCCCGCGGCCCCTGACCACCTGCGTGGACCACCTGCGTGATTCCACCTGCTGCCAGTCCACCCACCGCTGTACACTTATTCCACTCCGCACCACTCCGCACCCCCGGGTGCGACACCAGGGCCTGGGCTGGGCTGACGCCGCTGACACATGCGGAATGCTCCTCATTTAGAGGTGACCCAAGTTCATGACGCGGTCCCCGTTTGCCATCCCATTCGTTCCTCAGTGCAGTTGTTGAGTGGTGGGACACGCAACACGTGATTCCGGTCCTACCCCCGTCACAGCAACTTGCGCATGCAGGGTCCCACCTCAGGGTCCCACCGCTCACATTTGCTTGGCGACAGAAGTTCCTCAGGACGACCGAAGTCATGTATTGGACGTAGGCGCACGGCCCCAACGCCACCAGCACCGATACGCTGTCGGCCAGCCAGGGATCGTCGCTGAGCGCCATCAGCGCAATGGTGCCGCCCTGACTGTGACCCACAAGGCCCACCTGCGTTCGAGGAATTGCAATGTAGCCGGGAGGACGACGGAAGATGGAGGAAACGCTTTGGCAACACGCGCTCAGGCACACGTAACTTGGATCCACACCCACACGCAGGCGCAACTATGAGAGGCGTTTTGCGTTCCTATGCTCCGTAGGAAGACATGCGCTCTCGCAGGATTGTCAAGGGTGAAGCTGTAGTCCAGCGAATAGCCAGATGACACCCTCGCATCGCTAAGCCGCAATATAGGCAGAGGAATATATCACGCTAGAGGCGGCTGTCCTGCTTGGGCTCTCCATACTCATACACCCGCGGACAGCAGCTGCACCTGCCTTGGCAATCTTTGTCACGTCTTGGATATACTTGATGTTCTCGCGCAAATCCCATTTAGCCATCTCGTCCTGCAACCCAAACCGCAAGCGGGGGGTATCACTACGCGGTCGACATGATAAAGTTGCGCAACGCAAGACTGGTTGCCTTCAGCCGCTACACCGGGCACAGGTGGCAGCAGAGCAGGCACGCTGTTGGAGAGTGACCGACACTACTCATATAACATACCACTGAATTTTGGCAGCAGTAACAGGACCCGAGGGTTCCGGTGCTTTGCTAAGTCTAACACGCGCCCACTGAAAGCGACGGACGCTGCTTCCAGGTAGCAACAGAAATCTATGGTCCTGTATGCATGTATGCATGTACAACAAGTGTCCTTCTTCCGAGTGCTACAGCCCGACTCGTCCCAATCTCTTGAATAGGCGCAGCCAGCACTGGGCAGCCTCAGCACGGGCGCTCATCAGCAGCACGGGCGCTCACCACTGAGAAGCGCCAAAAGGCCTGCTGCCCATCGCGATAGCGTACATGTTGTCGTGAAAAGGTATTGCCGCGGGTGTTCATCATCCAGACATCGTAACCTGTGCAAGGTAGTACATCAACACAAACAACAGGTATGATTAGTTCTCTGCTATTCACTCGTCGCTAACTAATGTACAATCTGGAGATGCGCGCTCCTGATCCGGACCCTCCTGAGGCAAAGGTGCGTACACTGCTCTCCTCAGTACTGCAGGAGCGGTGCTGTCGCGGGCTGCCAAACGTACCTCTGTCAGCGAGGAGGAAGGCGAGGCTCTCCTCCGGACCGTTGACGACCCAACATGTGCTGGCGAGCGATATACCATGGATCAACAGGACGGGCGGGCGCCTCGCAGCGCTGGGGCCCGACCTGCCGTACGGAATACGGAAGGTGCCCAGCTTGTAGCCATCGCCTGTCACCACCATGTGTTGCTCCAGAGGATAGCCCTTCGGCGTGACTAAGCCTGGGTACGGCAGTATCAGCAGGGAGGGGGGCAGGGAAGGGAGAGCAGAGCGTGTGGCGACAGGCGGCATCCAGCGCTTAGGGTTCAAGCCGTAATAACCGAACTGCCGTCATAAGCGAATATGCCTGCGAAATGCCCGTCACGAGTATTGGCAAATGGCTGGCTGCGGCTTCGGTCCTGTGTGACGGCTCAGGAGAGAAGTCCTGGCGCTAGTAGCTGACTGCGAATCCGTCATCGCCTGTTTCGTTCGCCACCGAGCACGCACCCAGCAAGTAAAATGTAACAAATAGCAGCACCCAGATGTAAAGCGCGCACAGGGAACTGGATAACTGACAATCATGCCACGTACCTGTGTGCAGGAGTCATGTGATCGGAGGTACGGAATGCCGTTACCTCGAAAATGGCTACAAGAGCCAACAGCTTCATTGCCTCCATGCAACCCCCGCATGGGAATGTCTGAAAACGCCTCCCCGCACACTCCCCGGCCAGACCCGCTACCCACCCACCGGCCATGTCGTCAATCCGCATGCTGTAGGCTGACACAGGGAAGGATGAACTGGGCGGCAAGAGCTGAAAGAAGCCAGACACATCACCAGTTACCATAGGGCCCATCAGATCTGCATTTCCCATGTCGGCGCCGGTTCTATCATCACCGCCGTATGCCCTGACGGCCGTGATGTTGGCGGGTACAGTACTGTTAGTGCTGGCGATGGGGCCATCACTGGTGCTGCTATGGTCCTCATTCACTCTTATGATGATGTTGGGCTTGGAGACAACAGCATTGAACACGTTGGTGGTGCCATTGGAGTGACCTGATAGTGGGTCCCTCCCGGCTGTCGTGTGAAGCCGTCGGGATTCGGCACCGTAGGACGCGAGCGCGAGCACAACTAGCAACAGCAGTGAGGACCTTAGCGCCCAGGAAAGGATTCGTTGCAAAGACAGAGGCTTCGGAATTCCGCTGCTACTGGCAGTAGCGGAGCTGCCGTGTGTACGGGGCTTCGGGGCGCCCCGGCGGAGCCTAGTAACCGCCATGTTCAGGTTCAGATGGGGCCAGGTTTGCCGCAGACGGTGCAGCAGCCGTATCCCTTTGTCGGAGAAGAAACCTGTTTCTGCAACCTTATGGTCCCATTGTTTATTGTGTTTGGTGCGGTGCCACAGACAAGTGCCTTTCAGGGGATCTGGTGCTCACACTTCAGTGGGCATTTTGACGGCCGAGTATCACGGTATCAGCCGACTGACGTACAGCTAACAGGCACTAGCAGGCGTACAGAAGGCCCCATCAAGACATCAGGCATAATCGCTAGATACTAGGGTTTCAAGATCTTTTGACGGACAATCATGCTTGCGCAGCGTTGCTTTCAACCCTTTACGGCCAGACCCTTGGGACGTGCCTAGGCGGAAACTCGGCCTGAGCTGTATAACTGAGTTGCACAGCTGGGTTCTTGGACTCATGCGCATATGTGTTCTTGTGAACGCCGTCAAATGCGTATCTCAAAAAAATGGTGTCGTAGGCAGAGAACCCGTTCCGTGAATCGACTTATGGACAATCGTAAAATGCGAGCATGCATTAAGTTTGTAGAAACATATTTGTATCCTCTACTGTATGATGTAAAGGTAAAATTCTCTCCATTCATGGGTGAATGGTACAAACACTGTGATTGCGGACGATGAACAGATGACAAAACGCGCAGGACAAACTAAATATCCAAATTAATTACACATCCGTTTACCAAGCTGCGTGAATCTGTCCAATAAAATGATTTTCGATATCTGCTTTACGTATGATACCGAGTAAATTTTTCATTCCGGCCACCCAGAGACGCCATGATCTTTTGTCGTTTGTTTGTGGTCTGAAGACATGCATCAAAATGTTATGAGTTGCTAGAGAGCCTATTCTGTTTGCGCCGGCTGCTCCGGTTAGCTCCGGCCTACCTTGGCCACCCCGATCTACAACTCCAGGCACTACCTGGATATTCACATATTAGATGAGCGGCGGGGAAGGAAGCTGGAGCTCGTCTCATTGGCAGCAAGCCGGAAGCGGAGGACGCCACGCCAGCGGTCGATCAGGCTCAAGCAACAATTATAACAGGAATCAACAACAACAGCCTGATGGTCGACGACAGCAAGGTCATTTCCAGGGGGATCGCGGTTTTCCATTTCGAGGACAGCACCAAGGCCGGCCGTATGGCAGCTATGTGGAACAAAATGACGCATTTCCCCCGCATCATCCAGGTCAGAGGCATCAGGGTTACGCGCAGCCTGATGAACGGGACCACCCGCATGCTGGCTTCCGAAGACCGGCACCTGGAGCCCCGTTCAACCCTGTTGAGGACAGGCATCCTGGTTACATGCATTATCCTCACGAATACATGATGCAGGCCCCACCGCGCGTGCCGGAGCACTTGCACGGTGGGCCAGTACCAACCCCCTATCACCATCCCGCGGCATTTGCAAGACCGCAGCACCCAATTGATCAGCCACCTTACCCGCTGCCCCATACATACATGCCTCACCCAGCCGCTGGGGTCCATCAAACCAGCGCCATGGGCATGGGTGCTGCGGGCGTTGTAGTAGGGGGTGGTGGCCCTTTGGCCGGCACGGTTTATCACCCCAATGCCACGCGGGCCCCGCAGCAAGCCGGTGCTTGGATTCCTGGTGCGCCTGACTTTCGTCATGCAGACGCAGGGAGGGGCTCCGGTGGAGGTCCGGGTCGGGGCGGTGGTGGGGCGGGAAGAGGTAGCGGCGGCCCGGGGCGGGGCGGCGGCGGCAGTACTGTTTCAGGCCGAGGCAGCGGCATGGCCGGCGTTGGCGCGAGCAGCAGTGCTCCACGCAGGGCGTCACGTGTGCCGCCTGTGCCACAGCCGCTGGCCCCAAATGCTAACTTACTGGGCGAGCCTACGAACTCTGGTATCCTTAGCCTGGGGCGGCCACGGCAACAGCCTTTGAACACAGTTAACAATGTGCAGTCATCACGTAAGGAGGCTGCCGAAGCTGCCCAGGCTCATGCTCCTGGGAGCAGCGCACGGAAGGGGGACGAGGGCGTGCTGGTCGCTGGTGCCAGCCAGCAGCAAATCGACAGCGCCACTGCCCTCGAGCCGGTGTCTTTAGATAAACCTGCGCCCCCTGAACCTGTCGCGAAGGCGGAACTTTCCACTCAGAATGAAGATGCGCGGACGGCCCCTGAACCTGAACCTGCGCCTGTGACGGGCAATTCGGAGGTAAATGGCTTGGATTTGGCAGCATCTCTGGAATCAGGACGTACAATCGCGGAAGCCACGTCCTTGATGGGATCCGCGGCCATTATTAGCAGCAGTAGTGGCAGCGCATGCGGCAGCAGCAACTACAGTGACACGAGGCCTAGCTCTGTGGCTCTTCATGCGCCTGCAGCGGCGCATAGTTTGGGTGAGGTGCCTGCAGGAGGTCCGACCCAATGCAAAATGCACGAGAAGAATGTGACCATGGATGACCCTGAGGCAGTGACGGCTCCTGTAATTCCGACCGCGGAATCTCATGGCGCCCCGCAGCGTGATGCGGTCCCATCGGGCACAGGTGTGGTTCAGGCCCCTGCCGAAAAGCAGGCCGTGCCTGCGGGAGGAATTGCATGGAGACAGGGCCCCGCAACAGCGCTTTTTGCAGCGGCAGGATCCGCGGCAGGCGGCCGCACACCTAGCGCCGCCCATGGCCCTAACCAGAATACCATTGCTCCACCCACCCACGCAACTGCGGCGCCAAAGGCATCTGCTGGCGCAACCTCAACAACTGCAGCAGCCGCAGCATCATCGGGCATGCACCCTGCACCGGCAGCTGCTAGCGAATTAGCCAATTCGGGATCACGCCAGAACCATGTTCCACATTCACCCACATCGGCTGCATCCGAGCCCTCCTCGCAGACCCGGAACAGGACAACGCACCTCCAAGCTGGCAATGCACCGCGCACGCGGTGCCCACCCCCTGGGTTTGGCGTTTCGGCCGTGGCTTTGGGCCCTTCGGGTAGCACAGACTCCCAGCCGTCGGGGCAGGCGGTCACATCGGCAGAAGTGGATAACGTGCAGGTAGCGCGAGCACAATCGCAGCAGTCACAGCAGCAGCAACAGGCGCCGACCCAATTGCAGCGACAGATGTCGCCACGGGCCGGCGCGGGAAGCGCGGATGCCTCGGCGCCGGATGGATCGCGTGCCCAGAGGCAGCAGCATTCGCCAGAGAGGTCGGCGACGGCGGCGGTGGCTTCAGCCCCCAGCGTGCCCGCAGTGCCAAGCTCTGCGAACGGCTCGGACGTGCCCAAGGCGAGCCGGAAGTGGGCTTCAGTAGCGGCGGCGCCGGCCAGCAGTGGCGGTGTGCAGACCAAGTAAGGTTTTGCGTGCTACGCGTTTAAGAGTCCAGTTGGACACAAAGTTGTCTCATCTGCAATTGCTTAGGTAAACCATGGGATTAATCTTAACTACTGGCGGTGTGCAGACCAAGTAAGGTTTTGCGTGCTACGCGTTTAAGAGTCCAGTTGGACACAAAGTTGTCTCATCTGCAATTGCTTAGGTAAACCATGGGATTAATCTTAACTACTTGGCAACCAGATAATCACGAAGCAGCAGTGCCGAATGAGATGCTGAAGGCATGCTGTATAACTTCGGCCATTTATGAGCGCAATGCTTGTCTCTAACGAAGAGATAAGAGGGTCAGCATCGGCCAGCAACGGATTGTAAGCTGGGCTACCATACCAGTTAATGCAGCACGGTATTGTCCGGGCCATTAGCCTCAGCATAATGACCCACTGCCGCCCCTTTGTTCCCGCACCTTCAAACTTAACAGGGCACTTCCCCATCGTCCGAACTCCGAGGGCGGCAGCTCAGACACCTCCGCGGCGGCTGCCGCTGCTACCTTGGTCGGCTTGCGGCACTCCCACCAGCCGTCCGCTCGCCAGCCGCCCAGCGTAACCCCGGGTGTGTCCACGGCCTCTGCTGCAGCTGCATTAGCCAGCGAGGTCAAAAGCAAAACTGCTGGACGCAGTGACAGTGTGGAGGCGCCTGGCGTACTGGCCGAGGGGGCCCCTGCGGCACCAGTTCCCGTGGCGGGTTCCGAGACAGCTGCTGCGAAATGGCATGCTGCCCCAGTCGCGGCCGTGTTGAGAGCCGCACCGCAGGCAGCGCAGAAGGGCCACGGGCAGCAGGACTTAACGGCCCCGCAACCGGGAGCATCCACTCCAGCATCTGCGCCGGCACCTTGCCTTAAAGTGGAGCACGCGGCCGTGAAGACTTCGGCACGTGCTGTGGCAGCAGCCGCTGCGGTGGCCGAATCTGCTTTGGGCCACCCATCGGGAGACGTGGCTACCGCGGCTGCCGTGGCGGCCGTCGCCGCAGCATTGGCGTCGTCCCCACGGGAGTCGGCCAGAAGCCAGATTCCTGTTGCTAGTGACGTGATTTCCGCAGCAAACCAGAGCGATGTCACATCCATTTCGAGTTCCACGGAGGAGGCGCCGGCCACACGGACTCGGGCAGGTATAGCGCTTTCACACACCAAGGACTCTGCGGATGGTCAGCGCGCGCCTACCGGATCGGCGGCCGGCACCAGGCATGCTATCAATGCGCATGCTGGTAATGCCACGCCGGGCCCCGCAGGTGCAGCGGCAGGGCCTGGGCTGTCGGCTGCTACGGCCTCCAAGCCTGTCGCGTTGCCGACCGATGCCAGCGTCAGGAAGGCGCAGCAGGCGGTGTCGGTGGTGGCTGCAGCTCCAACCAGTGCTCCTGCAGCTTCCGAAACAGAGGGCAGCCCAGCAGCAGGGGAAGTATGCGCGCCTGAACAGCTGCTCCCACCAGCCGCAACGGTGACACCGGCGGCGCCGGCGCCAGTCCCGGTTGCTGCTACTGCTAAGCTGCCGACCCCGGCGGCGGTGGAGGCAACAGCCTCCCCTGCTGCGGAGCCGTTAGCGTCCGAGCCAGCAGCTGCGGCTCCGGGGCCGCGTAGCTGGGCCGCCCTGGCGGCTTCAGGTCCCTCCGGCAGCGCAGCCCCGCAGACAGGTCGTGGCCGCGCGCCGCGAGGCCCTGCGGCCCTGGGCCGCGGCACGCCAGGGCGCGGCTCTAGGCAATTACCTGCTTCGCAAAGGATTGCGGCCCAGCCGCCTGAGGTCATGTTCCACCACTGCACTACGGCGACATCGCCACAGGTAGCCGGCGCGCGCGGTGGTGTCCTCACACCCACGAGTGTCGCAGAAGACGGATACCCCCCAGCGGCTTCACGTCCTGGGATGTCGTCGGCGCCGTCGGGGCCGACCTCCAGCGCAGGGAAGCCTGCGCCGCCATCATTGTCCGTCGGCGCTGAGGCTGTGCTGTCTCCGACTCAGGGGACGCTCCCTGTCCCGTCCCCGGCATCAGCTGCACCCGGCGCCAACTTTACAGATGCTACCTGTACAGGACATGCAGCCGCATCGTCCGCCGGTGCGCAAGCCGCTCCAAGCGATGGTTTGCCTCAACAGTCCGCTCCAGCTCCAGTTCCTGCTGCGGCCCCTGCTCCAGTTCACGCCTCGGCGGGATCAGCTGCCACTGGAGATGTCCTTGACTCTTCGGGCCCTGGGGCTGTATCCCCGGCTGCATTGGCCAACGATGCAACGATAATAGCAGCAGCAGTAGCAGCACCGTTAACCGCAGCAGCGCAGCAGCAGCCACCTGCGCCGGAAAGCCACGCTGGGGCTGTTGAGCCAGGAGCCGAAGGCGAAGGGGAAGGCGATGCCAGTCGGCAAGGCGAAGGCGGTAGCATCTTATGGACCCAAGTAATTAAACGCAAGAACCCCAGCAAGGGTCCCCGAGACATGGACACGGGATACACCCATTCCCGCGCGACTGTGGCAGCGGTTGGTAGCCGCGGCCGAGGCAAACATGGCGATGCAGCTGCTGCGGCGCCGCCGCCGCGCCAACGTGACGAACATCTGCCGCCGCACCGTTCGTTGCTCTCGCCATCAGCAGCACCGGTAACCGCAGGAGCGCAGCAGCACGGGCCTCAGCTTTCAGGGAAGCCCTGCGCCATAGCAACGGGATTGCCGACGGCCGTGGCGGCTGCAGTGACTACTGTTACCATCCCCAGCCCGAGTGTTCCGCCTCTTGGCCCGACAGCTGGTGACGTCAAGGTTTCGGGCGCAGCTACGGAAATTGAAGCCGGGCCCGACGGTGCTGTTCCACTCCTGGCGTCGGAATCCCCCCAGCGAGCAGTGTGCGAGGGGGCTTCCGCGGCAACTACCGCCGTGGAGGCGCCTTCCAGTGTGTCCAAGGTGGCTGCTGCGGCAGTCCCAGCTGCGGAGATGGGCGGGAAAGCCGCGCCTGCAAGCGTAGGAGCGGAGCCGGTGGTGGCCGCAGCCGCAGCACCGGAAGTTGAAGCGGTTGTGGAGACCTCCGTGCCGGATGTGGCTGAAGCGGGCGTAGAGGACACGGCAATACATGGGAAGCCCGCGGCGCCACCAGCTCCGGCTGACGACGGCGTGGGGGCACCCATTGGCGTGGTAGTCGTGAGCAGCGCTGTCGCTGCACTTGCACAAGCGGACACGCCCGATATGAAGATTACAACTCCAGAGGCGCCTTTCCAGGCACGGGACTCGGGGGCCAGCACGAAGGACAAGGACGGCTTGTCGGCGGCCTCGCAGGCGGTCGGTCCTGAGGGAAGAGAGGAGAAGGTCGAGGAGGGGGAGGACGATGGCGCCGCTGCCATTCCGGCGGGTAGAAACCCTTGGGACTTGCTCGGCACTGCAGGAGAGGACGGGGAAATGACGGAAATTGCTGTGGCCGCGGCGGGGATGTCTGCCTCCGCCGCGGCGAGCGGTGCGTCTGCTTTGATTATTTCCGCGGCGAGCACCTCAGAGGCGGAAGCCATGGAAGCGCTGCGGCAGCTGCTGACGCCTGCGACAGCCGAACAATTGCTGGCGGGGAGTCGGCAGCAGCAGCAGGCTGGCAAGTTCCGGATTCTGCCGCGGGGACTGAAGAACACGGGGAATACGTGTTTTATCAACGCTACGATGCAGGTAGGAGATGTTGGGCATAGATGCACGGTAGGTTGGTGGCTTGGATCATGGGTTAGGGTCCAAGCATGCACGGTGAACGGGAATAGTTGGGTACTTGTGTCGGGCAGCATGTCTGCAAGCTCGACTTATGGCATCCTATGGTGTCTTGAGCAACAGGCTCCAAAGGCCCTCCAAAGGCATCTTTCACAATAAGTAGACCCTTGGTAAACCTGCCTGCCACCGACGTATCGTCTGGCTGCAGGCCCTGCTGGCTTGCGCCCCCTTCGCTTCTGTCCTGTCCCGCTTGCCGGCCGTAGCACCCGTCCTAGAGCCGAGCAAGTCGCCCACTCTGCACGGCCTGGCGTTGCTCCTAGCGGAGCTGGTCGCGCCGCAGCCAGGTGTTACCACCCCATCGAGCGCCGGCGCTGCCGGCAGCGGGCGCGATGAGGCTCAACTAGCCGCCGAGGATGACGGCTGGGCAGAGGTGCAGGTGGGTCCATGCGCCGGCTGCTGCGGCGATGTGTGCAGTGCCACCTCTTTTGGGAACTGCCGATCGGGCATCTTTGTTCGTGTGGCCGGGGATAAGTGAAACTGCATTGCATCTTGGCGCGAGGTACATATGAGGCTGTGCGTCTTCCTTGGGCGCAAAAGGCCGAACCACGATATCAGTATGTTCCTCGTCTCGCCCTATTACAGTGCGGTCCAGACTAGGGTGGGCGATGAGCACACAAAAGTCTCGTGGCTTGGGACGGCTGCACTGAGCAAGAGCTAAGGGAGACCCCACATGACGGGTGCCTCGCACGAATCGACCTGGTGTCCGAACGGATATTTTGAGGAGATGCAACCTTGCATGTGACACTCGGTACCGTGCAAGGAAGCCCCAACCCCTCGTCAAGATGATGATGCTGAGAGGTGCTGGCCCAACAGGGATGGCCGTACCGAGCCCACCTTCCTACCCTCGCCCGCTGTGCCCAATGCCTGCCGCGCCGTTCTTTTACAGGTTAGCCGCGGTAAGAAAGCCGCTCAGCGTAGGAACAACGCCGCAAAGCCGGTGCTGCAACCCACCGCACCCACAGCGCCCGCCCCCTCCTCCGGGCCCTCCGCGTCTGGCAAGGAGGTGGTCTTGGGCGGCCAACCGCTGGTACCCTCTATGCTCAGTGGGATCGCAGCTGCCTTCAACCCGCGTATCTCTATCGCTGAAAAGCAGACGATGGCAAAGGTAGGACGAAGGGTCTCCGTTGGGAGATGGTATGGCGATGAAGGGTGGGCCCTTTGATGATGCGGCAAGAAGTTGAGCCGGTATGTGCACCCGGGTCCGAGTCTAAGGCTTGTGACATGATGCTGACATGATAAAGGCTAGAAGCCACTGCCCGAGCCTGCGGTACCGAGAGGTTAGAAATGCTTGCTCTGCGCTGTTGCAGCCGTCCGCGTTTTTCTCTGTTCTGCCTGACACTTCCTTACTGCCCGCTTTGCTCCTTGCCTTGGTTGCATTTGTAACGTCACGAACTGCGCTATGGTCTCTTCCCAGGTGCTGTCCAAGTCCGTCGTGGAGCAAGAGCAGCAGGATGCGCAGGAATTCTTCCAGTTCCTCGTGAACCGGGTGCACGAGGAGGTGTTGGGGCTTCGTAAGGCGCATGGACTGGCAGCTGCGCCGGCGGCGGCCTCTGCCTCCGCGGCAGGAGGTACGCGTGTCCTAGGATTGCACTGAGGGGTGCACTTTGTGAAGGAGGGCTGCCTCCTGTTGGTTTGCCTCCCGCCACATTCGGAATGCGTCGTGGCCGACCACAGGATGCATTTCTGTGGGCGCCGCGAAGCTCGTAAGAGTGGTGTGTCTTGGTTTGCGCCTGAAGCTCTTGAGATGCACGTTGCAGGCTGCATATGACGTCAAGAGTCCTTTTTAATCTACTGCCTTCCTATACGGCCCCCAGGGAGCGACGATGGAGAGGAATGGTCGCAGGTTGGGCGCAAGAACAAAGCGACGGTCACTCGGCAGGTGAGAGGGAGGATATCGGGTTCCTCTCTAGTGCCTTGACATCCATGACAGGAGCCCCACGCAGCGGCAGGGGCTCGCCTGGTGTCTCGCTTTCCTCGCACTGCCGCCTGGTATCTTGTAGAGGGCTCCCCTTGCCTTATACAACTCGCGGCACTTCACGTACTTGTTGCTAGCCATACATAGTCCTTTCTGAGCGTAGTCCTTCCTAATTGCTACCGCGGCGACTGTTTATCGCTTCCATTGCCTCTACTTACCGTTGCCTCTGCTACTGCTGCTACTGCTGCTGCTGTTGTCGCCGCTGCCAGGTGGGCACCCCCGCCGATGACGCCTCCTCCCGATCCCCAGTAACCGCCATTTTCTCCGGCCTGGTCAAGAGCACGATACGCTTCCAGCAGCCCCACGCCAACTACAAACCCAGTGCCACCATCGAAGTCTTCAACATGTTGCACTTGGACATCGCTGCGGAGGGAGTCAACACACTGGAGGATGCGCTGAGGCACCACTCGGTACCGGAGAACATCGGTGCGTGCTTGGAGGCTCCTGGAAGATTGCCTCGCGCGCATAGAGCCATGCTGTTGACGTGGCGTTTTGAAGCTGAAGCTGTTGACGTGGCGTTTTGGCAGCCTCTGCTGGGCCATGTGTTCCGCGTCCTCTCTTCCTTGCTCTTGGCTCTTGCCTTTGAAGCCTAGGTGCTGTATCAGTAGTTTAGTAAACGTTTCCCGCGCTTGCCGCGCCTGTGCCGATTTCATGTATTCTATACTCGCCGACATCATTTCATTTCCCTCCTGCCACGTGCTTTCCGGGCCCAGAGTACAAGCCCGAGGGCGCCAGCGAGATGCTTCCCGCCAAGAAGGACGTGCGGCTATACCGGCTGCCGGAGGTGCTGGTGCTGCACCTCAAGCGATTCACCTACACGGCGGCGGGTGGCGGCCACTACACCAAGCTGCAGAAGTCAGTGGCGTTCAACTGCTTGCTGCGACTGGAGGGCAAGGTGTGCGATACGACCACGCTTGCATCATCGCACGCATGGGAAACCTATGGAAATGGGATTTAGGGAAGTGGTGCAAGGATAGGAGCTACCCGGAGCTTTACCTGGTCCGCTGCTGTTGCGCGGAAGAGGCGGCCATCGAGGTTTAGGCCAGGGAGGGAGAGGTGTCGGGCTGGGATTTACGCGGGCAATGCTTTGAATTCTAGTGGAGCGGAGCCAGTATCTGTGTGTGGCAAATGTTGAAAGCACAGCGTACGAGCTGACGGACGAGCTGACCATCTGCGCTTGGCTCGGTAAAAAGGGAACGTAACCTGTCTTGGCACCGTTCCACGTACCCGTGAATCATGTTGCCTGACACCCTTTCCCTTTTTGCCTCGGCCACCAGGTTTTAGCTGAGGACTGCCCTGACCGCGCCAATGCGGAATACCGCCTCTTCGCCACCATCAACCACCATGGCCGGTCCATTGCAGGTGGGCTAGTTTGGTCTACAGGCAAGGTCTTAGTACGGCACTTCATTTTGCGCCTGCCGGGCTTCTGCTTTAAGGGTTACAAGTTCCCCACGAATCGGGGCCTGTCCGTCAAAGCCCGGGGGCCATGGATATTATTGAAAACTCATTATGCCCGAACTAAAAGTGCAAGCCGGTTTTGGATCCTGCCATCCAGATCCCTCCTCATCCAGTCACCCGAACATCCGTACGGGGGGTTTAGTAATCATCACCAATCCAGCATGCGAGACTTAGTCCATCAACTGGGCCGCGTCTCCACGTCTCAGCAGCTAGCCATAATCTCATTCGCCCGGCCAATGTCGGGGATCTGCCCAGAAACCGAACCCAGGACCTTAACCTTCTAAATGCAGTGTTATCACCAGACCAGCCTAAGTCTGGCCGTGCCAATAACTCACTTGTGATGCCCTCGCGGGCCTGGGAACACGCGCACCCCACACGGGCGCCAGCATACGTATACTTCCCGATGAGGCCAAGCGCTCTCCCTGGTGTCCCGGTCTGTTGAGCAAAGCCTTGACTGGGTTCTCATCACTTTGGCTTCCTGACTGCACTTGCCGTCCTCCGTGCCCTTCCCCCCCTACGCATACCAGGTGGCCACTACATTGCGGACGTGCAGCAGCCCGATGGCTGCTGGCTACGCTTCAACGACGAGCACGTGCTGCTGGTGTCCGAGGGGGATGTGCTGCGGGAGAGGCCCTACCTCCTGTTCTACCAACGAGTACCACAGAGAGCCCACAGGCAATCGGACGCGTGATGTGAGCAGCAGGATGCGCTGCCACTTGCCAATAGGCTCTGGGTTAGTAGCCTTTCAGGGCCGCCGGGGCTGTTGAGATGGAAACGAATATTACGACGCAGGGAAGGCCCGAGAAGTTGTCTGTCTTTTGGTTAAGAATGGCGGGGACGTAGCCACACTTTCGTTCTTCCTGGTCCTATTACAGATGCGCATATGTGATGGTATAGGCAACGCTGGTTTACGCATCGGTAGGGCACGGGCCGCGGGGAAATGCTTGTTGTGCGCCAACGAGAGCTACTGGGGCCACAACGACCGGCACGTTCGCTACGATTGCATGCTGGCGTGGCGTTGCCGGCCGGGCTAGAATTGCGCAGCCAGTCTAGATTTCGCAGATGTTGCGGTGGGCGTTCTGTATTACTTAAGTCTTAAGCAGTTCCTCAATGTCGTCAGGGGCGATGGCAGGGGGGTGGACGGGACGTACGTGTGCCAGCGGCCAGGGTAGGTGTGCAAGGTCCCGAAGGATTGTGGCCGAACCAGCTCAGGTCGAGCGGCAGTTTATTCGGTAGAGGGAGGTCCCGAGTTTTGATTACTTCATAATCCATGGCGTGTACATCAGTGGCATCGCCACACGGCACGGGAGAGCATGCTCATGTAGTTTTTTCCATTCAGGAGTGCAGCAGGAGTGCGCACCGTTTGCATGCAATTCACACGAACCTAGATACCTTTGTGCACCTGCGCTGTTATAAACTTGGGCAACGGCGTTTCACCTGTAAACTGTGACGTCAGGTTTATCATCTGTTGCTACGAAAATTGCAATATGGTAGCTAATTTTGCTAAGCAAAAGCAAGCCGAACTGGTGACTACGTTTTGGTCCACAGAGCGCAATTCATGTCACCTGACGCTGTTGTACGCCAACATGTTCACTAACGTCCTGTTAGTGAAGCGGAGGAATGTCATCTGGAATGAATGGCCGTGTGATCATTTCAAGCCATCGACTCGATGCACACGGATCCTTTACTGAGATCCAGATGGATCCAAGGTGGGCACTGCAGCTCAGGATGTTCGTCAACCGGAATAACAGGAGCGTCCAAAAACCATAAACCGTTTGTGACTCCACTGCAGGCCCCCCTTCTCCGGGGGCGACTAAGATCTACTCGCCATTCATGACGCAACGGCGAGCCGAACAAATCAGGTACCAATACTGTAGCGGCCAGACGAGATTACCTAATGCTACAATGCCAGCTGCTCGGGGCCGGGAAATGACCACAGACAGAACCATTTACCAGCGTGGCCACCGCGCTAGCCACCGTGTGATGTGGTAGCATCCTTCCAGGCGAAAGAATCACATCCTGGTCCCCTTCAACGACTTGCCGTGCACAGCCGTGCATGGTCTGGAAACCAACATGGGACAGAAGTGTCGTTGTAACAAGCAATGTTGCTATAAGAATGCGAAACACCGTAACAAAGGAATGAAATAAATCATGTCCTGCACACATCCGCGGCCGCTCCGCTCATTTTCTTTATTTCATTGCTGCTATTGTTGCTATTGTTGCTGTTGCTGCTCTTGCTGCTGTTGCTGCTGTTGCTGCTGTTGCTGCTGTTGCTGCTGTTGTTGTTGCTGCTGCTGCTGCCCTGCCACCGGCACCTGCATTCCTGCCGCGATCGCAGCAGCCGCAGCCGCATGCATTACCTCGCTGCTCCCACCCGCCTCCGGCGTCCAGGTGGCATCCGCACTCGCACCAGCCCCTGGCCCCACATCCGGCGGCTGCTGCACCGGCTGCTGCAGCAGAACCGCCGGCAGCTGCAGCGGCGTGAGGCCGCTCAGCTGGTTGGGTTCGGCAATGCCTGCCGCCACCGCCCAGCGCCCCGCGTCGTTGCGCCCCGCCTCCAGCAGCACCCGGATGAAGCGGTAGCTACGGGGGTGCAGGGCCGCTGCCAGCATGTAGCGGAAGCTGTGCGTGGACCGGGAAGGAACCGGGACCGTGGGGAGGGGGAGGGAGGACAGGAGTTAGGGTGGGACTTCGCTGGAAGGGGGTTAACCGCTGCATGGAGGCCAGGCGGTTTTCACTCATCCAAATGGTACTCCCACTAGGGTGGATTTCGCTGTAGACGTTGTAGCACAACATAAAGCACATGGGAGAAAAAAGCACGTAGAAGTACAGGCGGGAGGCCGAAGTTCCCTGACCTAACAATGCGCCGTGTAGAAGTGCACCGCGGATTCATGCTGCGCATCAAGGTTGAAGGTTTTGCCAACCGCGTGCTCACCATCGCCATCGCCCTACGCCCACATTCCCTTTCCTTCCTAAAATCACCCTCCGTACCGGCGGCCGCCTACCACCCTTTCGTACTGACAAGGTCCTGAATCCGTGTCTGCTCCTCGCCCTTTCCTTCCATTCCTTACTTGTACGGCCAGGGCCCGAAGGCGTCTGGAGAAATTCCCAAGTCCAGCTGATGAAGGGCCCGTGCGCGGTTGAAGATGGGCAGCCGGGCCACTTGCTGACGTGGGAAGCAACACACCTGAAGCGTTGGGGTCGGGGTTAGGGAAGTGGGAGCGTCCCGGGTTGTAAAGCAGGGAATATAGCTGAGTGGAGAGAAAGGGGGGGGCTAATACCCCCTGGGTAAGGGGTATCAAGCGGCCATTAAGCGTGCGGGCAAAGCAACCCTAAGACCAGCAACACAGGGCGGCAAGACCACGTTTCAGCGTCGCTTCCGGAAACCGTGAGACCGGTGTGGGTTGTGAGATAAATGGGCAGAGGTCTGATGTGGGTTGTGGGAGGCGGGTAGGAAAAGGAAAAGGAAAAAGAAAAGGGAGGAGCCTGAGAGGATTCGGAGCTGTTCACCCATCGAATGAGTGGAGTGGGGTGCGGCCCTGCTGGGATGAGCCGGATACAGCCGGCCGAGGCGGCTTGATGAAAGGCCATTCCATGTACCCTACGGGTGATGTACACCCCGTACCTTGAGCAGGAAGGCATGTGATGCTACAGGCGTGGGCAGCAGCTCCGTGACGCCCCCGTCCACCGTCCTCTTGCCGCGAAACGTTGTGGTCACATCCCCGTTGAAATAGGTGGGAATGTGACATGACGCCATCAGCGCGCGGATGAGGTCTTCGCGGGAGGCGAAGGAGGACACTCGCCGCGTGCGGGGCCGCGGGAACAGGTGCGTGACGCTGACAGTGGCCACACCCGCGCACCGCTCCGCCGCGTCGGCTGGCAGACTAGCCTGCAGCTGACGCAGCAGCACCTCCTCTAGGCGGCGGTACGAACCGTTGGTACGGCAGTCATGTACGGAGTCGAGGAAACTGTCGAGTATCCGCGTGGGTGTGAGGCCGCAGGCGAGGCTGACGGCGATGAGGCTGCCCGCGGAGGAGCCCGCCAGGGGTGTGGGACGAGTGGGGCTGAGAGGCGGGCTGAGTAGCGGACTAGGGGAAAGGGATTGGTCGGTGGTGGGGTTTGTGTTTTTGGAAGGTTCGGAGCCGGGGTTGGTATGTGGGCTGTGGTTTGGATCGCCATCTGAGCTTGAGCCGGGGCCAGGGTTGGAGTCGGGGTTTGGGCTTGGGACAGATTCGAGGTACGTGGTAGCGGTGTTGCCGATCCGCAAGACGCCCAGCTGTAGCAGCGTATCGGCGACGCCGATAAAGTACGGCAACAGGAAGCCGCCGCCACTAAAGGTGATGGCCAGACTGCACGGGAAGGAGAGCAGAGGGGTGCGGGTGTGTGGGCGCGTTATAAGCCTTGCAACAAGGGATATAGAGGGCAGGAAGCAAAGTGGGAAACGCTAACCTTCGAACAGGACGCGAATGGCATGTGACTGCGGTAGGAAGGGTTGTGGGCAAGGGATTGCCCACAGCCCCTTACTATTGCAGTCATATGCCATTCTCATCCTTTCGCGCAGGCTTTATAAATGCCATGCACGGAGGAGAGTTGCGAGTTTTGATTTCAGTACAATCCTGGGTTCGCACCTGCCAGATTTGTGTGCCTCGGCCGCTGGATGACAATTCAAATCCTGGTTTGCAGCTGGATCCCGCGCCCGCACGGGGCGCGGCTCGCGGCCGCTGCGCCTATTCTTGACGTTTCGACTGCTAAGCGTGTCGTCGACAGCCGCAGGTGGGCCAAAGCAACCGCAGAAGGTGCGTTCACCTCCAAAACAGCTCACCATCTCGTGTCATATATGAAGGGAAAGCTTGACGGAGTATATGTCCAGAGGACCCTGATTAACGGGCATGTTACAACTACACCAGCGCTATCTACGTACAGCTTGCAGTCGCATATTAAATTATTAATCATGCAATGTACATACAAAGGGAAGCTAAAAGCTTGCTTGGTTGCGTAGGCCTCAGCGGAATTAGTTGATGAAAGCCGTTGCAGTACTATTACCTTGGACTACCAGGGGCCATCCTATGCACCGACGGAGTCACGTATGTGTTGCTGCATCGGAGTGTCTCACATGCTCACACCTGGTCATCTTTCATTTTATCGGGACAACGGTGATTCGTCCTGTCCATGTCTATGCTTTCAAATCCTTCCTGCTCGCTTCGTTACCATTTACCTAATTCAGTAGGAAGATATCGACGGAACTTATCGACAGACAAACAGCCTTGCGCAGTTTGTGCTTTTGCCACCTCGTCGTGTCTCCCAATACGACAGCTAGCTTTTTGGCTTCCTAAAGCAGGCCGTCCCCGCATGGCGTCTGCAGCTACTTCACTCCCACATCCCACCTCAACCATGCCTACTCCGGAATCTAACAAGCCAGTTGTCATAGCCTCCAGGCAAGGCATGCCCTGCTGCGCATGCATGCCTTGATCCACGGTGGTCGCGACAGCCCCTCTCCCTCTCACCTCTCTTTTCCCCATACATTGAACCCATCTGTAAGATAACCGTTATAACCCATATGTATTACATCAATTGCCTCGCAAAGCACATGTGAATGTTAATATCCCACATCGGCTGCATCTGGAACACGCGGATTCTCCTACCGCGGCCTGCTTGGCTGCTAGCCTCCTGGGACACCTTTCGACCGACACCAGGGTCGCCGCATTCCGGAACGCGCTTTCCCAAACCCCTTCGGTAACCCCCGCTACAACTCATGCCGCCCCCTGGGGGCCTCGACCTCATCACGAGCCGCTGCCGAACCGGCCGCAACCCCTGCCCCACCCCACTTCGTGGTCCACATCTGGGCACCCACCACGGCCCCGTCTCCCTCTCGGTTACCCGCTCCGCTCCCTCCCGCTTTGCAACCGGTGCGGTGCTGTGCCTGAAGCCGCATCCCTATTCCCTCGGCACTTGTGATGGCGGTGGTGGTGGTGGTGGTGTCCCGTGGTGGACCCACCCCGGTGATGTGGGGACTGCGAAACCGGTTCATCACGTTCCCCCATTTTGCAATTACTACCTCCTGTGGGTGTCCTCGTCGTGCAGATCCCGTTGGCCGTTTTTCGACGTTCGGTTGGAGGTTGGTCCCGTGGAGGTGTCGGGTGGTGGTAGTTGGCGCGCCGAGCTGGGAACGGAGGTTGGGCTGCGCGGGAGCACCACCCGGGAGCATCCCGAGAGGCAACAGCAGGAAGAGGAGGAGGGGGAGGAGGAGGAGGATGTTTGTCAGGATGTTGGTAATGTTGCGATGATGGAACACATCAATCTGGAGGTGGGAGTTACCCCTAGGAGGGGGAGAGGGATAAAGGGGGTGATAGGGGGGAGGGGAGGAGAAGGGGTTTTGGGGACGAGGTGTGATTCGGGGAGGCAGCAAGTGGAAAACCTGTGTGGTGCACTCGGTGGCGAACCTCAAAGCAAACAAAAGGTCCAGGGCTTGGAAAGGGCCCCAAAACAGCTCTATTGGTTCAGAACCAGGAACTAGATTACTCACGTGTCGCACTCCGCACCTCTGGACACCCTTCCCCCCCTGGACATCAAGATGCTCAGATTGATGGCGGACAACGACTATATGGTGGCGCACGACACGCTACATATCGGCACACATATATCTCGCAGCTGCGCCATTGCTGTGGACTCCTTCAGCCGTCTGCGGATCTGGACACGTCTGCCATTGTTTACCCTCCTTGACTTTGCAAATAATGACCCCCGTCCTCCTCCTCTTCATACCTCCTTCCTCCCCCCCCACCCCTCGCGCGCACCCTCCGTACACAGGTCCCGGATCTGGAGGTGGCCCGGCTGTTCTACGGGGAGGGGTTGGGTCTCACCGCCGACCCTGGCACCTCCGGGCCTCAGAGGGGGGGGCTGCATGTGATGTGGTACAACTGCGGAAGGCAACAGGTGAGTGAGTCGGTGCTGTGTAACTAGGAATAAGAAGGGGGGATGGGCGGGGTGGAGGGTGATAAGGCACTGGGTGCTGACTGCCGTGCTAGTTTGTTGTGTGTGTGGGTATGATGGCGGATAGGTGGGTAGGTGGGTGGCCCCCTCGGGGGAATCCGGGGGATCACGTAACCGCCGTTATGGTGCCGTACCGCGCTGTCCAGAGCAGGAATGTACGGGAGTAGCAGGGGAGGGAGAGAGAGGCAAGGGGGTGGGGTGGGGGGGAGAGAGGACGAGGGGGGTTGTGTGAGGCAGGGATATACGCCATATGACCTTACTTCCCAACTACTCCCTCCGCATTACAATATCATAACATTTCAAGATCATCATCATCATCAACAACAACAACAACCGGTTGGCCGAATGTCTTTCTCCCTCCCTCCTCCCTCCCCCTCCTTCCCTCCCTCCCTCCCTCCTCCCTCCCCCTCCTCCTTCCCTCCCTCTCCCTCTGTGTCTCTCCTCCTGGTGGTGATGCGGGTGATGGCAGTTCCACATCGCCCGCGGCCCGCGGCCCCAGGTGCTGCCCTCCGGGGGTTCCGTGGTGGGCCTGGTGATGCCGGGGGAGGTGGCGGAGGTGGCGGAGAGGATGGAGGGTGTACGGAAGCTGCTGGGGTGGGTAGTGGGGTGGGAGGTTGGGTTTCGGAGCTAGGCGAGGAAGGAGCAACCACGAATCCAAACCCAGCGGGGTAGGGCGAATTTTGTGAGGGGGCTGGAGAGAGGAGGAGTGGAGGCCGGCGGGCTTTGTGGGGACGGCAGTGAAGGGAGGAGGGAGGAGGGACTTGTGTTGCTTTACCGGGTGGTGATGAGCGCCGGAAAATACAACCCCCGAGCGCGCTGTTGACATCTAGTCGCCAGCCACCACTGCTCGCCCTTCATTCCTGCATTCCACCCTCGGTCCCACAACCCCCCCCCCATAGGCCGCTTCGGAGGCACCAAAGACCCCCTGGCACCCCACCCCCCGTCACCGCCTCAACAGGGACGTGGCACTCACCCACGCCGGAGGCGATACCCTAGAGGTCGTCGACCCGTACGGCAATACCTTCGCCGTACATTCCTCCTTGCCGTACTTCCCCCGGGGCCGCCGGGGCATCGCGTATGTGCAGCTGCCCTGCTTCCCTGGCACGGCGCGCCACATCGCCACCTTCTACGCGACCAGGCTGGGTGCCCGCTGCCGCGTCAGTGAACAAGACCCCACCACCACCTCCACCACCTCCACCACCGCTACCACGACCCCGGCGGCAGCGCTTACAGCCACAAGTAGGGGCAGTGGCCGCGGCGGTGGCGGCGGTGGCGGCGGTGGCGGGTCCCGGTTCCCCCTCCGTGCCGAGGTGGTGGTGGGCCCGGGTCAGAAGCTGGTGTTTGTGGAGCAGAGCCGCCTGGGAGCCGGCTCCCGGGAGGTGGGGCACCCGCACAACGCCACTTCCGTCACCGCTACATGCATACATACATACGCGCCGATAGATAACACTCCATCACGGTATACTTGGCACAGCCTCCTGGTGGCGCGGGAGGGAGGACAGGCCCCGGGGGACACCATCGGCCGGAGAGATTCTTTGCGAGGGTCGCAATCCCCTCCCCCCAACCGCACTCCCCCAACCGCACTCCCCCAACCGCACTCCCCCAACCACACTCCCCCAACCGCACTCCCCCAACCGCACTCCCCCATCTGCTGTTTCCGCTGCTGTTGCTGCTGACAGACAGTTGGGGTCGGGAAAGGGGGTAGGGAGATGATGCACACCTTCACACCTTTCGGGTCGTTTTAGCCATCCGGGGTTCACTCCGCAGTAGTGCGGCACATACATACACACATACACACACATACACACTCACACTCACACACAGACGGCGCACACAGCACGCATACACACACCCCACGGTCACGGCCTCTCAGCCAGGGACCCACCCCACCGAAGAGCCTATACCGCGATGTCAGGATGTGGCACCACCCAACCGCTTCATCCTGAACCCCCAAAAGGCAGTGACGTCCTTGTTCGGCGGCTGGCACCTAGCCATGTACGTGGCGGACTTCTCCCGTACATTCCGTGCCGTACACCACCCCAACCGACCGCCGTTCAACGAGCACCCGTACAGGTGAGGTGGGGCCCGCTATGGGGCTCAGAAGCGGGAAGCGGTTAGCAGGACAAGATTGGGTGTCGGCTTCAAGGAAGCCGGAAAAAGGGCGGGGCCCCTCTGCATCCGTACAGGCCGGTAGCAAGGGTGGCAAGTGTGACAATTGATGGGTAGTGTCAACGCAGTGGGAGATGTGCTTTGTTGCGTTGTTGGTGTGAGAGCTAAGCTTGCACCGGCGGAATCGTCAGCACCGCCTGCGGGCTCCACGCGAATCGCATCCATCCCGGGTGCATGCCGCATGGACAGTGCGGCAGACCGCAAGTCGGAATGCCCGTGCGGGCAAATGGTAACGGAAGCTGGGTGAATTTCGGTGCTGTCTGTGATGTTTATCCCCGAAGCGCCAGCGGCCTCAGCAATCCGCCCCACAGCCGCGGGCTTCATCGGGGCACACCGCAAGTCTCCAGAGGCCCCGTGCATTGGCCAAAGTAAATGTACAAACAAGCAGCTTGTGTATTTCATAGAGAAATGAAAGCAAATTATGTTGGCCTGCTGGTGGCAAGTCGGATTGCCCATGCCGGCAAATGGTAACACAAGCTGGGTGTTCGAGTTATCATACGCCGTCATCTCAGAATTCCATTATGAGATACGCGGCAGTTTTCGGGATGAAATCTAGCGCGAGAGGCGTTGATGTGACTTTTGAGGTCGGTGAATGGAGGCAGCTAAACTTGTTTGTGCTCATACGGTCTTTGTTAGCTACATGCGAGATACCTTGCAATAGAGAATGCTGTATAGTACCGATAACGCGTTTCAGCCGGGTGAAATATTATGTTTGGTCCGTTACACACTCAAGGCCTGGGAGTTCGAGTTATCATACGCCGTCATCTCAGAATTCCATTATGAGATACGCGGTACCTTTCGGGATGAAATCTAGCGCGAGAGGCGTTGATGTGACTTTGGCCTCGGTCAATTGAGGCAGCCAAACTTGTTTGCGCTCTTACAATTTTTGTTGGCTACATGCGAGATACCTTGCAATAGAGAATGCTATATAGTACCTATAACGCGTTTCAGCCAGGCGAGATATTATGTTTGGTCCGTTACAGACACACGCACACACACACACACACACACACACACACACACACACACACACGGACATGGGCAATCCTACAGGTCGGGGCCCCCCTGGGCACTTCGCGCTGGGGCCCCGCCCAAAAACGGTCAACCGCCATGCCGTTCGTACTTTCCCCCGCAGGGACAAGTACGGCAACCTTCAAGACGCGCTCCGGAACCGGCAGTTCCGCTTTCAGGACATAATTGCGACGGAGCCGGGGGCTGAGGGTGATGGGAAGGGGGAGGGGGATGAGGAGGTGCTGCTGTACCGCATCAGCCACGAGATACGCAGCCTGCACCATCCGCTGTACGGTAGACCGCTGTACGGCAGGGAGACCGGATTCGTCTGAGTACAAGGGATTGTATTGGGTATGTGTGCGTGTGTTAGTATCTGTTGCGGAAACCCTGTTATTGAAGTCTATGTGCGGCTCGGGGCCCCAATAAATAAACTCGTAACGATAGCATTTGTAGTAATGATGTCGGAACGGCATTGAAAGCATGGAAGAAGGATATGCACAATATTGGAGTCGGATGTCTCACGTCGGCTCTCGGGTCGGCCTAAGACCTTTCATATCTTAGTGGTTGTGGGCGACAGTTGCTAGTTGGTGGTTAACAATTCAGTTGGGCATCTCCACCAGACATCGGCAAATGGGGTATTTCTGGTTTCGGGAACGGGTCTATTTCTGTCGGACTTTGGTCGTCGGGCCGCATAACACCTTTCGAATACGGCGTATAATCCTATTTTTGCAAGCCGGCCAGCTTCGGGAACTCTATTTCTGTTTTCAGGAGTTTCGGTACAACCCGAAACTCCCGAAGCGTTTGCCGATGTCTGATCTCCACAGCTAAGCCTGTGTGTGTGTTGAGGAGGGGGGAAAGAGTAGATTAGGGCTATACGTTAAGCATGGCTTGCTTGTACGAATATGTTGTAGCGTTACTAGCGAGGTTGCGGCGGCGTCTGTAACAAGACTTTGGTTGTTTTCTGGGGCGCTAGCATCAGAGCATTGCGCTGTAGCTTTCAACCCTTACAACTTCTACCGCAATGCCTGCCACCTCGCGCAGGGCAAGTTCATTTGCACATTCGTTTTTGGCACAGTACCGCCAGCTACGAAATCCGCTATCATTTACGCACAGACAGGGACAGGGCTACACACCACTTCTCAGGTCGAAGTTCATTCGATGTCAACTCCAGGGAGGGAGAGACCTACTTGCCGTGTGAACTCGCATCTGTACGTAATACGTCCTTTCGGCCGTAAAAGCCATGACGCAATCAAAAAGCAACTTTTGCTTCTAGAGGTAAAAAAACCGACAGCGGCCACACAAATGCAACTGTGCAGTGACGACGAGGCGAACGAGCAGTCCAGGTTTTAGTAGACCGCGGAACCCGCTGTACTATAATGCTAGAGATATTGCAAAGAAGTCGGCGCCGGTGACCAGGGACTTACAAAGCCACAAAGCAGGGTGAAATAGTTGATTAGCAGGAAGGTGTAAATTGGAGAAAAAGTATTTGAAAGGGGATGGACGTTGAAGCCATGCAACAGTCCAGACCAACCGTAGCAGCAGCAACAGCCTTCAGGTTTAGATTTTATGCCCTTATCCCTCCACACCTCTCCACTCCGCAAGATTTGTCCGTATGTATGTATGTTGTTACAGGGTGGTTAACTTCGCCAGCGGCCCCCTTTCCCGGGGCAGTCCCTGCTCTCCCCTGCTAGAGGGGCACCCTAATCCGTATGTATATACACATCCATAACCTCCCTTACCCCACCACCACCACTCCTATTCTATTCATACCAAGCTCAAGCTCATCACCACCGCCGCTACTGCTACCAACAGCACACTCAGTTTGGCTCACCTGCACAGAATGTCATGCAGGCGGCTCAGCCAGCGCCTCTTTCCTTTGAAGCTGCTGGTGAGGTAGCTGCTGGTGAGGTGCCGGCAGCGAGGTGGAGGCAGGGGACCCGGCGCTGCGGCCGCGACAGGTGCGACGGACATCCCCCCCCTCCGACCTCACGGGGGGTGTTCCAGTGCTTCCGAAGCGTCAACGCCAGACACGTACCATCAACGGCTATCAACTAATTATCATTCAGCAGCGCCGTACAGCAGACCTAAGCTTTGCTGTACGTTGCCGTGCGCATCCATGTTGAGTTGTTTCGGTTGCGCCGGAGCCGCTCCTAACGCACTCAATGAATTCAGCAATGAGAAATATTCCCCATCCTCCTCCTAACCTCCAATACCACCACCACCACCACCACCAGCAGTACTCGTTCCCCGTCGGAATCAAATCAGTGATCCTCTCCTCCGCCTTTACCTCTCATCCCTCTCCTTGGGCCCTCTAAGGTGCAGTTTCGTGGTGTGCGTACCACCTACCTAGAAGCGAATGTCCCGAACAACTTCAACACCTCCAGCCCGCTTCACTGGCATGTTCTTCTCCACCTCCCCACCCCACCTCGTTCGGGTACGGTGATGTACTGCAACCAGGAATCTGTACCCTCCCAATGGTGTCATACGTACAACCGCCAACCGCAACTGCAACTAACATTCCTCGTAAACGCTCGGATCGTTCGAACGCTCAATAGAATCAATATGCCCCGCTGCATGCACCATTAACTTTTAAGCTGCCGTACGCATGCCGTACGTAAGCCCTATCAGAATGCATGCGCGCATTGGCAGGCCTCCGGCGTGCATGCAACATCTAAGCATGCACATGCACTTCTCCGGACGTGGGCGCTCCTCGGGAAGTGGTTGGCACTCCACATCCCCCCCGACACCTGATAGCATGTCCAACGGCGCCGCAGCCCACGGGCCGTTTGCCGTGCGGGCACATTCCCCAAGAGTCACATGTGTGCCGCGCGTGCGTGTATGCATTGTGTGTGTGTGCTGTGTGTGTGCGTGTGCATTGTGTGTGTCTGTATATATGTGCACCGCAACCAAGCTCTGGGGGCACAGGCAGTCCGTGTTGGCGACCAGGCGGCGTTGCTCTTCCCTCTAGCCCGTCCAGGTTGCACAGGTGCCGCAGCTAAGCAGAGCCAGTCCAGGGGCTAAGACATGCGGGCGGCAGCAGGCGACAATTCTGCATGGACGGCGCTCAGCCTGATCGTTTCGGTCGTGCGTTTTTAGTCCCCCCACTTAATTGCACCCACCCTGGACAACCTGAAGGGGACAACCCCACCATCACTATCGTCATCAATACATAGGGAACCTAGGTTTGTCGTATTTCGCTACACACTACCTCAAACCTATTGAAACTTCCAACAATTCAAAATTTTATTTTGTTTTCAATACCTCTATATACAACACAACTTGAGAGCAGCCAGCACGTCCGCCCATGCAAACCCCAAACATGCCGTACTCACACAAACAAAACCCGCCCGAGGCCCTCAAAAACACACTTTTCGTTATCGGGAGCCAGGACAGCATTACGAAAGTCCCCTCTCTGTCGGGCCCCCCTACATATGCACACATACACCGCAACACTCCTCGCGACTGTGCTGGTGTTTTGAAAACGGTTTTTCACCTTTTCCCTTGAACAGGCTATACCTCGGATTTTTCAGATGAGGCCCCCACTCATGAAGGGCCTTGTCACGACCATATCCCCTCAGCTCCCCCCCCCAACCCCGTCACCCGCGCTCGCCGTCCTACGTCGTGCAACTGATTAACTCACCAGCCCTTGAACCCCGGCCCCGGCCCCAGCCCCAGCAGTACTTGCTCCTCCTCCTCGATTTTCCGAGCTGTAGCCACCAGCAGGCCTTGCAGCATGTCATTAACCTGGCCCGCAGCGTGGCCCTTGAGCACCTGGGGCGGGGGAGGGCGGGGGAGGGCGGGGGAGGGCGGGGTGAGAGAGAGAGACGAGGAGGAGGGACGGAGGGCGGCTGACGACTGAAGGGGGTGGTGGCGGCAGTGGTGGCAGCGGTGGTAGTAGTGGTGGTGATGGTGATGGTGGTGGTGGGGTTTGTGTGTGAGGGGGGGTTTGGGTGGATGGCAGCCAGGCACGGCAATGTGGGTGGCGAGAGAGAATCCTACGAGGACTTGGGGGTCGTCGCACGTAAGACTGTCCACTTACAGCCGTCCTATCCTCATTAGGCAGCACTCTGCCCAACCCTAAAGCAGTGGGCCGGCAGCTGCTAGGTGCCGTGCAACTTATATGTGATGGTGCTGGAGGGGCGTGGCGGTTCTGAACTAACCCCTTCAAACCAGTCCCGCCCACCCCCCAGGGGTTCATTTCGAGGGGTTCAAACCAACCGGTTCAGAAGCTGGCACCACACGGCGCGCGCTGCCGTACTTCACCTGGTTAATGGGGTACGGCGGGCTGACCTTCGGCGAGATGGCTTTGCGGACCCGGATAGTCGTGGGGTAGAGGGGAGGCGCCTGCAGCCGCTGCTGCGTCAGCGGTGGCTGCACTGCGCACTGCGCCGCATGGGAGGCCCCGAAACCAGTGGCGCCAACACCAATACCAACACCCGCACCGGCGGAGGCGGCGGAGGTGGCGGCAGCACTGCCTGGCACGCTGCGAAAGATCGTCAGAAGAAGCGGCGGCAGCGCCGTCGTCGCCGTTGTCGTCGTGAAGGGGTTGTTTATGGCAGCGAACATCCCAGCAAAATCGCCGACGCCCCCACCATTATTGCCGCTGCTACTGCTGCTGCTACGGCCTGCAGATGCGCTCCCCGCGCTGCAGCGTTCCAAACTGCCGCTACTGCTACTGCTGGTTAAACTGCCCGCGCTGCTGCATCTGGAGGACAGCCTCAAGGCATGTGAGCGGGGCTCCGAGGAGGTGTCGCTGCAGGCGGAGGGTGACGGGGGCGCCAAGCCCGCCGCTTCTCGCCTCAGTCTTAGGCGGCTCAGATCCCCAACGGCGTCCGCTTGGTCACTGGTGGCGTTGGCGACTCCACCGTCGGCGGCGACGGCGGCGGCAGCGGCGGCGGCGGCGGCTGGCCCCCTGGAGCGAGTTGGGCCCCCAGGTGCACCTCGGCTTCCGGCTCCGGGGCCCCTGCCGTCGGGTCCGGTTATGGTCCAGGTGCCCTCGTACTTGCGGAGGAACCCGGGCTCCCGCAGGACGAAGGACACCTGCGCGGGGGGAAGGACAGACCAGCGGAGGAAAGGGGAGTAGAGACCCGTGGGTCAGTGGTAAGAGGAGTGCGGTACCAAAGCTTAGTGGCTGGGGAAGAAATAAACGACTCCCTCGCCACCAGGTGCGCCCGCCCTCACCACCCGGCCGTGTGTCGGGTAAACCCCTGCCTGGCACCTTGCGGATGCACACCTGAGCTATGTGATGATGTGCGTGTGTGGGGGTGGGGGGAGCTCCCAAGAGCAAACCACTCCCCCCACAAACACACACACACACACACACACATCGGCCCTGCCTGTCATCATGTCACATAGCCGCGGCCGCCCGGCTTATTGCCTGCTGAAGTACCCACAAACACCAAACCACCACACAGGGCCACCAACTGCGGCGATTCCCTCCTGGTGGTTCAGATCATGAAAACACACAGTCATGTCGGGATGCCCCCACCCCCCCTCACCGTTCCTAGCTCCCGATCGGTCGTCATCCACAACCTGTTGTCACACACGCCGCCAACCTTCCAGAACCTCCACCTCGCCCGGTAGTCCAGCCGCCACTTCCGAACGGGACCCTCCTCCGAAACCAGCTCGGCACTGGCGGACTGCGCACGATGACGGCGGCGGCGGCGGCGATATGCGATATGAACACCCACATGTGAGTTGTGTTGCTGGCGGGCGTGTCTGGGCAAACTAGTACCTATTAATTACTAATCCATTCGAAACCCAAAAATCTCAATAGGTCCTATGGCTTAATGTGCCTCTACGGATGTCGGGTGACTGGATGAGATGGTGTCTAGGTAGCAGACACCAGAAACCACTGTTGATTGAACGGTGGAATCAACTTTCAATATACATAGTCCATGGCCTCCCGGATTTGACGGATCCCCCCGCACTCGCGCGGCACTTGTAACTAACCTAGCCTGCTCCCCACCCTGCTCCCCACCTCGATGGCATCGAATATCCTCTCGTGCTGGTGCGGGTCTGCCAGCAGGTCGAATATCACATCCGCGGGGGCGTCCACGTGACTGCACAAGTCCACCACCGCTGTGCTGCGGTCCTGAGGGTGGCGGGTGTGGAGGGAGGGGAGGGAGGAGGGTGTGGAGGGAGGGAAGGGATGGGAGGGAGGTAAGACGAACCACCGATGATTGAAACATAGGGGGAAGGTGGGGCCAGGACAGATATGGATTGGTGTGGGGAGGTCAGATCGCAATGCGGTGGCCTCGTATAAGGCGAGGGATGAAGGACGCGAGGAGCGCCGGGAGGCTGGCCCGCAGTTGCACGTTCGAACATCATGAACATCGATTCCCCGGGAGGCGCTATGTGGGGAGGCGCTATGTGGGAATCCACCGCTACCCCCTACCGCGTGCTGGGGGATTCTGCACAGACACCTCATGCATGAGCAGGTCACGTATATGCGCGGGAATGCGGGCGATCAATGCCCCGGTGTTTCCCAGCTCGTAAAAACCACACCCAGATACACAGACAGACAAACAGACAGACATGCAATGGCACCTGCAAGTATGTCTTGACGTCATGAGCCTTCAGCTTGAAGGGCTGTGGCTGTCCCTGCTGCTTGTTGCGGGGCGTATCATTGCCGACTGGAAGGGGTGCCCAGCCGACGGCACCAGATCCAGCAGACATGGCGGCCAGGCCAGGAGTCAAACGCGCGTCCCCGCCGGCCTCAGACGTTGCAGCAAGCTGCTCCGGCGAGTCGTTGCCGCGACCCCAACCGAACATCATGAAGTACAATTTATCACTTGAATAGTTAATCAATCAAGATTGATTTTATCTATAAAATCCGAAATCTACCCCTCGGCGTGGCGCGCGTCGCAGCCGCTCGTCCGGGATGCGAGCAAAGGCAGACACGGAACGCGCGCCCCCCTTGGACGGCAGAGACGAGGAAAGCGAGAGGAATCCCAGGGATAAATTCGAAAAGATGAAATGCGTTACGCCAATTGCACGTAGGAGCCGCTGGCCAGCGTTACAAGGAAGCTAGCAGTCGGGCAGGGTCTGGGTAGGTGCGCTAGGGTTCATTTCGGAGTCAATCGCGGCGAAACAATTGGTGCATGTCTTTGGAAAGGTAATTTCATGTTTATAATTGAAGTTTTCCTGGTTTGCAGGCTTGCCCCGGAACCAAGTGACGCCACCAACGACCGTCATCGTCCCGTCATACTACTGTATGATCAGTACCTGTCTAGAGTTGACCGGCGAGATAAAATGTCAATCATGAATCCGATTGCATGATATGGAATAAGGATATCCGTTGCAAAAATAATTGAAGTTTTGAGCCGCCGGCAAAAGCCGGTGGCGTAACCGGAGGTCATGCCTGCGGTCACCTGCGAACAACATCCCTTTAGGCAGAAAACAAAGAACTCCTCTCGTTTGGAGGTGAGGTCGTCAATTGGTCGAAAAATAAGGTACCAAAATGTAACTGCAAGTAATTATGCTTTTTCAGAAGACTGAACACAGACAGACACGAGCAAGCATTACAGTAGTAAGATGCGGGGAAGGAAAGGAGGATGGAAGGCACTTGCAGGACTTCACAACCAGAGGGAGAAGGACAGACCCTAAACCGTTTACAACAGTTACAACCCCGCCGGACAAGAGAAATAGCCAAATCGAGGATGAAAAACACGTGTTATTGGAATGCCCAGCCTATAATGATATTCGTGCTGAAGAGGGATTCGATCATCAACAGAGCATGTTGATGAGGCCATGAAATGGGAACCAGCCGCACGTCTGGCGAGGATGTTGGAACGTATGTCAGCTCACCGAAACTCAGTTACCCCCTTTGGACGCTAGCCTGGGCTGATGTGCGGTGTTTCCTTTTCTCCGTGGCTTTTAGGCGTTGTAGTATTGCCCTTGGGCCTTCGGCTCGTATGGGTAGTTTTACAGGTATGGGGTCACGCACCCCCAACAATGTATATAAAACACACACACACACATACACACACACACGCACGCACGCACGCACGCACACACACACACACACGCGCGCACACGCACGCGCGCACGCACACACACACACGCACACACACACACACGCACACACACACACACACGCACACACACACGCACACACACACACACACACGCGTGCGCGCACACATACACACACACGTGCACACACACATACACACACGCACACATGCACACACACGCACGCACATACACACACGCACACACACACGCACGCACATACACACACACGCACACACACGAGGAATACTCGGCAGAGACAACGTTGGGTTTTCGGCCTACAAGACTGCCGCATGACTGGAGGCTTTGTAAGGGAAGCGTTGAGCAAATACTAAGAATTACAATTGTTAAGTTCCGCACACTTGCGGGCGGGTCCGCAGGAACTGTTCCTACGTGGCCCCCCTCGGTCCCACCTCGGTCCCACCTCGGTCCCACCTCGGTCCCACCAACAAAAACGAAGACCCTGGGCTCCGGACCATGACTTCGAGCCCCAACGACAAGTACAGCGTACTGGTACACCGCAAGCAGACTGGCACACAAACCTCAAGCGATAGGCGACAAATTTCCTAGGGGGCCAGCAGGCTAACTAACGCCTCCAGTTATCACCGCCCCAGCAATTGCACACAATACAATCCTCTCAGCAGTAGACACCTCCAGCAGAGGATATCCGAGTCGTCGTGCCTGGCAACAGTCCCTATCCAACTAGCGTAGCGGCAAGTAGTGCTGTTGGCCTGCTCATTCTGCAACCGTCTGCAAATGAACAAAAGATAGCCAAGGCAACAATCAGCCATTAAGCCAGGCCACTGTGCTAAACCTTAAATGCTCCTCATAGCTCTGAAGTTTATCGCCTACCCCGTCTTACCCTCGCTAGCTAGCGCACACAGTCGACACCTAGCTAAGGACTGCAATAAGCGACCCGACATCGCGACGTGCGCCGTAAGGAGTAGGGCCCTCTATCACGATGTGCAGCTTATTGGCCACGATTGGCCGCCCCTATTGGCATCAGTTGGGCCCAGGAAGTCCCCCCACCCCACCCCCTTCGGAGGAGGGTCAGTGGCCATGTGCCCGCTTTTCCCCGCCAACGGCGAAATGCACACACATCAACGGCATGTTTTCCCTGAGGGTGCCTGAGAGGGTACCTAAGGGCGGGTTGGATTGACCTCCAGACCACGTGCATGATAGTGGACGGTTTCGGGCGGCTGCTGGCGACGCGGATAGGGCTCACGGGCTGGCGGATACGGAAGGCGTTTGAACGGCTGTGATAAAAAATACTGGGAGGTCCATGTCGATTCCCAACCCGTTTATCATCGTCATTGTCCCGGAGAAGGGTTTCCCTAGGAAAGCAACTTGGAGTGACCATCAGCAGCCCAGGTAATTAACCAAGCCAAACTGCTGTCATTCTGTAAAACAAATATTTGTTTTACAGAATGACAGCAATCATTGGTCGGAGCATTAATGCTCCGACCAAAGTGCTTTCAGCTGAGGTAAGCACCGAACACGTAAATCAAAACCTGTCCTAATTCCCCTGCCAGATGAGCCAACGGGAAGGAGGACAATGTAAAGGATTTGCTTTTTAAAGTGCAGCAACGGATCCGAACTGGCTCTTGGAGCTATCCCAAGTATCAACTGCTCTGTCACCTGTAAGACCTGGAAAACCTTGTAGCCTGGCCCCCAAAGGCACATCTGCGTAGACTGCTGCTTAAAACACGCAAATCATCAAATGCGTAAACCAGAGATGACACATGACTATCCAGTTCCGGTGCTACGTGTTCAGTATTAATAATGAGATGAGCGGGCAGCCCAGTAGTGCAGGTGCGCACTGCGGACCGCAGCCCACCGGTAGCTGAACGATGTGCACGCGCTAAACCGCCACAACGCAACCTCAAGACAAATAAAAATGAAAGAAATACGGAGAAACCGACGAGAGCTCTGCGGAGTGGGGGAGATTTGTACAAAATAGTCGTGTGAGTGCTGAGGCCCTAGGTAAACAGAACTGCCCCAACTCTCCTGACCTGACCGTGGAGGCTTTAACTTCGATCATTCAAATCAACTCAGCTCGACTCAAGTCAACACGACTCGACTCGTCTCAACTCAACTCAGCCCACACATGACCAACGATTCTCCCGAAATGCGTTACGGCGTGGGCGATGTCCCCACGATGTGCCCAACACGGTCAGAAACATCCGTGTGGCATGCACCGATAGCGGGTCCTATCGCTTCCTCTCTAGGGCATCGCAACCGAAACCGAGAGCTAACCGATTTTCCCCCGGTACCCACCTTCGCGACATGAACAACACCCCTCGCTTATCAACAGCTAAGCACCATCCGTACATATATATACATCCCAAAATACATACAGCGCTCTAAGGAGGCTAACCTAGTGCGAACGGAACCATACCGAATACCGCACTGGCATGAGTCGGGTCCTCCGGTGGCCCTCGTGTGCCGTCGTCCAGCCAAGAAAAACCTCCTCCTGCTACTTCTCGTTAAGAGAAGAGGCAGCGTGTTACACGGTCCGTCCGATGCGATGGGACCCTTACTCAAAACTTAAATCGAACCTCGCGCTGTCGAGGTATCGAGATATACGAATGTGCACGTCCTTAAAGGACCGCAAGTTGTCGGGAATGACTGTTCGGACGAACGCCCGCAAGCTGCTCATGTAGACCGAGTGTGCGTGCTCTATGGCGCGGCCAAAGGCTGCCTTCTGCCGGGGATGCCGCCGGCGCATCGTATCCAGGAGGCTGGTCAAGGCAGCGACCGATCCGTTGAAATCGCCCCGCCGTACAAAAAACTCCTCCCAACCGTCCGACCCCACGGTCCCCAGCACAAAATCCTTGGCCTTTCTGTATAGCCGGGTGTTTGCATTCTCGTACAGCACGACAAACGGCGCCCCGACGGCTGCTGCCATCACAGCCGCATGGAGCCGTCTACTTATGACCAAATCACAGCGGGACAAGAGGGCCAGCCAGACGCCGTAATTGGTAACTTGCGGATTGAAAAACAGTTTGCCGTTGGCCTTGGGGTCCGACGTCAGCAATTTCCAGTGTACGACCACCTGTCTGTCGGCTGTTTCAGGGTCCACTGGCAGCAATACGACAATGTATTTGCTCACCCATGCCTTTATTAAATCAGCGGTGTCCTTAAAATTTGATGTATCCTTATGGCCCGATCGTACGGCCCCGCTGATGCAGATGACGCCGTCAGAACTCACAGTACCAAGGGCATCCTCCAGCTTCGCGACAACAGCCGCGGAGGACACGCGAGGGAAAATTCTGTCAGCGAGGATTCCCGAGTCCCCAAATACAGGTAGTTCATAAGTAATGTTGCTTTGGAGATGCTGCGACATGTTGGCCAGAAGCGCGTTTGTCAGGGGCCCGCGCACACCTCCCCAAACAGGCGGCTGTACACACAAAAGATTCAGAGAGTTGAACTCCAAGTGAGGTAGCTGGGTGCCTGTTCCATGAACATATAGCGGCACATTAGCATTTCTCACACCGTGACATTGGTCGGTCCTCAAATTGTGGTTAGCCTCCAATAACGAGCCACCGCCAAGTACCGCAAAGCCGTAAGCCGAAAAGTTGAGCCTTTGGATTTGACCTGAAACGAAGGGTTTCTGATACTCTAAAGTCGCCCGTTGATACATGCCAGGTTCCAGCAGGACGTCGCGCAGCAAATATCCAAAAATGTCCAGCACCAGCTCATCGCCAAGGTTTGCGTGCGCGATCCAACCAATGTAGAGTCCTTGAAGCCGTCCGATATTTGAAGAACCACATGCTGGATCTGATACCAGCGCGATGATAACTGAAGTCAGGAGGAGGAACGACATGTTTTGCAAGGTGCTTCTTGCGCGTGCGTCAACACAGTTGCAGATGTTTTGTGTGATTTTATTGTGTGGTTCACCTGATCGCCTTCGTAGTTAGGGTGCCCGACTACGGGCCTAGCTTTGGGACACAGGTCTGACAGGGTAACATCTGAACGAAACGTACCGGCCAATTGCCAAAACCTAAAGTATATAAACTTGGTAAAGTTAACAGGCAGTCATTTTGTACATATTACAGGTTTAAGTGCGAAAGTTTGTGCTGCAGTTGGCGAAGACCGCGAATTCATGAATGGCAACCCTTAGATTTAGGGGCAATGTTTCCGCTAGCTGATCCCCACAAGGGACAGGGATGCTCATGGAACTGCAACTGCACATCATGTAGAATGTTTAGCAATCCTGGTATTGCGCGGCTCTGAAGTGTTGGTACCATAGAGCGTTCAAACTGGCTAGTTGATGTGAATGTCGCCCCAGCTTTCGCAGCGGAGCCCTACCGGCTCATGTATATGGATATACAATGATTTTAATTTCGTTAAGCTTATATGAACCAGGATAATCATAGCTTGAAGGTGTAAAAGACGCAGAGCGTTAACCGGAACAACGGTTCACGCGCCATCCAGGTAACCGGGACCTTCAACGCTTACAATTCAAATTGATTTGCTTCCAAATAAAAACTTTCCAAATTTTCTTAGCAGAGATGGGTGGTGAAGAAGTTAGCTACGATGAAGTTAGCTACGTACGATGAAGTTAGCTACGTCAGTAATATGGATCGACAGGGTTCATGTTCATCCATGCTTAGCGAAAACTTGTCTTAAAGGAAGTAATAAAGAACGACGTATGTAAAGAAGAATTATTTTACTCCAGTGCAGAGGTCGGCAAATCGGTTTCTACGGCTGCGGGAGGGCATAATTTCGGTCAATAAACCTAAAAAAAATTTTGGGGCGCCTTCCGGCGCCAAAAAACAGCATTTCAGGGCTGCACGTTCCGTACACATGGCAGACTGATCGTTTTACAGGGGGGGAAGTCGTCGCCGGGCAAGTTCTTGCGCCATGAAGTTAGTGTCGCCCCCCGAGCTATCCATCCTCACAAAGCCGACCGCATGCGGTTGAAGCGCGGGTCGCGAAGGATATTCTCGACCTTATCGGCGATGTGCGTGTAGAGGTGCATCCTAGTGGAGGACTTGTACTTGGCCATAGCCCCCTTCAACACTGCATCCTCCTTAAAAGACCCCGACGTATTCAGCTTCACGAAAAGACTCTCGTTAAGCCGGATAGCTGACAAGCGTGTCCGCCGGTCCCCCTTCATGACGGTACGGGCGGAAAAGACGCGCTCGCAATTGACCGACGTGGGCTTAATTTGCACACAGAACAGCGCGAGCTTCCACATCTCCGAGAACAGGTGCTGCTTTCGTGCGAGCTTAGGCATCATAAGATTAATGTGGTGCATCGCTGGCTTGTGCACACGCTTTGGTAAATACAGCCATATGGCAGGTGGTCGCAGCTGTACTATTAACACATGTACGGCAAGGCGCACCTGCGATGCACGTTGATTCGTCCATCTGCACGCCGATGAAAGTGGCAGCCTCGATACGCGACGCTTGCTCTGTTTCCAAGTGGTCGTGAATGCAAGCTGCCATACGCCCAAGTGCTCGAGGATCTTTGTACAGTGTGGTGATGTTTGGTACTTTAAGCCAGTCCATGTATTCACAGATCACTGGGAAGTGAGTGAAAGGCATGGCTTGGTACAGGACCATGTATGCGCCACCAAACAGAGCCAACAAGGCATTGTCGGCAACCTGGGTCATGGCCAGGTGCTTGTTAGTTTGCTGCTGATGATGATCCTGGGCATACTGGTCTACAGCCGCTTTGTGGGAGTGGGAGGCCTCGTGCCGGGTGTAAGCTGAGCGATCCCAGTTCGTGCGGGAAATGGTGGCGTTACTCTTCTTATATGTGTCGCAAAAAAAGCAGATGACCGTCGTCGAGCCCTGAAGTGCATAGGCCCAGCTCTTGAAATCACCACCACAAGCGTCAGTCAGCCAAACAATGTCCTCGTTGGGAATATGAGGCCGCTCAAACCCCGGGGGGACACCAACAGCATCGATCTTGTTGGTGGACTTGGTGCGCTTCCGTTGCGGGTTAGTTGGCATTGGGGGTGGCGGCGGGCAGGAGTGTTGCCGGCTGCTGTTCGGGGGCGGTGGTGTTGGGGGTGGCGGGCAGGAGAGGTGCTGGTTGCTGAGTGGGACCGGTGGCGGTGGTGTTGGCTTGAGTGCGCCTTTTCTTCTGTGGAGGAAGGGCCACGGTGCTGGCGTTTCCGAAGTTGGGAGGTGGTGGTGCTGGGAAAAGTAAACCTGGACCTTCACCGGCGCTGCCCGATGGCCCAAGTAACGGCTCTTCCGCCTCAATATCTGTTGCTGCGGGCTCAGCAGTGGCTTTACGACCGGCCAGCATGCCGGCCAACGTGCGCTGTCGACCGCTGGAGATTCAGCACAAGATGCAATACCGCACGTGTTTCCTTCGTTCCCCGGCGAGATGCCGCCGACTTGCCGCGGCCAGCAGTTAGAAAGCATGCTGAAAATACAAGCAATATGCTGAAGATTATGTATGGGATAGGCCACATGGGACCAATATCTGGTATGCCAAAGACCAAGTCAAGTGCTGCGGCAGCTGCAAGCCATCGGTACAGACGATAGAAATGTAATAATTTATCAATGATAACCGTCACAGAATTGTGTAGAGGTGGTCGTGACGTCTTTTACTGACTTTGACACGTCCAGCGCGCGGCCCTACGGGCCGCAATAGAGGCTGCAAATCACGTCTTTTGGTCGAATTTTGGTCATTTGGGTCCCGCAGCCGGGGCCTTAACCCGAATTTCGGCTGCGGGTACTGTGGTACGGACCCGCAGGACCCACCGGATTTGCCGACCTCTGCTCCAGTGCCTTCTGTCCGAGATATGACTCACAGGCCCAGCTCAAATGAAGGCAAGACCAGAACACCTCTTGCAACTGAAAAAATTATGCATGTATACTAGGTTGCTCCCCACAGCGCAGTACGAGCAGCCAGCGGCTAGCATGGAGATGTGAAATATGCGGTTGTCAGCAAAGTGATCGCGGGAGCCTGCGTCCTAGCATGTGTTTATGGGCGCGTGCAGGGCCCTGTCCTAGCTGGCACTCTTCAGGGTCTATGGCTGGAAGACGGGGTGTCCTAGCTATGCAAGGCCGACACTGAAGAGCGCTGGCACCCAACGATTCCGTGGGGGTACGGCTGCCGTCTGCGGGATGACAGGGGACAGTGCTGCGGGATCTGCTGTTGATGCATCGTGTAGCTTTGAACTTGGCATATGTTTTGTTACCGGACATGTGCTGCCGAGGGGCGGAACCATCTAAGTGCCTCACTGCCACGGCGCAACGTAAGAGAGACCCATGGTTCACTGACCCAGCAATGTTCGGCATTATTTTACCCTCGTGAAATCAACGGTAGCTGCTTTGGAGGATTTTGCCCCGCTGTGGTATCTGGTTTCCCGCGCGTGAATCCCATCCATTCGGGCCACCAGGGCCACTTCCCGGACACATTCCAACACTGCGCGCAAAAGCCTGAATGGCGTCGCAGTGCGGCCGACCGGTGCTGCCCGCATATACCCCCAATAACACTGTTTTGGCCGGGAACGGCCCTAAGAGGTTCCTAGTAAGGGGGTGAGACCCGTACCGCGGCCCGGACAGCCCCATGTAACCAGAGGCGCTGTCATGGCCCAATAACTTGTACCTGATTTATTGTTTAAGTATTTGGGCTTGGCTTTCGCCGCAGCCTGCGCCCTAGCTTTGCGCTCAGCGGGCGTGAAGATTTTGGGGAGCTCAGTGACCTCGCACTCACACATGAAGTGAACAAACGTGCCCTCGGCTCCGTCCTCGTCGTGGTGCCGGTTCTCCTGACATACTGGACAGTACCGGAGCCCCCGGATATACCCCACTACACTACCCGACTGCCGCCTGCGCTCTTTCGCAGCTGCCTTCACAGCATCTGACTCTCCGCCGTGCCCGTCAATGCGCCACCTCTTGTGGGAGTGGTCCGTAATAGGGTAACTCGAGATGCCTCAGGAGTGACCTTTCTAGGTGAGATAGATGTGTGTGGAGGGGGTGTCGCGTCATACGACTGTTCCCGGGCCCGTCCAATCCTAAGCGTCACCGTGGGGTGCACCAATTCCCACTAACGGTCTGCCAGGACGTGGTCTGCTACGACCAGGATGCACACACCACGTACACACCTGACCACTCTTCTTACGCCTTGCCGCTGCCACTGGAGACGCTGCAGCAGAGCTTGCATGACATGCCAGCTGCACACGCCAGCATTCTGTACAATGAAGTTAGAGTGGGCAGCCTGGGGCAGGTGATGTGTTTTGCACTGCTTGAGCCGTTAATTGTGTTGGGCGGTGCACACATGCTGTAGGCGAAGGAGGCTTTTGGTGCCATTGTACGCGCATTGTATAACCCGGCAGCACAATTGTTACCCTCAACACCTGCACCGGCATGCTCTCATGATGCACAAGTTGTTGGGCGTTGCTTGGAGGCAGGCTGTAAAAGTGGGGCTGGCATCAGGTGTTTTGGTTGGCTCGATTCTGTCCGCAAACCCTTTTTTATCTCGAAGTGAGACCATAACGACTGAGAGAGTACTAAAGGGATATAGGATGGTGGAGGCCATTTCGCTCTCTACCCCCATAACCACATAGACAATTGGGAGTAATGCTAGGGGGTGGAGGGGGAAAATGGTATAGGAGTATGGGGGTGGAATGCTACGGGGTGGGGTGGGGGGCTGTGGTATTTGCTATGGGGGAGACGAATGTCTCCCCCATGCGCCATGTGGAAGATTGTGGGTATTGCTATGGGGGGCCCTGCGCGGCTGACAAGACGCCCAGCAAGAGCTGCTGCAGGGTGGCCTATTCTATGTTCCCGCTCAAAAGCTCCCAGGCGGCTTCTAGATCGCATTGAGTGGCTGGCGGCAATTGGCCCGATCCCCCTTCACCGGCTGCTTCGGCGGCTCTTGCGTTGACCACATTATCTCCCGTTGACTTTGCCTTCTTACCCATCATTGTTCGTTCGTGCTGGGGCTCCTGGTGCTTTCCTACGGTCCGCAGCGATGTCGAATCGTTGTGGTAGGGCGTCGATGAGTCTTGAAAGTAGTCGGTAGGGTCTTGGAATTAGAAGTGAGATCAACAATAAGCTCCAATAGTGTGGGCAGAATGCCGGAACTAAGGAGCTTTGTGTGTGTGTGAAACAGGGGGGTATATTTTCGCCCCTGGCAGGTACCCTGCGAAACCCTGCTTTCCCCGGTATTTCGGAGCACCCTCATCCAGTCACCCTAGTCAACTTCTGTCAACTTCTCAGCGGATCGCTCAGGTTCCGCACCCACCACCAGCATCCAACGGAATCTGCCGGGTCGACAGCGGCCCAATTCCATTCCTGATCGGCTCGCAGATTAGCTTTACCCCAGGTCTCCACCGTCCATCAACTAGGGGCGCAATACCTTCCACCATCGGAAGAATTTTCGACCTTGACAAGTCTCAATCCGGGGATCCCCCGGGGGCAATGGTGGCGCCTTACCAGTAGTGCCTAACCTAGTATATGGAGCTGTCAGATGAATAGCAAATTCGAAATTTTTGCAACCCATACGGCTGCCGTACATAACATAACTTAGCTTAGAGGCTTCGCTCCTGCTGCATCTAAGCTACAATTATTACCAAAGCCTTGCTTATATTTCTCATACATAACACCGCACACTGCGATACGTCCTGACGCCAGTTTTATTGATGACGCGCGACGAAGCCGTTGACTGATATGTGCACGAATGACTAGTTTCGGTGGTTACCTTCATGTCGTACGGAATAAGATTTTTGAGTTAGTTGGTTCTGACGGTGATCCGCCGTGAAGGTCCTTGAGCTACAGCAGGCACAAACAGCCGCACAAACAGCCTTCCGCAGCTACGAGTTGATAATTGGCAGACTCTGCCAATATGTCGGACATATTTGGCAAAATTGCTTGTAAGGAGACGCAGGGAGACCGCGAAGTTAGGCAGCTAGGATGGTGGTATATGACATGGCATGGCATGTGGGTATGCAGCGCGACATATATATCCGTCAAAGCCTAGGCAATTCTTAATTACCAAGTAACCGTGCAGGTGCACAGGAACATCTGCAGGGTTCGGTCGCGAGCAGTGGACATGGGTTGCCCATCCCTTCACATTCGAGCAAACCGACGTTGTACAGGCCAGACACCAGGAAAAAAGAGAAACACCATAGCACAACATGCGACCTCCTGGTGGCCTAGGGCAAACCCTGCCTGTACTTCCTAAACGGAGATACCGTACCAAGCAGAATCAGTATGCGCGACGTGTCAAAAGATTGTTGGAGGAAACACATTACGTTCAGCTTACAATATCCTCGTTATACAACAATAAAATATCTAGCCTGACGTGCTAAGAGAAAGGGGAAGGAACTGTGCCACATCGCCACTCTATACCCTCGACAACCCATCGAAGACACCACTCGAAAAGCACTGCGCCAAGAAGGCGCATTCATCCGAGCTTAGAAAAACCTCATTTGCAAGCCGCCATCCTTTGAGGTCCCAAAGTTTGCCGTACTCATCGCTGATCGTTGAGGACACCTTCCAAGGACTGTCAGTCCATCCCTCATGCGCGGCGTCTAGTCCTGTCGAGCCAAGTCACGTCATTGCCACTGCCATTGCCACTGGCATACTCATTGGCTTTGCAGTGCCACACCACCTAGCCTGGGGCCGCTTCCGCGTGCTATCCTCACATAGCTCACGCACAGCCTAACCGCGCCCTCGCCGTGCCGAGCGGGACTACAGTGTGCCACGTCGGGTGCTCTTGCCACGTAAATCCCGAGTTCATTAGCGACCATTATTATGTAACCCGGCGGCTTACGTTGCGCACGTTAGCACCCACACAGGTCGCAAAGATGGTTCCGGAGCTGCGCTCCGTCCGTAAGCTAAATGTCACGCCGAAAAAATCGCGGAGGTGTCGCAGGGTGCGCACCGCGTGAGGGGTCAGGGGGCCCAGCCGCACCGAATTCGCCTCCTGCGAGGACGTGGCAGGGCAGGGCGGAGAGAGGGATCCCGTCAGGAAACCCTAAGCAAATCGGAAATAGTGGCCTCCAACCTGTGCTTATCCACACGCCGCCGGTTGGCATCCGGGCCCCGTTTTATGATTTATATGGTCTTAGCAATGAAATTGATTCTGAGGTAAAACCGGCACACGGCACACTTACGCTTAAGAGTCCTCCGTATGCGCCCTCCTCCGTCCCCGTCCCTGATCTCTTCCTAACGATTTAGAGTCCGCGCCAAGGTGCCATCCCTCCCCCCCGCCTTACCTCGGGCCCAAGCGCACACAGCAACAGCAGCAGACCCTGATGACCGCCATCCACAACACCGCCGCGCCGAACCTGCGCAACGCCATGGCCCGATTGCACACGGGGACTAAACCACCAGATGCACCAGACACTGGTATATGCAATTTTCCAATGCAAACAACGTCGCCAGAAGACATATTATCTGACAGGTGGCAAAGCAGTTGCAAGGCAACAGAACACCGCCCTCCATCCTTCCTCCCCAGCCCTTCCGCGATCACTCCCATAAGCAAGACCCGTTCGCAAGCGTCTTCCCCCCCCATTTGTGTATCGTCTCTGATTCTTTCCGAGGCGTCCTGCATCACCCCCCTTCCCCTCCCCACACGGCCGCACCTCCTCCAGCAGTAGGTGGGCTGCCATGGTGCCAATGTCCTCCGGAACTTGTTGCTGATGTTGCTCCACCATTTCAACCGCCGACTGCCAAGCAGGAGGTAAGCAAGGGCCGCCCGTTTGCACGAAACAACGCAAAATGCGCATAAGCCATGCCGCGTGTATAGCTTACCGCCAGTCAAGACTCCTCCGTCTGCTGCTTCACGTCCCGCAAAACCCTCCCTTCACAGCTCAGGCAGCATTCCGTTCTCCACACGCTTTCTCTTTAACAACCCAAAGGCCGCTCTGACCTAGCCGGGCCCCCAAATCAACCTGGTGAAATCCACATAACACGTCTTATCTATTCTCGGCACCTTCGCGTCCCCATCCACCCCAGTAAGTAAGCAAAAATAGCAAGGAAATGCAACGGTAGGTGCGCCCAGTTACGCCCACAGCCCTCCACATGTCCCCACCTCTTCGCTCCTCCTCGCTGCGTAACATGACTCCGCGCTGAGGAGGCAACCAGAAGTGGTTTCCGCCACCAGCGTGATGCCGTAGCCCGGGCTCTTGCCACTGCATTGCAAGTGCAGGAGGTTGGTTTGACTGGGTGTGAAGGCTGTGTGAGAAAAGGCTCGGCCAGGTATTACTTCGCAGCTCAGCCGCGAAGGGTACCGGATACGGGGCGGCAGGCGAGCCCAAGGGCCAGGGTAAACGGCAGCCACACAACGGCGCCCATCAGCATGACCTTCGCTATGCACGTGGTCACGGCACTCGACGGCGCCGTCAAAAGCTCCCACCAGTTCAATCCCGGTGCGCACTGCACGATGCTTTCTTCTTCAAGACACAATTGCATCCATCCGCTCCCCAAAGTTCTCGATTATGTTGGAGCAAATCTAAACGAATTCCCACGGACTCCCAGCCAAGCAGAGCGTCTTCATGAGCTCATTCACCTGATGGCTCCCCACCAGCTGTGAGAGTGGGACCCTGGCCGGTGACATCATCTCGCACAATGCTCAAAGCCACGCTCCCCTCCTTCCCCACCCCTAGCGCACCTAGCTGCCCCACTTGTGGCGTCCGTGAAGACGTACACATCAGCGAGGAGAGCGTTGAGTACACCACGCGCCCCGTCCACCATGCGGTTCGTCACCTAACCAGGGCATACCACGGGTAACAGCAGCAGCACCAGCAGCAGAGCCATTGGCCAATCAAGTTAAACGACAGCCGCAGCAGCAGTCCCAGTCACTACAGCCGTTGCGGTGGGGATCCTACAAACAAATTGCGGAACTGAAATAGCTGCCCGGTAGAGAGCTGCAAGGACGACGGACGTAGCAGGCTTCATCGCCAGCTCGGGCAAGCTGATCACGTGAACCATGCATTCCGGCCTGCTCCACTCTACAGCAGAATTGTCTGCCTTGTACCATCGCCGTACACATTTTCTGTGCACGTCCCGCGGCGCGCACCTGGGGTGAGACCTTCATGCTGTATGCGACCCCGCGTATTCGCTTCACCATGCCTACGGGAGAGAGATATGAAGGGGAAGCCACGTGACTTGCGGACGGGATGCAGACAAACGCCTCGTAAAACCAGTCCACGGCCTTTTGTGTCAAGATCCAATGCGCCACCATCCGCCACAAAATCTATGCAGCTAAAGCATAATGTAACATCGAACTGAACCCCAAGCACCATTCCGTCGGTACCTGCGTTCCGCACCATCCGTCCTTGCCTCATCCCCTCCTCTTCCAGTTCCCACCCGCTTCCCTCCCTCCCTCCCTCCCTCCCTCCCTACCCTCATCCTCCATCTTGATGGGCCCCAGCTGCTTGACCAGCGGCAACCGGAGCACCACCTCACCCCCGCCACTGGGAGCTGCTCCCCGCGACACCACCCGCAGCTCTAAACCGTCATCCAGACCTGGAGACATGGCCGGCAGGTGGACGAGGATTCAATAGACGTGGATGAGGCGTAGCACACACGCATATGACTGTAGTGCCAAGTTGACTTCCACATCCCTCCTGGTTCCAACAGAGCGCTTCAAGACTTCGCTGCGAGTCGTTGTAACAGTTTGGGCAATCAACTGGCTGGCACGCGAAAATCTGTCTTCGCGATCATGGCCCTTACCGGGGCACTGCTATAATCAGTGCCCCGCGATCATGGCAAAATATGGCTAGGCAGAAACAGCAGCCGCAGGCAAAAACGTTTTCCCGTGGTTCCGGAGCCACGGTCCTTGCAAAATCCTTACCCAGCGTCTTGCGCAGGAGCGGCAGCGTCACAGTGCGGAAGGTGTCGACACCCGGATCCGTCTCGTCGTTGGTAACGCCCCGGAGGGTTATCGATAGCAGCTGCGGCAAGGAAGAGGCGAGGGCATTTGGGAGGCCCCGCATGCCCCTATGACAGTCTCAAGTCTTCCCACTTAGTAGTGAGTCCAAAGGACTCATTACGACGCGGATAATGTGGTGTGCAATGGCTGGCAGCTCTCAAGTGGGTCAACCTGGTTAACCCCACGGTGCGGTAGCCAAGGTAGGCCAGGAGTGGGTCGGAAAGGGAATATTTCCCTTTCAGGCGCCGCCGTGTCCCGGGCCCAGCCCTGTAGCTGTGGCCTTACCCATTGATGATGGTAACCCTTAAAGCTGCCACTCACTAATAGACTGTATTTCCCTGTACAGCAGCCGCGCAGGCAGCCGCTGCAGGAGAGCCCCCACGCGAGCCCATTACGGCCGACCCGAACCCTCGTATCCCCCGCTGGCATCCCCCAGATGTACGTGATGGATTTTATAAATCCTGCTGCTCTCGGAGCAACCTTAACCTGCCAGCCCAATGGCAAGACGTGGCGCACAAACCGACCACTTCCCCTCCCCATCCCTATGCAGCACCGGAGCTGTGATAGCCCGGTGGGTGATCTGATAGCGTCACGCCACACACGGGCGCTACAGGTGCCGCCGCAGGATGGAAAACTTTCTAAAATAGTAAGTAGTGGTTTACGGTGAGCTGGTAAGCCCAGGGCCATGACGTGACCGAGCCACGGAGAGCCGCGAAAGCAATCGGCTCAGTGTATTGATACACAATTTTATCCGTACCTTCTTCCCGTAAAGCCCAAGCACCAGCAGTGGCTCAAGAAAATAGCCGATGCTGCGGGAGGTGCCGCAGTCATGGCTCAGCCCGGCGCCGCACACCACCACGCCCGGTCGGTAGCGCAGGGAGGTGCCTGAGACGGGATGCAGCGGCGACGGGGTTTGCAAGGAAGGAGAACCACACAGTTTAGTTGTCTAGGAGTCCACAGAAGGCGTGTGGTGTCCGGGTATAGGAAGCACGCGATGAGAGACTTGTGGTTGGGAGCAAAGTGCCGATCATGTATCATATGTCCAAGACAGAGTCAACGCCACAAGGGACAACGGTCGGGGCGATCAAAAGGCCCAACGTTTGCGAGGAAACTGCGTTTCGAACTCCTAGCTACAAGGAAGGTACGGGTAGCGGAGTGAATTATGAATCAGTCCAGCTTCAAGTGGCTAATCCCGAGTATCTATGTTGTTTCTCGTCGTGACTGGGCGAAAAGGGACAAGGATTTGAGAAAAACCTACAAGTGCCCAAAGCCCCAGTGCTGCATTCAATGGAGACAATCGTTCACCTGTCTCATTTATTTCCACTACACAGCCGTTCGTAAGCTTTTCTAGCAAGCGCAGGAACGATGCCTCAAAATCGCGAAGCCCTGGACTCTCAGGGTCGGCGGCGCGGATGTCATCAATCCGAATGGCACGACCGGACAAAGTTGCGCAGACCAAGCGTTGCCTAAAGTGCTGACAACCCTTGAACTTTAGCATGTTGTCTTGCGCCGTCCTTTGTGAGAGTTCATTACGGCTGCTCTTCCGGTTTCCCTGGACGTCAAAACGTGTTCGCTTTTAGCTGCAGTTAAGCACATATTGCTCACCGTTCCAACTGGGCACAATGGATATTTGCCTTTCCCGTGTACGGGACAGTGGCGTACAAGGAAGTCCTGACCAACGAAAATCTTCGATGGATAGGTCAGTTCTATCGGTAGATGTTATGTAAAACAGCGGCAAGTTATTGTTTAGATATGCAGTATTATTAATTCTTTCCCATCTCAAGGACAGGTCCAGCTGCGCTCGCTAGCATCGGTGATTGCTCCGTAGAGCTTCGTATTATTGGCCTTATATGGCGATACTAAAAAAGCATCGGCCTGTTGCATTCTATGGCGTGCGGGTGACGGCTCGGCAGTAAGCGAACTGGACGCGCGGCACAAACTGTGTAGGCCTAGGGGCTGGCGAAGCGATTTTCTCCTAGATTTAAAGTCAGGTAGGTGCAAATGTTTCTGGTATCAGCGTCGTGACCCCTTGCAGCTTGCGGAGTCCTGCTGGCAGGCCCAACTCCCTGCAAACTGGCATTTTTCTTCATGCGCGTATCGTCCTTGCTGTGCATCTGCGTGCCTATGCAGTGGGGTTACCCTCTTCCTGCCCCACTTTCCTCCGTTTCATGCTCTTTTGAGCTCAGCACGTCGTAGGATGGATAGAAGTTTCTGGCATGAATATCTTTAGCTATACAGCCGGAGAGCGGCCGCTCATCCTCTGGAGGTGACAGCGCTGTGGCGCTGCACAGGGCAGCATGGCCACTCAGGATGCTCGAGGGCCGGACGATGGCGGCGAGCCATCGCCTGCAGTTAATCCTGCAAATATGCACTGTAAGTAAAGGCCAATGATCGTGTATCTACAAGGGCTGCTGCGGACGTAGACGTTGGCGTGCTGTTTGTTCACTGTGTCGCTGCAGTTTTCCGGCCAAACGACGGCATCTACGTCTCGGAGGGACCAGAACAACGTACAATATGTACATCGCCAAACCTCCCACCGGCTATGGCTCGCAGCGGCGAATGGTAGGACGAACTCGAAGCTTGCCTCCTTAACCAACACCTTAGGAAGCGGTCAGAGTGTAACGCTTGCACGCAGGCACGTTGAGCAATTTGAACTCCATAAGGAGTTGTACCGCGGGAAGACTTCCCTGCTCTATATGGCAACTGACAAGATAAGTGGCGTGCAAGTCGCCCTTAAGTTGTACAGGAAGCGAAAGCTCAGCGTGCTGAACCGGTACGTTGGCACGGAGGGGAATAGGGAAGGGTGAAGTTATGACTTGTCCTGGGCCAACGATGCAGCCGGTCGATCATGCCGACCACTGCCACGCGATAGCCACTTTCAAAATCTGCACCCGATTGCCCTCATGTTCCCTCCCAAGCCGCATGCTCCTATGGCAGGATGTCCAAACCCACTCCTGGAGCTTTTATTCGCAAACCGTCCTTCCGCACCCGGGATGCCTGCAGATACCAAGTGGAGCGCGAAGTCCGGTTGCACATAAATTTGCACCACGAGAACATCATCCACTTATTCGCGGCTTTTGAGGACGAAAAGCACGTCTACATGGTGCAGGAGTTTGCGGTGTGTGGAGACCTGTTTGAGGACCTGAAGAAAGGAGGCGGCCAGCTAAAGGAGAAATATGCCGTGCGCGATGTTATTGTGCCGTTCTTGTCCGCACTAGCATACCTCCATAACCAGGTGCGTATCCGTAGGCTGGCTGCATGGCGGACGGGTGAACGGGCAAGCGCAATAGGACAGGATTGGTCCGTCAGCCTCGTATTAATCACAGGACTGAAACAGCGCCTAGGCTCTAGGTGTAAGTAACCTTAACAGTACTCGCTAGCGTATGCAGGGGTGACTGTCAGCATAGGTAAAAGATGGAAACAAGGATGGACTGGGAGTTTCAGGGGAGGGCAGTGGTCCTGAGCTTGCAGGTCGTGATGAAAGAGGGTTTAATTCGGAGTGAAGCCCTCAGAGGCGGGCGGCAATGGACTTGGGCGTTGAAAAGGGTTACAGGCGTGGCATTCGAAATGCGGCAAATGTCAGCAGTCCGATTACCACACGGTCAAGACTCCAACCCCGGTCTTCTGGTCCTTACAGGGCATTATCCACCGAGACATCAAGCCGGAAAACATCCTATTGGGGCCAAACAAGGCCATCAAGGTGGCGGACTTCGGGCTTTCCATCAATATAAACCACGAACGACCCGTGACGAGAGCTGGAAGTAAGTATGAAGCGTATGCTGGAGTTTGGCGATGTGCGAACAGGGGACGGGGGCGACGACCGTAAGCTTGAGGGGGCTGGTGTATGCCTGAGGTATGTCCATAAGTGTGAATTTCCGAGCGCTTTACGGTTACGCGTTTCTTATCGTGTCCATCTCCTCAGCGCTGGACTACATGGCCCCGGAGGTGCTGGTGTGTCCGGATAAGCGACGTCCCGAGGAGAACAAAGACAAGGTGTTGCTGGGTTATACGGCACAGGTGAGACTTAAGAGGGGTGAGACCGATTGATGTCGGTGGAATGCCGGTTCACACGGGAGGGTTTATCATGTCGGTCTTAGCCCCGAGATGGCGGAAAAACAGGTGTTTTGTTCATGAGCGAGGCCTTTTTCGTGCCGCATGGTTGCTGGCGGTACGCCTGATCTCATCGTTTCCGCTGGTGGCGTCCATAAGGGTGGCATTTCCGGACCTGCTCCAGATCAGTATTTCCCCTTCCCGCCATCGTTCCTCTGTTCTTCCGTAGGTGGACTCCTGGGCTGTAGGTATCCTGGCGTACGAGCTGCTGGTGGGCTATCCGCCCTTTGAGCAAGAGAGCCGAGCCGCTACCTACGAGCACATTATGTATAAGGAACCCAAGTTCCCGAGCTGGATGGCGGAGGACGCTAAAAAGTTTATTGGGCTGGCGCTGTGCAAGGTATGTGTTGTGGAAGATGCACCCCAAGGTAATGGCTTCTATACAAAGCAACCCAGTGGCTGTGATGGGAGATCGAGGCGGGCTCACAAAAGGACGTGCGACAAACAGTGAATTGGCGGAGCGTTTGCCGGTGCAGCAAAAGTCGAGTTGAACGGAAAGGTTTATTCCGTAATCTCAAGTGCTTGCTTCCCTGCTCTCATCGCAAACCCTTCCCTGAGACACTGTTTCAACCCGATGCGTTCGCCGGACCCCAGAACGCCTCCCAACGGCCCACCGTCTTCGAGCTAATGCAGCACTCCTGGGTACAGCCCTACATGATGCGCCACCTACAGCCCACTCAGGTGTCCACGTCCACGCCGGGGCCGTCGCGACTGCGCAACAGCGTGTCGCACACCAACGGCGACACGGGGCCTCGGGATCCCGCCACCAGCACCTCTACTAATGGCATGCTGGTGCCGCACTCGCAGCACCACGTCTCCATCTCGGCGTCCGGTATGGTGGCGGCAGGGTCAACAGGGGCAGCGAGTTCAGGCATGGGCATGTCCATGGGCACCGGCGGCCGCCTGTTCATGCCCGTCCCCGCACCGCCGGCCAGTGCGTTGTCTGCGACGACTCTGTCAGCTCAGCAACAATCCACGGCGGATAGCGGCGCCTTCAGGCAGGGGGCCCCGCATGGGAATATCTCGCATTCCCAATTGCAAGCTCAGTCCCACCTTCACTCGCAGCAGCAGCACCAGCAGCAGCCACCGCAGTCTGGATCAGCTGCGCGTCCGCAGGCGCTTTCACCCAACATGGCACTAAAGCAGAGCGTCAGCTTGCATGAAAAGCCGTCTCAGGGGTCACAGGACGCCACTATTACGGGCTCAGGTGCCGAAGTTGGGCGAATTCATGATTCTATATCGGATCCATCGGCACGGGCGTTTGAAAGCTCTATTCCGCAACCGCCTGGCGTGACGTCGTCGGCGTCGCTATACAGCGGCGGCAGTGGTGCGGCCAGTGCCGGCGGCGCTGGAAACCGTGGCGGCGCTAACAACGGTCCCACGGACATGGATCGCTCTCCCAGCCAGAGCCAGAACCCTAGCATGGGCAGCAACGCCAGTGCCAGCAGCAGTGGGGCGGCCCGTTCATTACAAATACATTCGGTGAGTGCCTGAAGCGCTCCATGTAGCTGGGTTCGCCGTAAGAAAGCAGTAAGATTGGCCTGGCCAGCCCGAATGCCGGTTACGGGACCAGCGATCAGGGCCCGATTGGAACCATCGGGGCCAAATGGTGTTCTGCATTGAAAGCTCTGCGTAGCTATAAGTAAGGAGGACCCTCCCACACTGCGCGGCATACGGTAGGGGTATCCACGAGGCGGGAGGGTATGTATGGCTTCTGCCTAGTTCGCTGCGTGTTTTCCGCTGCGGGTAGCGTCTTTCCTAGGATTACACCAGGACGCATGGGCAAGGCATATCATCTCTCCTCAAGCATTTTCACCTAGTTTCCAGCCTACCGCCGGCACTCCTATTTGCTATCTGTCAACCTTAATCAACCAAAGTTTTGCACATCCCCTTTCAAACCTTCTTGCCTATCTGCTGCCGAACCCCCTCCTTACAGGGCGGGGCCCCTGCAGGCAGCCTGCAGGGCTTGCGCGGCTTGACCCATGCCGTTTCCCAAGGTCATAGCCACATGGCCAGTACCAGCAGTCATACGGCCAGCACTAGCACCAGCCGGCCGGTGCCGCCGTTAGCTCTGGACCCGACGGAGGCGATGAGCGACGTGTCGGCTGGTGGCGCTTCCAGCACTGACCACATGCCCGTCTCACCGTCTACCGCGCGGGCTCCCAACGGGACAGTTCCGGGGGGGACGCCCATGGCGAGTCGCACGAATCCACCGTCGTACGCTCAGGGTGCTCAGGCGCACAGTGGCGGCGGTTTAGGTGGTGCTGGCGGCATGCCGCCGGGCCAAGGCGCCGCAATTGTGCCACCCCGGCTGCGTGTGGCCGCTATGGTGCCGCCGGTCAACATTGGCGCTGTGGCCCTGTCGGGATCCTCAACGCGCATGATGCACATGCCCGCCCCACCCGTAAGTCCAAAGCCACCCACCCCGGAAATGCCGGGAGGCTGCCACCGGCCTGCCAGCGGAGTGCTGTCGGACGACTCCTTCCTGCCACCCACGCGCTCGCCCTCCGTATCGGTGGGGGCTCAGCTTCTCAGCCCCTTGCAGGTGATGCGCCTTAAGGGAAGGGTGATAGTAGGGCTATTGGTGCAGCCTGCCTTTGTAGGGAGACAGGGACAAAATCGAGGCGTTAGTGTCCGGTGAGATTTCCGTCGCTCCGGTAGGTGACGCTGCAGCTGGTGCAGCCCGCGCTTCTGCAGTTTTCCAGCTGATTAGCTCATCCCTTCTGCTCTCTGCCCGGACGGTTTCTTCCGTTGTGCGCGATGCTGCCCCTTTGATTACTACTTGTACACTGAGTTAATTAGAGTACCCACGCACTAAGCGGCTCTCCCGTCCTTTGACGCGCCCTGTTTTCCTAAAAACATTTATATCCTCGTTCTGCAGGCGCAGTTGATGGCACCACGGCCTAGCAGCCGACTGAACAGCCCCAGCCACAGCCGTCGCAATAGTGTCAGCCAGGCGGGTCAGGGCGCGAGCGCCCAGAGCGCTGCGGCCGCCGCGATGCAGCAGGCGTCCATGCCGCTGCCGCAGTTGATGAGTGGCGAGTACGGTGACATGACCCCGGAGGAGCTTGCGCTGCGCATGTCCAGCTCTTATCGGGGACTCATGACCGCACCTGCCGGCAGTGCTAACAGCGCACGGGTGTTCAGCAAGCTATGGACCCGGGACCCTTTGAGCGCCGGGGGTACGCAGTCGCCGAATGGAATGTACGGCAGCGATCCGCCGCTGGACTCACCCGGAGGAGGGAGCACCGGGGGCAGCGCAGGCGGCATGTCCATTCGCGGCGGTGGCACTGCTGTCGGCGCGAGCCCGACATCCGCCATGGGCGGCGCTCGCGCCACTGCCCGCGTTCGGATGATGACGCCCGATGAGATGATGACGCGGCCACTGATGCGCGAGAGCTCCTTGTCTTCGTCGTTCAAGAGCAGCGGTAGCGGCCTGCGGGAGGACCTGATGCAGCAGTCCATGACTATCTATCATCGCCCTGGCAAAGTCCCTGGCATTGGCCGTGCAGCACTGGCGGCTCGCGAGGCCGAGCTGGTAGATCCCTCGAGCCTGTTTCACACCCCGACGGGCGGCTTGGGCAAAACCAAGAGCCTGGTCAACCGCAACTTAAACGGTGTGATGGCAATGGAGGATGGTGGGGGGCCCGGAGCATCACTGGCGCGGATGGGATCAGACGCCGCGCTGGCACGCACAGCAGCGGGCACAGCAGCAGCAGCAGCGGCTGGCCACGCCGTCGCGACGCAACGCTCGTTTACGTCGGTCAACTCGGCTTTTGCACGCAAGCTGGCTAACGGCGCCATCGCCACTAAGGTTACGGAGTACGTCAAGGGAAGGCTGCCGCACGACGAGGATATGGCCGACTAGTGACGCCTGCAGCGAGGCTCTAACCTTATCAGCAAAACATGACCTTCGCGTTGGGAAGGGACCCGCGCCAGGCGTCCGGCGCGAACATCGGCATGCTGTTACCTTGGGGCGCTATTATAGAAGTCCGCCTTGGTGAGCCGAGCATACAAAGTGGGCTTCCACTATGGCGCTTTTCGGACGGTGCAGCATTGGCGCGTGGGAGCTGTTCCCGGTCACCAAGCGAAGAGTTGGCGAAATGGGGCGCTATGCAAAGGCGCCCTTCCGGGTGGATCGCATGGTGCGGCTATGTAGTTCATGTGAGGGAGGTGAGGACAGCGTGCTAGGCTGCTGGCGTCTGCGTGTCCCTGCCGGGCAGGCTGGCCCCTGCCACCCACGTCCATGCGACACTGCGCAGTATTGGTGTTTCCACCTGCCGTATTCGGTATCTTGCTGGCTGTACTTCCATATGCGCGTTATCCAGTAGCTTCCAAGTCCATGTCCCGCGCGCAGTTTGCTGTAAGACGGACTGGTGACGGCGGGGTGGACGCTTGGGAGTGCGTAAAGTTTTTGGGGACAGCAGTATGGATGGACGCGGCTGGCAGCATGCTAAGCTTGAAAAAAAATTCAATTGTCGACGTAGATTGCAGTCCAGAACTTTAAACCGTATGAGCATGAGATGACACCATAGAGGACGCGATATAGGAGTATATCTGCAGGTGGTTGAGCTTGGATATGGGGGCTGTGGCAGGTGTTTGATAGCAGTTGGGGGGACCCGCAGGTTGTATTGTGTGCCGTTTGGGGGTTTGGTAGTATCTTCACGTTTGTGTACGCAGAGCGACGAAGTGGAAGAGCACCCTCTGTTTCTGGTGTTGGAAAGCATGTATGTATTGCAGGTATGCATTATAGTCAGGCATCGTATTCTGGCAATACCGCAGATATGGACGCAGGTACGCGAGGTCAAGCTGTTCCCGGTGCCAACATAAGAAGTGCGCGCACACCTGACTCGAGGACGCTTATGGTGTCGTTTTCCCGTTTTTGCGGCTCGCCATGCCCATACGACTGACAATGGCGGCTGACTGGTTTGCGTGTGCGATTTGCTGGTTAGGTCTGGTTTGTACTGCTGAATGGACAAAGTATTTATTACTTAGTGCACGTGGTTTAGGACGGCGACCTTCGTGCGTGGTCGCGTCGTAGCACTTACTCGATCGACCGAATGAGCTCGATTAACGGACCTCTTATCGCGTTCACAGATGCGGACCCGGACTTGGGGTGATTACAGGCGTCATTGGGCTACTGTGTGGGCATACGAAAACCTTTCAATAGGGTAGCACCTTCAGCACGGGCCGCATTGACTAGACTGCATAGGCCAGAGTGATGCGTCGAACGCGGTGTGCAGCAGCTTTGGAGACTGCATTGGAAGGCGATATGGCACACAGTATAGGCAACGCCGTTTGGAAGCGGGCGAAGCAGATCTCGACTCGCGAGGGTTTAGGAGCTTGGTCCATCTATGCATCGGCATTCTGCATGTTTGATGCGGTATCAAATGATGCTGTTGCATCTAGCTGCAGGGCAGCCCGCCTGAGGTGCACACTTGGAGTCCTGGTGGCGGTGCAGACCATGCCTAAGAGCCTCCGCACCTGTGTACTAGCTGGGGGGTTGTCCGTTTATGCGCCGGTGGTAAACTGGTGCTGTTTATCGCTGCACTGTTGTCTTGATCCGGGGTGTGTTCTGTTGTCCGAAGTGGCTAGGTCTTTTAGTTATGCATTGGATCGTATATGGCCGGGTTGGGTGCCGCTTACGCCCGAGCCGATTGCGGTACTGCGGCTTTGATGTTACAGGTGTTCAGCCGCATGCACGCTCATATGATTCATGCTGCTTGCAGCTGTTGCGTTGACAGAAAGCCTTGTGGAACTTGGGGCCCCCGTGGTCCCTCTTGACATGGGTTGGGCATCCACGCGACATTCTGTGTTAGGTCCAGCGTTCGTACCGTTGGGAATCGTTCTCCTCACCGTGCAAGGGTCCTGGAACTCAGCATGTTGGTTGTTCCTCCCTGGACCCAGATCTCTTGCCATCCTAGCTAAGGGTGTACTATCTGTACTACATTCGCATGCAGTTTGCCGCTGTATTCCCATGGTTATCGCCTTATCGCTCTGCACTAATTAGCCCTGGAGCAGAGAGCGCAGGCCCCATCGTGCACAGCCCTTGTAGGCGCGGTTGACAAGGGTATTCTGCATCAGAGCCTGGGGGTGGAGCGTTCGAAGCATCAATAAGCCCAAAATAAGAGGTGCACATGTATGCCTGCGTGGCCCAACCTAGGTTCTGGTGCATACGGCAGCGATTCCTGCCCTACGATGGTATCAGAAGCGGGCCTCGCCGGGTGTCCGGAAGACTATGGATTCTATTGTTTTTAGGACGGATGAATGTCTCAATTTGCTGTTTTGGCTGGACATTGTTTTGTGGAACAAAATAGGCGAACAAAGAGAAATCAGCTGGGGTGGGCTACTGCAATGCATCTAGTCCTCCTACAGCAGGCGTGCGGGCGTTTGGGAACTGTTGTGACAAGAGGTTAAGAGCGACAACGACGTGCAGGTGCTGTGGAGAGGAAAGGATGGGGAACTGTGTTGGGACCATGCCGCTGAACCTTGGCACTGGCCGCAGCTTAAATGGAGAGTCCAGCCCCTTAATTGTAACATGATTTAGCAAGCGTTCAGTCCAGCTCAATCCAGGCGCTCGAAAGCGTCCTTAGCAAGGGTGATAAAGATACGCGTTCAGCTGTCCTTGGCGGTTGGATCCGTAGTATTTGGTAGCTGACCCTTCCGCTGCTGCCGCAGATTCTGCTGCCGCTGATTCGTTTCGCTCACCGCTTTGCTAAATGACTCGGGTTGCTGGAAGGCTCCCACACCTCACTACATCCCGGGCCAAGGGAGCCCCGGCTGGTTTACTGCCAATCACATTCTATCAATGTGACGGGAACTTCGCGTTTTTTCCTTCCGATTTTGCCGCTGTTAGGCACTTTGCACCTTCAACCTCGATCAGCGAGCCCAACTTCCAACGAACCCAAACGGTATATAGTTGCAGGCCATGAGGAACTCGACACCGGTTTGGACGATGACACAGGCCTGATGGCTTGAGGGCTTTGACGTTGCTGATGGGCTTGTGTGCTAGTAGTAAAGAGCATCCATGACAGAAATAGAGCTATGGCACCCAGCAAAAGCTAGAGGTAACACAGCACAGCATAACGGTAACAACGCTACTCTACATAGTATCAACAAACAATGCAGTTAGTGCAGCTAGTAAGGAATTTGGCCAGAGTACAGCCGCTATTCACTTGCCAATCGTTGCTTCCCCATGCAACGTCACAGTGCAGAGTGCATCGAATCCAAGAGAAGACAGGGGATGTCAGGATGCGGACCCACATCAATCGGAACTTGCATGTCCAGTTAATGACAACGGGCACGTCCGCGTTAGTACCAGGAGAAAAAGCACGCCTTGGAAGTCAACCTCGCCAACGGCACTAAGCAAAGCGAAAACCAGGAAGCAAGGATGGGAATGTTGCAACGCCAGATGATCTCTCTTATCAAGTATCCGGCAAGCAATGCATTTCCCTTTCTAGCGGTCATGTAAAGCACTTCAAGCCAAGTTTGCAAGTTTGCAGGTATCTCCACTGACCCCGCGTTTCTTATGCAGAGGCCACAGCAATGGTGGTTGCGGCTGAATGAGGCATGTTTGGGAGGTGTGCACACAACACTGCATTAAAACATTTTTATGTATCCCTTCGTGCGGTACGTTTGGGCTCAATCCAGAGAAACTGAAGCTTACGCACAGCAACGGTACATCTGAAGGTGGAGACGCAGGCTACTAGACAAAAAATCCAATTTTATAAGGGTATAGGAGCAGGTGGCCTGATTTCAGCGGCGGGTTTGCACTCCTTGGCTGGACAGTCAGTCCACGGTGCATGGACAGTCTTATGCACCTGACGACTCAGAGCAAGCCATGAAGATGAACCACATCATGGCCTATCCAGATAGGAGAGCATAGTTACCCCATTGGCGCTGCCAAAGCACTGCGGGAGGAAGAGTAGACGAGAGGAACAAGTTTTAAGAACCGCCAGCACATCCCCGCTGCGACATGCAGCAGAGTCCACAACTCAAGCCAAGGCGATGGGATACATTGCATCAGGCATGTCTTGACGAAATTTCATACGACTGGCTTTGGCGGGCAAATGCAAAGAAATGCCGGAGGTAATTCCGTCGAAAGGTCGTCAGATTTGAAATAAACTGGTGAACATATAAATTCCCGCTGATGGCTGCTCCAGCCCTGCTGCAGCAGCCGGCTGTCGCGGACTCGGCAGCGGAGTTTCCGACTAATACTTCCCTAATATGGCCTTTCCATTGTGGTAGAGTACGCCGGGAATTAAATTGTGATACAGAAGAAAGTTGGCGAAGTAACCTGCGCAGCGCAGACTGGAGTACCTTCTTATGGCCAAGCTTATCAGATGATCAAAAAAGAGTCCCTTATATCATTGTTAGCTTCAGCATGCATTTCAGTATCAAAATCACCCTGTCCGATTAACGTTCTGGGTAATAGGTAACCAACCTGGGTTGCCGTACAGCCATGGCGCGCAAGAAGATTCCAATTGGCGACATGCCAAGCACCGTTGCATGATGGTATGGTGCGATGCAGGACGCTAGTTTCTGATATTGGAACAGCAGTAGTTGGCTGGCACCACATGAATGAACTCTTGCTTATTGTAGTGATGCATCATGCATGGATACCGTTCATCTCCTGGTAACTATATAGCTCAGTATAAAGGGTTGCAGACTATACTTAGCACCGGATAATTTTGGCAAAGGGCTCAGTTACCTTGAATCCGCAAATTCGCCTAGATTGGAAACGCGAGGACCAGGGGAACGGCTGCATTCCTATCTGACCGTAGTGCAAAATGGCGCACAAATAGGTTTCATTCAGGCCCTGGCCCTGCGGGAAGGGTAACCTCGTTGATGGCGCACACCTTGCTCTTTTGGATGTGATGAGCCAGCCAAAGTTCTAGGTGTGAGATATTATGGAACTCCGTAAACGGCGGCCAACAGCACGCTTTGGAGAGTAAGTCGGGTCCAAGCGCAGGTATCGTGACCGTCGGGGCCAGCTTGCGCGTGCTCCTGAACTCGGCGATGGATAAGTTTTGTCAAGCCTTTGAAGCCTTTGAAGCTTCGGGGTGCGCGGGGACGGCCTTTTGGTTGACGCCTGTGGAACGGTCATGTCCTTGCGCAGCTCGGTGACGCTTGATGTCGTCCTTAATATCGTGGAGCGATGCCGGCGTATTATAATGTTTACTGGGAGTGGAATATCGGCGGCCTCAGGTAAACGCCAGCTTGCGGGAACGCGTTTTGGACGGGTTTCGAGCTTCCGTTTGTGGAAGGTCCTGGGTTACCCGCCTACTTGGTTTTGGCGGCACAGCTCCTCGCATATAACAGCGCGGAACAATGCTCAAACACCCATGCCACTGTGAGATCATGGTCCGGATGTATGATAAGAATGTGGCTGCCTCTTCGCACCCGTTTGCCACCAGGCATGTCTATGTTCAGCACGCGCAACGGGCTGTATGAGCGGGCGCGCAAGAAGTTCAAGGTGCAAGATGGTATCAAATTGTTCACATACTCCTTCTACAGGCAGCGCCGTGCAGAAGTGCAGGTAGCGCGAGCTAGAGTGGCAAGGGGGGGCGGGAGCGTTGCATGCAGGTTGGAATGACCTTCACGCCAATGTTGAATCGTACTCGTACACCACGCCGCGTGACTCCTCCAGCTTCACCGTTCGTGTCATCGGTCTCTGCGGCGTCGCGGAGTCCACGCTATATGGGGCCTGATGGCATTGCTTTGTGCGTCAAGTAAAAACTGGGTTTGTAAATGACTACGAACGTTTCCCCAACTCGTCTGCCACTGCAGGCTTTTTTTGCACAGATCTACTCTGAAGCTCAGGCCAGTCGAGCCGCTACAGGCCACTACGCCATGGCGCAGCTGCTACAGCTCGGAGCGCTGCAACGACATTACACGCTGAACATCGATGGTCTGTCAGAGGTATGTGAAATTCAGTTGTGGACAAGGTTAATACTCGACTCTGAAAGCCACGACTCAATGGGTACACATGATTACCAAGCAAATTGGGATTTGGGTCGTAAGTGTTAGGTCGCAACTTAGACGTTGGGCTGTTGTTAGAGCGTGTGATGTTTGGTGCTCGAGTAGGTGGGCTATGACGCGTGAAGCCAGGGAGTCCGCTTGCTTTAAAACGGTGGCTGGCTGCTGCATTCCGCCGTATTCGTATTTGCCCAGGCCTTGCGGACGTACTGCCGATGATTTGTCTCACGTCGATCGTTTGGCCTCCTTTTTGAAACCCACGCACAAATGCCGGCAGGTGGTGGGCATGGACACTTGGCATCATGAGCGAAACGCCCAGGGCTCAACCGTGGAGATGCACGGCAACATCAGGTAGGCTTTTTTTAGGAAACATTATCCCAGGTGGGCGAATGAGTTGTAAGGTCCATGAGTAACGTTTCACTCGTGTGTTTTCAGCCTTTGGTATGGTATGTAAGGATGTTCCTGAGGGAAGGGTCGTTAAATTTCCGTTGCCCTTGCCTTCTGTAGTACCCTGCATTTCACTGCAGCATTCACGCGAAAACCGCTGGAAGATGACTGGTGTCTTGGTGGCTATGACGTGCTTCCGCGTACAGGCAGCTCGTATGCCCCACCTGCCACGCTGTGGAGCCGCTAAGCCGCCACAACATCAGCCTCATGCGGGCGCAGCAACCAGTGCCATGCAGCGCCTGCGGACAGGACCAGCTGCGCTTCAAGGTGGGCACCGGTGGGGCCAAGGGCTCGTCCCATTGCGCGCGTTAATTAGATTGTAGCACTTAGTTCGGCCGGGTTTGGAACAGGCCTCGGGAAGGAAGCAATGTGCTGTTACCTGGTGTCCCTCCATTACCTCGTTCCGGCGAGCTAGTTGTTTGTACAACATACAGCATACAACGTACAACATACAACCAAAGCAAGTTCGGGGTAAAATTTAATAGGATGCCGAGGCCTTTTTTGTTGTAGGATTAAGTAGCTTTCTTCCACCCAGTGTCAGGTCTTGAACACCCAAGGCCATTTTTGGCAATCTGCAGGTGATGCTTTACGATGATGACGAGGGCGATTGCATTACTCCGGAGCACGTCTTTGACGTATTGGAGGAGGACCTCAAGGTATCCACACTATCTATCGGTCCAGTGCCCAGCACTGTTGCTGCTGTCGGCGCACCGCCCAATTAGGTCGTACGGAACATGCAGGATGTCCTGGCCAAATTGCTGTATTAACGTATCGCTGTAACGTTGCATCACAAATGGGGAACCAATTAGTGGGTGTACACAGAGTGGCGTGGGATATCGATTTCAGGACCCCCGTCTAGGTCGTCGGCCTTCAGCCACGACCCCTCTGCTATCAGACCATGCCAATTGCAGGCCCTCCATTTCATCATTCTTTATTTCCAGGTTTGTGACATGGTGGTCTGGGCCGGGATCAGCTTCCAGCAGTCCGCATCTGTGGAGTACTTTCGCCGCGTACGGCACATGTTGGGGACGCTCGGTCGCCTCAATGCAGTACCGCAGGTACGCCGGTTGCTGCGGGCTTAAACCGAGGAAAGAACCTTAGCGACTAATTGCGTCCAGAAGAATCGACATAAATGTTGTGGTGACGGCTGTGTCTGATGTATAGCGTTGGGTTCTACCTACACCCTTGGAACTGGGTTGGAACGGGTCGAGGGCTCCTGGGTCTCGCCGACTTGGTCGGGCCCATTGCATTGCGCAATGCGCAACACCATTTCCAAGGCCCATTCAGAATTCCAGCTTTGCACTAAACGCTTTCGTTTGCGCCATTTCAGTCGGCGATTCTCCGCCGCTTGACGGTTGAACTAAGGGTTGTCTCCTGACCTTTCGAGATTGCACGCAGGTGTTAATTAACCCCAGCGAGGAGCCGTACTTCAACGTGCTCTCCGCGATGTCGAACCCTAACGAGCTGCAGCTCCTGGACTTACGGGAAACCAGCGACATAGCCTTCCCTGCAATGGCGGAAAGGATTCGGGAGGCCATTATGCATGAAGAGGGCGAGTACAATGGATCAGCTGCTGTGCTCATGAACAGTATCCATGGTGGTATCCATGATGCCCAGGCTGCAGGTGCGGCGGCAGCTGCAGCTGCGGTCATGGATGAGCCTGTGCCAGGGGCTGCGGTGTCCCCCGGGATAGAAACCCCAGCACGATCAGTGGAAGCAGATTGCGTAGGCCGCGCGGCCGCGTTGCACGTGGACTTCAGCGCCAAAATGGAGATGCCGGGATACAATGGCGTAAAACTGGAGGCAGACGCTGCACCTGAATTTTGCGCCGGTATCGGCATACGTGCTGGAAGCTCCGGGCCAAGCTTAGGGGCTGTACCCTCGGTGGACGCATCTACGACGGGTAGCACCCCCGAGCCGGAGCCAAAAGTAGCCCGCATTTGGCACCCCACACGAAGCACTAGGGCTCCTAGAGAGTCCGACGCAGGGGAAGAGGCTGGGCCGCTCTTCGTGGATGATGCCGACGATGAGGACTATGTCGAGGGCGAGGATGATGAGGATGGGCGCTGCCGCCGAAATGGTCGTGGGCGCGGCAAGGGCCGTGGTTCCGGAAACCGGGGCAGGGGGCGAGGACGGGGTCGAAGCCGAACAGGCGGCAGCGGCGGCGGCTCACGCGCGGGGTCATACAGCGATGCGGGCTGCAGCCCCCAGGGCCAAGGGCCGCTTCCGCAGGGGCAAAGCTCTCTGGCGCTACTGCTCGGTCTCGCATCAGGTACGGGACATCTGGCGGGGGGATCTCCCGCGCTTTCCCTCCTTCCGCTGGCCCAGCCTAGCTTGCTCGCGCTCGGCGGTCTGGTTAAATCGCCGCCACAGCAGCAGCAGCCAACGCTCATGCAAGCGGTTCAGCAACCTCAGCTGTTGCTTTTCCAGCAGCAGCAGCAGCAGCCGCTGCAGGCGGTCCAGCAGCTCCAACAGTTGGTGCAGCTACAGCAGTTAGCACACCTAACACAGCAGCCGCAACAGCAGCAGCCGAGTGGCCTCGAGCTTCTGCAGCGACTGAACGCCCTAAAACAGCTACAATGCTTACAACAGCAACCGCCAACGGTGAGCTTACAGTTGCCTCAGCCTCCGTCTCTGCAGCTGTCCCAGCAGGCGCCGGAAGTTGTGCCGCTTCAGCAAAGGCTCCAGCTGCAGCCACTCCTCAGACCCGTTTCCCTGCACCACCAGCCCAGCGGCACACATGCCGTGTCGAGTGGGCCGCAGCAGCAGCCGGTATGCCAGGACCCGCAGCCCTCGCCGTCGCTGCTGGAGCTGCACCAGCCTGTGTCGCAGCCACAGCCTATGCAAGGCCAAGACCTACAATTGCAGCTGCAGCGTTTGGTGGAGCTTCGACAGCATGCCCTGCTGCAGCCGGATATGAACGTGGGATACCAGGGCGCCCCGCAGGGCTCTCAAGTACCGACTCCAAGCTTAAACTGTACTGGCCATGCCCAGTTGGTTGATGCTGCCGCGCCAGGCACCACGGCGGGACCGGCTGCGGCTGCAGCACCGGTAGGTCCGCTTGCTGATACTGAAGCAGCCGGAACTTGCCGAGGCGTGGCCGATGGCCCACCGGCTGTGGATTTCCTCGGTTATTCGTCCACAGGGCAGGGGCCGGTTGCGACGGCAATACATGAAGATGGACGAGCCTAGCGCGTTCAGGGCAGTCGGGATGTTACATGAGCGCTTGGGGACGCGGGAAAGTGGTCCCCCAATACTGTCTTGCTGGTTCCGGGCTGGGCGGCGGTTGTAAGGTAATGGAAGCAACCTCGTGCAGCTAATCTAGGTTGTGGTGGGTCGCTCAGCGTTGCCGCCGTTGTTGGTAGTTGGGCTTGTTACCGGCGCTGTATGGGGTGTAGAGGTGTCGTGACTGACGTGAGCGGTAATTGTTGGCCGTGCTGAAAGTGGCGAGGAAGATGGAAGTGCTTGACAGCAGGAGGCTTACGTATTCGCAGGCGTGCGGCGGATTGACCTGTTTACACTTGGCGACCAGAAGGGGGAACTATTTAGTCGAGGACTTGAGATTTAGGTAGTAGAGGACTCAAAAGAGTGTGAGGGTCATGACTCGAAGCTGCCGAACTTGTTCATAATGTGCCAGGCGGATGCCGTGTACGTACACAGGGGCGTGGTGTACAGCTGGTTCAGCGTTTGTCGTGCGCTGGGAACCAAAACAGCCAAGGGGACCTATCTGTGAGACCTTTGCAAAGACGTTTGGTTGTTATATGCTTGATCTGGCTTACGAAATGACCCTGGTTTTGAATCTCCATTTTGTGGGGCTGGGTTCGGTGGACGGGGTAGAATGGCTTTTCCTCGCTGCCTTAGGATTGTTTCGTTCTGTACGATGTCCGTTTCGGGTCGTATTTGAAGTAAAACAAAACGATTTCAGGTGCTAGAACCTGCACGGTACATTTTAATCACCGTTGACGGGCATAGAATTTATTAAGAGGTTAAGCTTCGCTGCACTCGTAATTTCGTATGAATGAATGACCTGGATGACGGGGTTGACTTCATTAGCCATTTTTCAAAGCACAATTCCGAGAAAGGAAACACAAAGAAGCACTCGCAAAGCGAAACCGCCGCCTCAACGGGTCATCCAACCGGAAGAAAGCGAGTCGCTAAGGGCAAGCAGCCCTCCCGTTTGATACTTGATGCGTGCAAGGCACCTAAGCGGAAGGCAGATAGCGTTTCCATAGACGATTACAACGTTCATAACAAAACGCCGAAGACTAGCACCGGGGACGGCCACAGCGCACAGCATAGCAGCCGCTCGCAGGCGACGCAGCGTGCCACCAAGAACCTCTGGCAATTCGAAGGTAAAGCGACAAGATGCATCCAATTCGTGAGTTGCCGATTGACTGATGGACTGTGGATTTGTGACCTGCCTTCAGTTGATTACAATGACCACTTTGAGAGCCCGCTGCAAGCGGTGCAAGACATTGCGCCAGTTTTGCGCCTATTGTGCAAGAAACTTAAAATTTCGAGACAAAAACTAGCAATATATGATCCGTTCTTCTGTCAAGGCGGCATCCGACGGCATTATGAGCATCTGGGCTTCATGAACTTTATCCACAGGTAAGACTCTAGGTAGGGAAGAGGACACGTCGTGGGGAACTCAGCCAAGGAAGACCTCTGGCATGGCCAGTGTTGTAACCCGTGCATTGGTGCCGGTAAACACGTACACAGGAACAGGGACTTCTATCAGGACGTAAAATGCGGAGACGTGCCTCCGTACGACATCTTAGTGACCAACCCGCCGTACTCGGGTAAGCTTCGGGACAAACATTCTTTCACGATGCGCATTCCCAACTGGTTCCGCAACCCTTGCTTAGGTGCAGTATCGCGTAGTACTGAACGTGTCAGCGTGCTACTTCATGTCCCGCGCTTGGGCTTGCTCAGATTACAGCAATCCATCGTAACCCGGATCCCTCTCTCAAATCTATACGACCTAAATTACCGGGTCGACACGACTAGAAATACCTACATGGCAGCACAATGGGGAATGTAAAAGTTATTTGGACGTGTGTCTTTTTCCGCTCCTTTCGGGCGCCCATTCACTCAAAACGTGCCTACCCCACCTGATGTGACGCCCGTGGGGCCGCCAGCCGATCACAAGGAGCGCATCCTGGAGTTCTGCCTTCGATCGGGCAAGCCCTGGGCACTGCTGCTGCCAAACTATGTGGCCACCAAGGTACAATTCGCTTCTGGTCGTGTACAGCCCGAGAGGCTGGAACCACATATTAGCCTTGCCTTGGAGTCCGGCTTCGGCCCCTATCCCTACCCTTAGCCCGACCCCTGCTTTTTCCTGCCGTCCTTGGCCAGCCCGCAACCCTCGGCGAATAGGGGTCGGATGAGGTGCTCGCATCTACCACCGGTATCCTCCCACTGGTGGGGCAGGACCACAGGATGGGCGGCAGCAGGAAACCACCATGGTACATGAGTTCCTAATGCAGATATTCAGGAGTCAAAATGCATTGTTGGGTCACCGTGCCTGCTGGCTTCTGGCCCTGGCGCCTGGATGCAGGCCTACTTCGGCCAGCTGTTGGACTCCACAACCACCGCGGCCTCCCAGCGCCCCTTTTTCCTGACCCCACAAGCACGCTACAGCTACGAGCACCCGGAGGGCACGGGCCACCTGGAGTCGCCCTTCTTCAGGTGCGACCCTGGCTGCAGCTTACCCCCACAGCTGGTCCCCGGTGGGCGGGAAGGTCGGTTGATGGGCAGATGGTGTCAAGCAGGCAGGGTTGGCAAGTTGCTGAGCCTCGCACCCCCGTGATGGGTTGTACATGTTTTCGATCATGTCAATAGGAGTGCTGCGGGTACAGTCTGCCGGATGCGGTGGGTACATGAACGAATAGACAATATACCAGCATAGGTTTGCAAGGCTGACAAGTATCAGGTGTTGTTGTTTGCGCGCTGCCTGTGTTGGCAAGCTACCTTTATTTGGCTGTAGCGGAAAGCGATTGCCGGAACCGGTTACTGAGCCCACAGGCGCAACAGAGCTTGCACGATAGCTAGGAATGTGATCCGTTTGTTCAGGCAGGCGGTCTTTAAAGGTCTGCACAAGCGCCGCAAAAGCATCGGTACCTTTTGCTCGCTCCCGTGTCCCTTTTCTCTCACGACGGTTACACAGCATCTGGTACATTGGGCTGGGGGAGCAGACGGAGGCGATCTACTGCGCCTGTAAGGCTCGGCAGGCGTCACAAGCTGGTGGAGCCACCGCGGGCTCGAAGAGGAAAGGTGGCAGCGGCAGCAACGCCAATGGCGGTGATGCCGATGATGACAGCATGTGGCGGGTCTCCCTCGCACGAACAGTCGACGCGCTGCGGCAGGCGGGGGCGGTGCCCACTGCCCGGCGGCTGAACCCGAAGCAGCGCGCGCGGCTCAAGCAGCAGAAGCTCAAGACCGCGCAGTGAGACCTGGTATTCATGCACACGGCATTGCACTGATGTCAACGTGCACTTTGTTTAAGTTGGTACTGCGGTGCGCCTCAGCGCCTTGCCATGTGCCTCATGGTGGCGTTTAATCTCTTTGGCGTTTAGGTGCGCTGGGCGCAAAGAGGTAGAGGGTGCCGGTCGGCTCACAGCGTATCTGGTTACACCTTGCACACTGCCTGTTGCGATGGCTTCTTTGCCATGGGTAATGGAATGGCGCTGGGCATTACGGCGCTGGGGTTTAGGCTGCCACCCTGCTCTACTTCTGCTACACTGGAGAGTTGTGATATGCGAGCAAGGTTCATAGTTACAGTGTTTGCTCAGAATGTTATGTGAGGTTATTCTGCGCCAAGCGCCCTGCTGTTATCATTTGCATCATAAGCTCTCCCACCAGGCTTTTATGCGAACAGGAAACGCACCTGCTGACTGTACTAGGCATGCCAACGTCGCGCGACTACCCAAGCCCCAGTACAACCCTGGGCCAGGTGGCCAGCATTATTCGTGTCCCATTCTTCGTAAACATTCGTGAACGTTCTGACGAAGCGGATTGTGAAACATAGTCCTAAAATAGGATGGGAGTTCAATCCAACTCCACACCATACCTGCGCATTTTGCCACAAACATGACACGAAACAGTACATATACATGTGCAGCAAAGGGCATCCATTATGACGCTTTCCAGAGCACTTTCCTGTGCAGCGTCTTAACTCCAGCATGCCTGTAACAGCGGCCCAACTTCGGGCAGCTCCCCAAATACACACATCGACGGGCGGCATCTAAATCCCGGGCTCCATGCTGGCACGCATCATGGCCACTGCGCTGCCGTGCGAGCTCATGAATAATCCCTTCGTGATCACCACCACTGCCACCAGCTTGGACCTGAAGAATTTTAGAGAAGGCAACAACGAAAAGCAACCACTGCTGTCGCAGGCGGTCAGCATGCGAGCATCAACTACGATACCCGCCGTGAGGTGACTATCAAATACCGCAATCCACTTCCCGAGCCGTCACTTCCACCTTAAGGAGGCTATCATATGCTTTTCAGACAACAATCCTTCACAGCCTCACCTCCCATGCAAATCGAGTTCTGAAGCGCCAGCGCACAGCCAACCCAGTCCCGGTCGGGCCGGCAGGCGCATGCAGGGCTGCAACATCCAGCGGCGGGGGGTCGCCGTCCACAGCATTCATCATGTAATCAAATGCATGTTGCCACGGCAGCACTTTTCCTTTTGTGCGCCCCGCCCCGCCCCGCCCCGCTTATTATTACCCACTGTTAGCGAGCATCATAAACGTCACAGCGACATGTGTCGCTCTACGGGGTCCCCGCCCTCTTTTGCTGTGCACTCGAGGCGCTTACCGAAGACAGCCACACCATCCGACCAGCCGCATCGGAGACACAGCAGCCGCCACGACCGTTAACCCCTGCCTCAAAAAGCTTCTTTCCCACCACCCCCCCGATAGTGCCGTCCCTGTGTGTATTTGGTGCTGTAGACCTCAACGGAGTCCGCACCAAGGAGCCCAGGAGCACCAAAAATGCATGGGTGCCCCCTAACCCGCAGTAAAAGCTCACCGCGCAGCTGGTTTTATGATTTGCGCGAATGAAAAAATAGTAAGACGTCATAACACCCACCATCGTGTCATCACAATCATGGAATCGCGCGGGAAATTGACGAATGGCCAGCTACTATGCCCGACACGGCCGGGCCCGGGGGCGGAATAGGGTCACCTGGGTTTTGTCGTACGACGACTTGTAAGTATATTGAACCAACAATAACATTACGCACATGCGTAGAACATAGCACGCAGTTACGGATACGGACAGCGTAATCGCGTCCGAGAACCAGAAGCGGTAGAAGAGGAAGACGGCGGAAGAAGCGACCGCGACAATGCCGGCCGGCAGGGGGCATCGCTGGGTATGCTCAACGCATCTTGCTCACGGATGCGGAAGGCAATCCACCCACGTTCACATGTTATCCTAAATTGTTTCTTGGCAACAAATAACTTGCTTCTCCGCAATTTGCCGCCCAAAAGCTGGCACACCACTGATTATTGCCAATGCCCTCCTGCCATGGTGCGTATGATACGCAATAATAACGACATCAACATCAACAAAATCAACACAACAACATACATTGGTCTTTAGTTCAAATCTCCGTCACGACACAGTGCTTATTTGGGTTATAGGAACACTGATAATTTTCTGATTGTTTCCTTTTCAATCTGTTTGGGACAACAGATATCGAATGCCGGGCAATTGAGCTGCGAGTGCGCACATATCTTCGCAAGTCAGGTCTGTGCCCGCTGCACGCCCCCTCAATGACCGACCGGCTCACCATCATCCCCGCCGAAGCTGGCGCACAGCATCAACCGGCTCAGCCACGTCCCTTTGCCGTACTCCCCGCGCCGCCTCTCAAAAAGGTCCACAGGCACGGCCGGCGGCACGCCGCTGCTGCCGCTGTCGCCCTGCGTCGCAATACCGCGAAACCCGTGCCATGCAAAGGGCTTGCCATGCCGGGCATCCCCGTCGCCAATCCCGCCGGCGGCCGCCGTCAAGGCGCCGCCGTCTGGAGGTGCACCGGAGGCGCCAGCCCTCTCCATGGCTGCCGCGGACTCCACTTCACACGCGCTGTCGTACGTGTGAGTGCCCCAGCCTGTCGGCCCGCGGGGCGCCGGGCAGACGCTGGCCGCCGGCTGTTGCTGGTTCTGTTGCGGCGGGCAGCTGGCGCTACGGCCGCTGCTGCTCGCACGGCCCATTGCCGCTACAGCTGCCGCGCCGCCGCCCAGCGTGCCACCGTCCGTTGCGCTGAGGACCAAGCCCAGCGGGCGCACGGGACGAGCTGAACCTGCCGGTACGGAGGCAGACGACGGACTAGCCGCCGCCTCGACAACCATGCCGCCGCTGACTGTTTGCGGCCCTGCGGCCTGGCGCTGGGCACTCTCAGCGGGGTGGAGGCCATCGACGTCGCTAACGCTGCCAGCACGAGGCCTGTTGGGCCTTACGTCGGGGTCGGGTTGCGCTGCACCAGCGCTGGAGCCATGCAGGGTCCTCTGCCGCGACGGAGACGATGACGAGGTCGGGACCGAGGTTGAGGCAGGTGCGGGGGTGGCTGCGGAGATAGGCGCGCTTGTCTCTCTCTGGGTATTGTCTCCGCCATTATTAGTGCTGCCCCTGCTGCTGCTGCCGCCAGAAAGGATACTCGAAGCCGAGCTGTTTTCTGCGGCCCCTAGGCTTGTCGCGAGTGTGGCGGAGGAGCATACGGGCAGCAGCGTGCCGGCAACAGCAGCGGTGGCGTGCCGCGAGCCAGATGTGGCAACCAACTTCTGTGCGGCCTTCTGTGCAGCAAGGCGCTGGCGTTCTACGGCCGTCATGGCGGCGCAGAAAACCGCCGCATCGTACGACGACAGGCCCTTGAGGTCCAGGAACATGCCTGAGGGGAAGTACGCGTGGAGGAAGTGTGACATCAGAACGCGCACTAACTAAGAGGATTCTCTGCCGTCCTCTCCTCCTCCTCCTCCCTTCCCCCTCCCTTGGATTGCTAACTGTAAATGCTTTTCCCGCGTTCCGATGTCGTACGAGAGCCTCAACCTCCCTTAGTTCTCTCCCTCTCCCTCTCCCTCGCTGTAGTCTGTCCCTTCCTACCCACCATGTCCGGGGACCTTGCACTCGAAGGTGATGGAGAACTCCTGGCTGTCCCGCAGTCGCAGCAGCCGCCGGACGTCCTGGATGAAGGCCATGCGGCCCTCCTCCCCGGACTTCACCTTCACCATGTGGGTCTGGCCGTTGAAGTGCACCGACATCACGGGCTCCACTGCCGCCATGCCGGGCAGGGCCAAGTTGGCCTGCCAGTCAGGGAGCCGCTCCTTGCAGAAGCGACAAAACTTCTCCTCGCTGGGGGCGGGTTTGCCGCCGCGTGAGGGCGGGTTATCGTAGCGGAGTGGGCAGGGCGTGAGAAAGGGCCCAGGGGGTTCACGGGGTGGCCGGGAATCTCTGGCGCTCGGGACCTTTCCGCGGACTGTGCGTCAGATCCGGGGGATTCTGATCAGACAGAGATTTGTGATGGACAGCAGCCGGATTTGGGTTGTGCGTTACAAGCGGCGCACAAAGCCAACAACACCGTGGGGAAACGCAGTGGGGACACAGTGAAGTGCGGTGGAGGAACAATACAGAGGAATGGAGGAGTTGCCCGCGACAGAGGAATCTGCTGAGGCCACATCCGCCAAGGCCACTGCTGCTTGCCACACACACACACACACACAGAGAGAGAGAGAGAGAGAGAGAGAGGGTGTGGAAGGAAGGAAGGAAGGAAAGAGAGGAAAACCTGGGGATGTTAGAGGTTGCATCGCAGGTCAGTACAAGTACAGATACGTGCAGGCGGATTACCAGCTTTGGGTAACTGACCTCTTGCCGCTCTGGCTGAGTTGCCATTTCGCCAGGCATACGCTGTGTACGACTCGAGGGCAACGGCATGGCTTGATCAGGCGGTTGCTTTGGAGGGGACCTGGGCTGATGTCGACCCCTTCCACGCCTTCGAGGCATATCCAACAAGTCTCGTTGTCCTCGCCGCTTTCCATCGGAGCCGGTGCGTAAGTGTACGCTAAAATAACCTGACAGCGGGATATGAGTAACGGAGCGCGACAATTTGCTGCCGTTATGCTGACTTACATACTTCCGCAGGCACGCCTAGCACGTCCAGTACAACGACCGGAAGCACGGAAGGGCCCAGCCGGAATTGTAAGAAATCAATGCAAGGAACGCTGAGCCAAAAGCTTAACACAGTTGTTGCAAAACTGAAAGGTTGTTCGAGCTCATTTGCTGTGAGCTGCAGCGTTTGGAGCTCCCAGGGCAATAGCCTACCCGCAGCCCCACGAGCACCCCGAAGACGCAAAATTAGCACTGAGAGAGAATAATTCTTATTCGTTAGGCAGTGTCGCTTGTGACCGCTTATGGCAGACGCCATAAGCTTTGCCTTACGCTCAATTTCCTAGACAGAGAGACGTCCTACCGACGGCCGCAAATTGCAAATCAAAGACTGAGTATCCCGTATAATGTTTGTCACGGAGACACACGTCTCTTACCTTTCGCTTGGGTTTAGTCGAACTTCCGAAAGCAGGCTAATGCCGAGGAATGACCAATCCGCTTTCGAAACGAGTGCTCCGTGCAAGGCTTGAGATGCCGAAAAGGCCGCCTATACTTTGGAAGAATTGCCTCCGTTACGCGGCTTGGAGTACGTGACGTCTCCGATTGCTCAATGAATCATGTGTTCAAAAGCTTGTGGAAAATAAGTAATAAGTTGAAAGAGCAGATCATCACAGGCTTGCAAAGCACACTAGGGATGTATCGCCATTCGCAGCTAACCGTTGTACATTTGGCCATTACGGCAAAGAACGGTGAAGATGTCATCTTCACCTGATCTTTTAAATATACAATACGAATTAGGCTCAGATCAAAGTGCTAAAATTGCAATTGTGGGCCGGTGTCAAGCTTTTCCCCAAGCTCCCGGGCGGGTCAAAGGATTTGCGAGCAAACTGTTCTGGCACTTGTTTTGTTTCTGTTGTTAAAGACGAAAAACAAAGCAAATGCTCTGCTTGCCGAAAAGTCTGGCTGGCGAACCCTGCGTTTATGGGAATTGTTTTGCAACAGCCTTCATGTTTCAGCTTGAAACAATGGGGACGTGCCAGCATACCGTCTGTAACACAACGGCATTATTACGAGCCGAAAACCCTTTTTGTCAATTGGTTCAAGCACGTGGCTTCATTGTTGCGGTCACAGGTTGATGGCCGCCAAGATGATGGCAGGTCGCTAGGCAAAAGATATGTCAGATGAGGCTTTACAATGCTGCTTAACATGCATAGGCGTTTCCATTTTTTGAGTACATGCCCAGGTTGTGTGGGAATGCATCCCGTACAACTTCCAGGCGGCCACGCGGGCCCAGCCAGCTCTGGCAAATCCAAGCCACTGACCTGGCCTGTGCCTACCTCAACATCATGATGAATTGTGAGTTACAGCTTAAAATTGCCTCATCGAAAAGCCTATCCCTGGCTTGCAACATATTGCCCTATTACAACTAGAGGAAACGGACCTCTGAAGCCCCACCATATCTGTGTTACAAATTTACAAGAGCCATTTCAGTATCATTTTAATTCTCCTTAGTACGCAACACCTATATTGGCATCGGGACATCGCTCTGGGAACAAAGCCCAGCCTCTAAGACCGGGCAACTATCATGGAAATCACTCCCGAGCTTATTACTCAGGTAAATTTTCAACATGGCGCAATAACTTTAAAAATTTGCTCCTTCAAAGGTAGGAAGCTAGGCACCAGTGACTAATGAACAACTGGGCCCAATTGGGCCTTCCCCTATCCCGTTGGCCTTGCCGCTGCAACAGTATGGCCTCATGAGCAAGATCAGCACTGGGAACACGTACCTGGACGTAGTATTTTGTTTGCTTGTACCTCTTCTCTTGAAGCACCTGGTGCCGGTGTTGACATCGTTGCCCCAACGTGTCTGGCCTTCAAAGGCCGCGACAAAGTGCGTCACTCGCTGCATCGAGCACACCCAGCGTTCTTCCTATTACTGGTACGTGGTGTTCGCGGGTCCTAATGCATTTCCCGTCCTGGCGTATGGACCATGCACAGGACAGACCAATAAGGAAAGGCCGGCCCCAACCCACCACAGCAACAAGCCCCAGAGCCCGCCTCCTAGGTCAATTAAATTCCCCCTCCTTCCTTTTGGTTAACCCATAGGTACGACTCGGACAGCCAACCACCCAACAGCATCCTACAACGCGCCGTACTTAACCTCATCAACCGTGAAGTCCAAACGCTGCGGGAGTTAACGGATGCGGACGTGGCCATACGGAAGAAGCCCGCGAGGCCAGCGGACGGCGATGTGGACAACAAGGTCGCTGCAGCGGACAAGGGCGAGGATGAAACGGACAGCGGCAGCGATGACGATAGAGGCAAGGAGCATGCGTACAGCTTCAACTTGATGCCCAAGCCGGGGCAGTGGGTTGCCTTGAAGAACGGCATCAGGTCAGTCCCGCCCGCCCTCAACGGTGCACCACCATAGCAATAACCACCCCACGACCGACCTGCAGGGGTAGATTGTCCCAGGGCATGGCAATTTTGGGGTTCAACGGCGGCAATATGGGGAGGGCTGTGGACGAACTTCTCCCCGACACACATCATCAAGCCCGCTTGATTTGCTGAGTTGCTGAGCTATAAATGCATTGCTAGTCCACACACAGTCCATTAAAAAGCCCTCGCTGTCACGTTAAAAAACCGTGTCGAGGGTCGCCCCCTGTGTCCGGGAGCTCGCCCGGGTGCACGAAAACGCGCGCCTGCATGTCGCCACTCACATGATCGACTCGATGGGAGAAATCGTTATTGGCCATTTCTGCCTGCCTGCCTGCCGTATCTGCCTGATGACCGCACACGTGCGAAGGTTCATGCTGAATACTGAGAATCTGGATGACAAACAGAAGACCACCAAAGTGCGTTACCACCTGGAGTCGAGAGAGAAGGACGGCAACAAGCGGATCACGACGTTCCTGCAGGAGGCCCTGGAGGTGGGGGTAACCGTGGGTGTCTGGGTGGATGATAGTGGTGGCTTGTTGCGGTGAAGGCGGATGGACTCCTTAGACTCGCACAGATCAGGTCACAGGCCAGGATAGACCACTCGATGGTTCGCGATGGTGGACGGGCCCCTTCCGTGGGTGGGTTGGTTGGGTGCGTTACGTGCAACACGCGGCGATTACGTGCCCGTGTTCCCCTGACTGTGTTTAAATGCTCGAAAGCAGTTCTATAGAACTTTCCATAGATTTGTGCCATTCATTTCAAACTCTGACGGTTGTCTCTGTCGCAGATGCCAGGCCTCCTCTTTCATGCCTTATATCACCCTGCCCTCTCCTACCGCTCCTTCCTCGTTCCCGCTCCCGCTCCCGCTCCCACACAGGTCTACCGGCGGGAGCAATCCGCTCGGGTGGACCCCGCTCGCTATCTGTACATGCCAGTGCTGTCGGGCTTCAGGGAGCCCGCAGCTGCGGATGGGGACTCCGGCTCCAAACCCTCCGCCGTGTATAAGCGTTACAAGCTGAGCGAGGAGAAGACGTTCGCGTCTCTGTTCCATCCTGACAAGGAGGCCATTCTTAAGCTGGTGCGTGAGAGTGTGTGTGTATGTGTGCGTGTGTATGTGTGCGTGTGTGTGTATGTGTGTATGTGTGTGCGTGCATATGCGTTTGGTTGAGGGCCGGGCAACAGGGTGCGTGTGCTGCGAGCGTGTGTGTTTTGGTACAATAGACTGCATCACGAGGCGAGCGATATGTGATAAGCGATCAATGGCGAAGGCGGGATATGAAAAGCAGGTCCCGGGGGGGCCAACAGCCGTATTCTTGGAGCCCATCAATTCACCACCTCGCAGCCGTTCCCACCCCGGAAATGCCCCTTCGTCCTCGCGCCATGTTGCTCGCACGCACCGCGATGTCGTACACCGCCGCATCTCCACTGCCGTCGTAGTCGTCGTCCTTCCGCCCTCTCGCCCCTTTATCCAACCGGGCAATCAAAACCCCTCATCGAAACCCGCGCACAGGTGGAGCAGTTCCTGAATAAGACCGGCAAGTTCGCCATCCCCGGCTACCCACAGAAGCTGGGCTTCCTGCTTTACGGCCCGCCCGGCACAGGTAAGGCCCGCCACCTGCAAATTTAACCCCTGCTTACCGTATTGTCCATTAGGCCGTACCGTCCGCTAATCTCACTGTTGATACTTCCGGCGCACCGCTAGACAGGCCTTCCTGCCGTGCCCCTGGTTAGAGGTCAAGGAAGAGCGGAGCACACAGCTAACCAGCTGCATTGTTTCGCAAACGTCTAGCTTTTGGTCTGTTTGTTGGAGATCAACTTGGAGGTGCTGATGCGAATCTTTTTTTCCTTTTCTCAAACTTGTTATCGGTTCACAGTCGAACTAACCATTACTATTTTGCTTTCGTTCGCGCCTCGCTGATTGATCCATTGCTTCATTCCGTTCGCTTCGCTCCTCCCGCCTAATCAGGCAAGACCAGTCTAATTAAGGCGCTTGCGCAGCACACGAAGCGCTCGATTATCTCAGTACCGCTGTCCAAGATCTCCACTAACCAGGAACTCATGGTGAGCTGGGAACCCTAGGGTCGTGAGGGGACTTCATCTTTTTGGGGTAAAGACAGAGAAGACAAACATCGTGTGGGCCAGGATGCGAAGTGTGCAAACAACGACTATAAGGCCGTGCTCCTCACCTCTAATTGACCTCTTCCTCCCCCTGTCCCGCCCTCTTTCGGTTCCTCACCAGGACATCGTGTTCGACAACAAGCTACAGATTCAGAACAGCTCCGACTCCGCCATCTCACTCCCGTTCGAAAAGACAATCTTTGTCATGGAGGATGTAGACGCCGCAAGCAGCGTGGTGCAGCGCCGAAACCAAGACTCCGCGTCGCCGTCCGCCGCCGCTGCGCTCGACAATGTCGGGGTCCTTGCGCTGGCGGAGCAGCTTGCAGCTGCCAAGCTGGCGATCGCCGCCAAGGCCTCTGCCGCCGACTCCTCTCACGACGCCTCCAGCACCAAGGACGACGGCGAAGAGTCAGACGACCAGGATAGCGACAAGGAAGCGGAGGACGGCGGCGGCAGCAGCCGGAACCAGCCCGCAACAGCTTCCTCGGGCGCGCGCCGCGCCGCCGCCGCTGCTGCTGCCGCTGCCTCGTACGGCGCCGCCGCTGTAAGCAGCGGCAGCGGCTGGGAGCGGCCAGGTGTTGCCATCGGGCCGTCGCTTCCTCTGGGTGCCTTTGGCAAGGGCTTATTCAAGGGCGATGATGACCTCAACCTAGCGGGGCTGCTGAACGTGTTGGATGGTGTAGTGGACACTCCCAACCGCATCGTCATCATGACCACGAACCACCCGGAGAAGCTCGACCCTGCGCTCATTCGTCCAGGGAGGATTAACAAGAAGGTTGGTGACGTAGTCCGGGGCTCTGGGGGCGGATGGGCCGAAGGCGCGCGCGCGCGCGCGCTACTTGTACCGGCTACACATTCATGTATACCTTCTTTCTTCCCGCGGTTCAGTATATTTGAAGGTACTGCGTTTTGCGCCTCGGTGGTGGTGGGCATGGTGCTCAGATTGCCCTGTGCCGAGATAAAGATGCCGCTTGCGCTGTGCGATGTGAGTTGCAAAGTATGGGCAAAGCAGACCACACTTCAGCTGGTAAAGGCAAACGTTTCCGCCGTATAAAGTCCTCAAAACCGCGCACGGCACCCGTGCACGCGCAGCAGTGTCATTCATGCAGTCCCCTCTCCCCTGCCGCACCTCGAAACCGACTCAGAGCACAAGGGGAATACGAACTGCCCGGTGGTGCCGGGGCCCCCTGCTGCATCCGCAGCCCGTCACCTTTAAAGCCAAGGTAGCCGGGACCTGCGCGAGACGCGCATACAATCAACCGGTGTCCATGCGCCATACGCCCACATGTCTCCAAACGTACACCCGAAATGCCCCTTCAGCTTAGCAGCTCCTGCCCTGCCCAGCCCAGCCCTGCTCTGCCATGCCATGCCATGTTGTCGGTGGCCTCGGGTGTTCACGGTCAATCACGCGGCGCTGCTGCATGCAGGTGTACATGGGCCGCCTCCGAGTGACGGAGGCACTGTCCATGATGCGCCACTATTTCGGGCCTGTGAGTGCAGCGGACGAGGCGGCCCTGCGGGCGGTGTTTGTGGACGACCGACTGTCGCCGGCGGATCTGGAATCCATGTGTGCGGAGTACGACACGACGGCGGAGCTGGTGGAGGGCGTGGCGGCGCGGCTGGTGGCGGGCGAGGAGGCTTTTAAGGGTTGTTGAGGAGGCACGCACGTAGACAGACATATGTACACATAGCACGACGCAGACACATCACGCATGGGTTTGCTGCCGGGCACAACATTCTTTGGCGTGACAGAACTACCATATGGCTTAGTGGCACCCTTACAGCCTTATTGGCCTTATTGTGGCTGGCGAGTTCCAGAATGTGTGGACGGCACAGGCTGGCAGGCGGGGCAGCGATTGCCTCCGGGCCCCGAGGGCATCTAGGCAAGTTCTTAGCAGGCAGGTGAAGCGCGGGGCTGGGTTGGGCCATTGTCAACTGTGAACCGTGTTGTAGCTCTTGAACTGAGAACCTATGAACATGAGCGGGGTCAGAGCGCCATTCTCTTAATTCATTTCGTTTTTGTGCTATGGGCCCTACAAGGCATTATTTTTTCAATTTCAAATGCTGTCGTGGGCGGGAAAGCGCGTGCAGGAGCCAAGTGTGTAGTGTTTGGGCGCGTCACGCGGGGTGGGTCTTCCCTAGGTGGCCTTGTCGGGACGAGACCTCGTTTCTCGGGACCCGTGAAGGTATGCTGTGGCCATTTCCATCCTCTGTGCAGATGTGGTATCTAATATCGCATATGGCCAGGTTTTTCCCAAGCGCCTGCGTCACAGGCAACCCTTCAAATCTCTTCAAATGTTTTTCCGCTGCTGGTTATGGGTAGGACGGGTACGACAACCCATGACGAGTTACATTATCTGAGTTGATGGTGCGCACCGATTTAGCAAGGTCTTACTAGGGTTGTCCCCTTCGGTTCCCCTTTAGGTTAGCGCGAGGCAGGTCTGAAGACAAGACGATGTGTCCCGGGCCTGAGCCGTGCATGCACGCTCCGACACGGGCGATTCGTACGTGCGGGATTAGAAATATAGAAGCAGCTCATGCGTGTCTGCAGGTATGTGTCCCTGGCGGGAGTAGGCTCGAACCTCGTCCTTGTTTTGCTCGAGAAGACTTAAACAGATGATGGTCTTGATTTTCACCGCTTCACGTGTTTGCATTTGCCTTGCTGTTGAAATATCAAAACGATGATAGAGCAGAGCAGGGAGCGTCGGAGGGAAAAAGTATGGCTTTTTTCATGACCCGCGGTCGGACGCCGCGGCCAGTGAAATGTTAAATGCTTGGTGGTTAGGCGTAAAGGGTCGCGGTTGGTACCGCAGCTTGTTGCACTGCGGTTGTTCGTTTCATTCCGTTGCAAGTGTTTAAGAACGTTTTTGGGGCTGAATCGTCCTGTTTGAAGTGTGTCATACAGGTTATAGCAACCTGTTGTTGAGCCCCGTAGGTTTGTTTGACAGGGCGGATAAGAAAAGTCGCCTTCCTCTCCCCACGCGCTGCCTGCCACATCTCACCTCGCGTTCTGCTGCTTTTTGGGGGTGGGGTCTTCAGGCTACCACCCTCTTGAATGGTGGGCTGCTGGGGCATCGCATACAGAGCCTCTCAAACTTCTGAATGAGCTGTATGTATCGCTGTTCAAGGTGTGGGTTCTCGTCTTAAGCTTCCCAGTACAGTGCACGGTCCGTTGTGGCTCGATGGCCCTACCCTGGGGTTTCCCTTGGGGGTCTGGGGCTCAAAGCTGTAATACCTTCTACTACACGTGGTATACATCGTTACCACATATAATACCGCACAATAAATACAGCGTTGAGTGCGGCTCCATCGCAGCTCCGTCCCTCCGGATCCGCAGCCTCTGCTGTCAATCAGACAAACCCCTCCTCAAACCGCCTCCCAACGCTTTGTGTTCGCGGGTGTGGATGCAATGCAAGAACTGAAAACACCGATGAAATCTATGGAAAGCGGCAGGTGCTAACGCCACTCTGTCCCCATCTCGTCGCAACGCAGGCGAGCCCGTTTCGGCAGTCTTCCATGTCGTCCACTGGCATGCTCGGGCAGAGAGAGGCTCGCAGAGCCCTGGAGGGACACCTTTTTAAAAGGTAAGCGTTTGAAAGTCACCCAGGCAGGTCTGTGCGGGCCAAACTGCGATACTGCCCCACGTCCTTACGGCGGAGGGTTGTATCAAGGGCTAAGCGTCCCGCGGACTTGAGAGGCGAACCGTGGCCTCGGAATATCAGCTCCCCGGTACGGCAAAACATAATGTGACCACGCCCACCCTCCAGTAATTCAGGGCGCGTTCCAGCACTCCTAGATCAGCGCCCACAGGGGCGTCCCGACTTGCACATCAAACGCTCGGCAGCACTCCACCCGGCAGTATCTTACCGTGTTACCCCGTCTTTCCCCTCCCCTCTTGTCCCCCTTTTCCTTTGGACAAGAAGATAGCTCTCTTTCCAGCCCATAGCCCTATCCCCCATTCCAACATCACCACCACCGCTGCTGGTAAGCACGACAAGGAGGAAGCAACTAAACTAAAAACCATATATTCAACAATCCCCAGCTTTGCAAAGCTCTCGATCCTCCTGCTGCGGCAAAGGCAGCACCTGAAGCATGCATGATGGGAGTGGCGGCTCATTATCCCAGCCGGCCCGGCAAGAAGCCCTCATTACCCCGCCAAGCGCCACCCAGATACCACCTGACAACCTACCTGCCTAACTTGCGGCCTACCGACGAAAAGGAGCTGCTACTATAACCCTTTCACAGTTCTTTTCACTCCAAACCTGAACGCGTCAGGTCCCATTCCGTCGTCTCAGCCGGTTTTGGCTCCGATGGCCCTCCCTAAGCCCTAAAACCCCCATGGGCCTGCTAAGTGCATTTCCCGTGCGTGTGTGCATGTGTGCAGACATGAAGCTTATGACAGTGGCCATGAGCTCTCAATCTCGTAGCCCGATGCGGCGGCGGTAAGCCTTAGGTCGCAGCGCCTCCGCATGCTCCCGGCACGCGTCCGCGCCAAACAGCCCCCGTTCCGTCAGGATCTTGACCCGACGGGCCTTGGCTTGTTCTAAGAAGTATTGCCGTGGCACTTGCGGTTTCGGAGCCAGTGTGTCGTACCCCTCCATGCCCTTGGCCATCACGTGCTCCCGGAGGTGCTGCATCGCGTAGGGAGTCACACGGACTGGCTGCGGAGGCGGCGGCAGCTGTGTCAGCGTCCCCGCGGCTGATGTTTCAGTGGCGGCAGGGTCAGTGCCGTTGGCACTGCTAGCACCCCGTAGCGCAGCCGCTTGAAGGGGGCTGTGGTGCAACACCCAGGGTGTTCGCGGCAGCTGCTCGTAGTACTCCTTCATCTCACGCAGGTAACGCATTCGGTCCGTTTCAATGATGACCAAGTGAGGGACCTGCATGGGGATGACCCGTTGTTGTAAGCGAAGGGGCGGTTCGGTTGCGGGGTTAGGTATTCTCTTAGTAAGGGTTACGACATCAACGGCAGCTGATTGCAGGTTTGCGTGATGGGTGCGGAGAGAAGGGCACCAGGGAGCGGGTTGACAGCCCCATTTTCAGGATTAGCTTAAATACTTGCACGATTCCAACGGAGGCGCCCTGGTCCTAGCCTGCAATGTATCCCGTGTCGACGAAAACACAACTTTCCGCACCTTCGACAGCATGCCCCTAATCGACGGGTTGTTTGGCTTTTCAACGCATTGATGCCTACGTTTCAAGCCTAAAGCGTCTAAAATGCGGCGGTGGAACCAAGGTGTGCCGGCAAATCCTCGCCGAAGGGTGACAAACAAGGATTTCACAACTTGTGTAGCTCCCTCTGACATGATAGGTAGTTTTCAGGCGGATTTTGTAAGCTAGGGCACCCTCACCGAGCCCAAGATGGCATATTAAACTGGCTACCGGTGCGCATGTTACAGCTAAAGTAATATCAAATCGCACCGTGTTATGGAACTTAGGTCTAGCGGAAATCATGCAGCTTGGCATGTCAGCAATGAATTACGGTCCGTACAGAGCTTGCTGCCAGACCAGAGGAAATCAGAAATAACATTTCCTAATCCGGTGCAACTGAATCATTCAAAAAAGCAACTTCTCAACTATTCACAATTATTTCTATGCTAGGTTGCACCACGAACGACTTTACGTTGCCTGCGCCCCTGCAATGATGTTCCACCGTTATAAAGTTCTTATATAAGATCGTATCAAAGGCTTTAAGAAATAATGACGGCACCACCGCAGCCCTGCCTTGGGTACAGCTACGAGCCCCCGCCAGGGCACAAGACGCATTTCTGTGTGTCATGTCAGTTTCCTATCGCAGTGTATGCGCGTCTGTACCCCTGCCTCCACACATATTGCCTGGCATGTGCGACGGATATGGCCACCTGTTTCCTGTGAGTTGGGCGGTGATACACGCCGCATCGCGGAGGCTCCTCCTAGGTGGCAATGCGATCCAGGAGTCCAATGCTGGCTTGACGTGCCATGGGAGCTCCCCTGTGTTACAAGGCCTGCTCCACAGTTCCACACTCGTTAAGAACGCTGCCTGCCCTCCCCTTCTTCCCTCGCGTTAGCGCTTGGATCACGCCTCGGGTCCCCTGCCTTCTCCTTACTTCCTCGCGTCCTCTGCAGCTGCCAGGCTAACATAGCAAGGCTGGAACGGATACCCAAGTCACGTGAGCACAAGGTCTTCATCTCACCGCTGACGCTCCAAAGCTTCAAAAGTAGGTTCTGCGTATACCCGTGAATCCGCCAGGATCTTACGGTATGCGCACCACAGCGCTCCGCCTATACCGGCCATGTAGCGTGCCCCGAGCAGGGGCAAGGGATCTCAACGAAGGGACAGCTAACCTAAAGGGAACCGGGACGGTGTTTTGATATCCCTCCTGGCGCCCTTCGGACCTGCCCTTGGAGCGGCCGCTGAGGCAGTCGCGAAGGAGGGCTGCACCTCATTGCCTCCACGGTTGGAGCGGGTGTTGGAGAGTGATCAACACTCATATCCCACAGAAGTGTGAGGGGAAGTAACCCGGCTCGAAGGGGCGGCAGGGCGCTTTTTCTCGCCAACAACGGGGCTCTACCAGAACTTCGACATGCGGAGGGACGCGACTGCTAAGTCACACAGGGAACCTGATCTGTGCTACCCTGTCTTCGCTAGCCTTGTACCGCCCTCAATGGCGCCTCGTTCTGCTGTGTCCCCACCTCACCTCACCCGCTATACCAGGCGAGGAGGACCTCGCGACGCACACCCGCCGTGCACACCAGCAATTGCTCAGCTCAGCAGCCATCCGCAATGCGGGTCGTCCCAAACAGGCCGCCACAGCTCAACAAACTCAACAAATGCCATCACAGCAGCAGCAGCAGCAGCAGCAGGCTCCCATTCAACTGTCGCAACAGCAGCACAAGCAGCACCACCAACAGCAGCAACAGCAGCAGCAATTACCGCAGCCTCAACAACAGCAACAACAACTACAGCAGCAGCCACCCCAACAGCAGCAGCCACAGCACGGGCCAATGCCTGCGCCCCCGGCACCGCCTCCCCTAAGGATGGATCATGCAATTCAAGCTGCACAGCAAGCAGCAGCACAACAGCACCAACAACAGCAGCAGTACCCGCCGCCGCCGCGGATGATACCGCCCCCGCAGCCTCCACAGCTCCCGCCGCCGCCGCCCATGCAGACACCTGTGGGACAGCCGGGCATGCCTTCGCAGCAGCAGCAACAACAACAACAACAACAGCAGCAGCAGCAACTGGCCATGCAAATGCAGGGCATGGCTGCCGGTATGGCGCCACAGCAGGCAGCTGCGGCGGCAGCCATGTTCAACGCACTGACGGGAGCGGGCGGGCAGCACATGATGCCGCAGGCCGCGGCCGCAGCTGCGGCGGCCCTGGGGATGCAGGGCATTTTGGGAATGCAGGGAATGCCGGGTCCCATGGGGATGCAAGGAATGCAGGGAATGCAAGGCCCGATGGGGATGCAGGGCCCGATGGGCGGCATGCCGATGCCGTTCCCGTTCCAATAATTCGTGACAGTTTGTTGCCCGCTGTGTAAAATCAATCAGGTGTGTGTGTGTATCATCCTGGGGCCTCCAGGGGAGCAAAGATCTATCCTCCAGGTGGCGGAGGGGTTGCTCGGATCGGCGTGGCATTTTTTGGCAGTGCGCACGTGCATGAGTGGAGGCGGAAAATGAATTAACACGTTGAGGGTATTCAGCTTTTGGTTGGGGTCCTCTTTGGTGCTGTAGGAGCCTGCAAGAGCCCTCGTGGGACGTGTCAGGGGTTATTAACTAGCCTAGGGGCATGTTGCGTGCCGGCTTACAGTGCTGGCTCCCGTCCTGCTGTTGCTGCTGCTGCGGTGGTGTCATCCTTCTCGAGGCGCAACCGGTCATAACATGATGGAGTGTGGCAGGGCCTGAAGACTAGACCAGGTGGCGTGAGGGCTTGACACTGTCTTGGGCAGCCCGCAAGGCCAGCTGACCGCGCGGCGGTGCTTACAATTCACCTCCTTTAGGTCGCAGCGGCAGATAGGATGGTCGAGAAAGGACAGGGGATTGCCCGGCTTCGGCCAGGTATTCGCAGATAGGATGGTGATGACATGACACTGTCTGGGGAAGGTCTGGGCTTTCAGAGTGAGCACTCGGAAGGTATGTTGTAGGTCTGGTGGTGGTGGCTATGGCTATGCTGCAACGCACGGGACAGTTACGTTTGCCGGTTATGTGTGTATATGTGTGCTACATCTTAAGTTACCTCGGTCACCAGACGTGTAATCCGACTGAAAGCCTGCACAAGCTATGCGCCCAGGAGAACTTACCTGATCTCCATCCCTCCGCGTCTTCTAACTTACAAAAGCTGCTATTTCTTCCCTAACTATAACTCCGATCAACCCCCAGCGGCCAGCTACAGACGGAGAAAAATAGCCAACCTATGCATGGGGAAAACCATTCTTCCGGAAATTTCTATTGTCGACAAGCATAAACATGTTGCCATGGTTCAGCCAGGTTGTCCCGGCAAGAGTCAGGTCAGTGCTTCATGTCTGGTTGCTTTCCGCCTAAGCTAAAATCTTTTGGTGACAAAGTTGACCGCCCTTCTTTTAACAAGAACTCGGAGCTCGGAGGTCATTGGCCCGTTGTGCAGAGACTGGAACGGGTAATACAAGTGGCCCACTGCGCTTCACAATTTGACCTGGAGCAAAACCTTCTGCCGACAACCTATCAAGGCATATCCACTTTGGAGGTGTTCACATGTGGGCGACTCGGGCTGATTCGCTGTTTATTTGAGCAAATTGGACTCCAATCAGGGCGAATAGGATCCTTGGGGCCAGGAATCCTTGATTTGGCCTGATCCGCCTGATTTTTCCTAAACATGAAGTCATTCAACAAATCCATTTTCCATCCTTTAATATCTGATATGTACATTTCTTTGCAGCTAATTATACAGAAAGCGCCTAGAGTGAATTTCGGTAATAATCGAGGCCATATATATACAAGTAAGGCGGAACTAATCACAAAAACAAAACGTATAACCCATTGTTCTTAGACAAAGCTGGCTTGCCTTGTGTTGAGGATAGTCATGGCGCATCGGCTGTTCGGCAAGTCGTTTGAGAACGCAAATTGAGAAGTCGTCTGCATTGGAATTCTAATGTCGTCAAAATTCAGAAATTCTGAACACTCCTCAGGTTTTATTAGGTACTGCAACCTGTAGTAAATTCCAGGGTCCCGGGTCACGTGAACTCATTTCCTAGCATTCAAGCACCGTATACTTAAAACATTCACAAGCCTTGCAGTAATTAGGAACCTAGAACGCTGCACAACGTACACCTCATAAGTTTTCGTAGAAAGGCATATATTTCCTAGGACTTTGACCAACTGCTTGGACCCTGGAACAAAATTCTGGAAAGGGAAAATGTACTTTACGTACTTACAGAGAAAAGTACATTTCGCGGTACGTAACTTACATGTACTGATGAATATAACTTGGTTACGGTTACCTGTCCGCTGATAGGTACCTACAAGATTTGTTTATCATTTACGCTCTTTCATTGATAAAACGTTCTACTACATGCACACCGTCATAGCTTGGATTTCTGAGGCATTTCTGCTTCTGCAGTAGTAAAATATTGCCATGTCTAGGGTCAGTACGTGTGGAAGTAAGGACCGCCAGCAGGACATAAATGGATTTATATAAGACTGACATCTCATACAGATCACACAACCACTATTCAGTGGGACATGAGTCTCTGTTTGCAATCCGTAAGTTGTACTTTAAAGACGGCCACGTGTAGAGTCACAGTTATCTTCACCTACCAAAATAATTGCTTCGTCTTCTTAACATTTTATGTTACACACCACTGGATAAGCTATATAGGCAATGCGACGTTTGGCTGGATAATCGTAACTCCACGCCAGAATTCAGAGAAGCTTGCTGCTGCTGCTGCTGCTGCTGCTGTGAGAAAATAACTCGCAAATGCAGCTTAGTGACTGCTAGAGAGATGGAAGTAGATGTTAATTCTTCACGTCATGGTCCATCTACGCACTGTGTGCGCCGCAGCCTTGACGCAAAAGGCAGTTACTATCCATTAACCTGCCCAGCGCAGGACCCTGCAGGGCCGCGCGATGTGCACACCGCTACCAGTTACACCAATACAAAAGAAACTGGTATTACCAGCTTGTTATCCCAGCCCATTTCATCAAGGCCGAGCGAGTTGCTACCGCAAGCAACTTCAACATTCGGGGGAGAGCCCAGGCGTGCTTGGACACCGGTGCCCATACACCGCCTTCAAGAACGGCCACATCGCCGCATTTCTTCAATGACCGCCGGCTCCGGCGTGTCAGCCGTCCACCGCTCTTCCCTCCTGGCTCCGCCGCTTTCTGACCTTCCCACCTCAACAAGCCTACCCCCACAACAAGTACCAGCAATGCCGCGACCCATACCCCCGCCTTTATGCGTTCACGCATATGCGACTCAAATCCTCACTTCCCAGGGAGCAGTCATGGTCCCGAACGACCCATGCGGCGGCGCCATGCATGCAACCTCCCACCGCACCCCCTGGCTCAGTGCCTCAGTGACCGCCTTCGACAACGGCGCTTTCCGTCCCTACCACAACCTACACGAATTGGCAGGCTTCGACGTGCCAACTATCCCCTACGCAACACGCGGGCCAGGCCACACCTCCCCCCAGCCTCAACCCCACGCGCTGTCCCATGTCAGACCCCCTCTTAAACGCAGTCATTCGGCGTCCATCCGGCTGTGGTCCTTCTCCTTGAAGGAGCTCAAGGGCATCGGCGGGGCCACTAGGGCTGCGGCTAGGACTGGGCCCGGTGTCAGTGAAAAGGGTAATCCTGATGAGGAGCTGCTCAGGCCCAGCCCCGGCGGTGATGGAGCTAATCTGCTCGGCACCAGCGGGCACTTTTTCCGTACTGTTTCGATCAGCAGTCAAGCCCGCAGGGCCAAATCGATGATCCACTTGCCCCGCCTCTTCGTCTCAGCGCCCCAAGGCGTGGATAGCAAGGGGCGCGTATCGGTTGCTGCTGCTGGCCGTGGGGAGGAGGAAGTGGTGCAAGGCGGGTGCAGTGGGAGAACGTCAGAAGCTGCGCTTGCAGTGCCAGCGGCAGTGGCCTCTGAGGATGTCCCAGCCGTCGCCGCTGCCGGCGGCGCGGTAGCCTTGCATAAACCGCGTGAGTTTCTCATCCGGTCTTGGAAGTCGCTGCGCTCCGTGGCCGTGGTGAACCAGGGGTCAGTGGCGGACGTGGCGTGCAGCAGCTGCAATGAAGATAAAACCATGGCTGCTGTATCAGCATCCACACCATGCTACGGCAGTATCGGGATGAGCCACCTGCCACCCGCACCTGCAAGCTACACCCGGACAGCAAGTGGGGGCTGCAGCCCTGTCAGCGCCTCCGCGGTGGGCGCTGAAGGTGCAGCTGCCGCCACCACCGCCGCCAGCCGCGGAGCTGCCGATGGCGGAGGTGGCGGAGGTGGCGGAGGTGGCAGCCCGGAGCCCCTCCGCGGCAGCTGCGGCAGCTACGCAACCGTGAGGTCGGGAGCGCTACAAAAACAGTTAGGGGCCGCGTTCAACCGGAAGCAGGATGAGGGTGCATGCGCAGCAGCTTCGCGCCGACATATAAGTGCCGTACATTGGCATCGGTTTCGGCCGTTCTCCAAGCTGAGCGACGTCCCGACGCGGACTTTCCATTTAGCAACGGCATTCATCTTCGTGGCGTGCATGTCCGTGTTTACGTCCTCGGTAAGCGCGTTGCAGGGAGACTGGTATGGAGGTGGGGTCTCTTACGGTGACGATGGTTACCTTTTGCGGGTGACGAGCGACTCACCATTCCTGCCCCCCTTGCCATTACGGACCTTACTTAAGATGGCCCGGTTTTCAAATCTTCCATTCCCAGCCTCCTGGGCCCTATGGCCCTGCTGCCAACCTGCCTTCACCTCCTGCCTGCAGGCCCTGCTGCCGGCCGCCCAACCCGATTTGGGATTGTCCCCAGCTGTGGTCGGCGGCGCGGCAGCGGCGGCTCTGGTGCTGCCAGCCCTGGTTCATTTTCCCATGACCGCGTGGTGGTTGGGACGACTGGGCCCCCGATACACCCAGGTGGGCCCCGGCTGTCCTGCATGCGTGTGTGTATGGACGCGTGTGCACGTGCGCACAACTGCACACTGCCTGGTTCGGCCGCTCCGTTCTTCTCGTCTTCGTTCCCCATCCCGTCTTCCTTCAGTCTTTGCGTTATTCTGGCACACCTTAATCCACACGTGCATAGGTCCCCCTGCTCCGGGGTTCTTGAATATATAGTTATGTTTTTATCTAGCTATATATATTGCATCTTCGAGCGTATACTGGTCTGCCTAAATCATTGTAGGTAGATGTACAGTATTTTTAGCTGGTGCATAAGTGGTTTACCTATCCCCGCGACCTTACTTCAGCTGTCATGTTTTCGTTTCTCAGTTCCATGCACACAGACATACATACAAAAACCCCGAGATGCGCTCGTGATGAGCAAACCCAGCAGGACTCCCCCCGTGCTTACACTCGCTAAACAGGTGCTCCTCTTGCTGCTGACCGCTCCCGCGCTGGCTTGCATGGCCCTTGTGGATTCTGCCTCCGCATTCATCCTGATACGCATCATCTCGGGGATTTTGCTCCTGGCCTTAACATGCACGCAGTGAGTGTGCGGTACCTGTGCCTAGAGCTGTGCTCCACTCTGCCGGTTGTGAGTACTGCTGGCTAAACTTACGGCACTGGGTTGGGGACCTTGACGGCGGAGCTTTGGGTTCTGCATTCTGATTCCTGGCGGGCGGTTGCGGGGCCGTTGGTTTGTTTTGATTTTGTTTGGGTCGGGTCGGGTTGGGTCGGGTTGGCAGTTGGCGGCCTCCCCCAGGCTTTCCAATCGTTCGCCAGATCACACTGCGCCGCCCCTCGCTCATCTCACCTGACCCGCCGCCGGCTGCAGGTTCTGGTTGGCTGCCACCATCCGGCCCCACGAGCTGCCCAGCGCCCTGGCCCTGTGCACCTGCTGGGGCAGTGCGGGGGCGGGGGCGGCCCTCCTTGTGTTACCCCTGCTGGCGTCTGGGCTGCAGCGCTGCTGCTACCCCACTGCCCCGTCCGCCGCCTGGCGCTCGGCCTTCTACGTCCCTGCCGCCGCGCTCGTGCTACTGGCGTTTGCGACTTTTGCCTTCGGTCAGGACACCCGCTTTGGAGACCTCCTTGATCGGCGAAAGCTGCCGCTGCCGCTGCCGGTGGACAAAGCAAGGCCGTCGCTGCCGTCGCTACCGCCGCCATTGCTGCTGCAGAGCAGCGGTGCAGGCGGCGGCGGCGGCAGCATGCGCACTGGGGACCATGAGCACGTGCAGATGGAGGGCGCCGCGCCGCAGTCGCCGCCGCTGCCGCTGCAGCGACTGCGCAGCGTAGGCACGCAGATGAGCGGCGGTCTGCGGCGGTCTGTCAGACCTTGGTCGACAGCGGAAGCGACTCCGCTATCAGCTGCAGCACGCACTGAAGCACAAGTGGACGCGGGGCCCGGGTCACCGTTGACAATGGGATCGGGACCGGGACTTCACGGCAGTCCACAGGAGCGGGAGCGGGAGCAGGCCCAGGCGGTGCATGGGACTCAACAGGCGGTTACGGCACCGCCAGGAGGCAACAAAGTAGCGATACGATTGGGACCACCGGTGGCCGCAGCTAGTGACGGCTCTTTCTCAGCAGCCGACTGCCGCAGCCGTCAGTCCATGTCCTCTGCGCCCTACTCCGCTCCGCCCTCGGACATGGACACCGCCACGGACGGCCAAGGAGCTGGGGAACAGTGCTCGGGGAAGGAGACGGCCGCTGCACCGCTATCGAGCCGCCGCGGCGGGAGTGCACCTCAGCTACCCATAGCTGCATCCTCCTCGTCCGCGCCGCAGGCATCTGTTGCACCACCACCGCCACCATCCGCGCCACAACTGTTACCGCCGGCGCCGCTAACCCCACTCGTCTCCCAAGCGCCAACGCGGGCACTGCTGAGTGGCCGGTTGTCACCGCTTGGCAATGCACGCAATATACACCATCATGAGCAGCACCACCACCGGCAGCAGCAGCACCAGCAGCGGCACTCTCACCCTCAGCCCTATCCCAACCAGTACAGTCACAACCTCCACAGCCGCGCTGTTGCCGGCCGAGAAAGCATCAGCTCCTCCAGGCGGCAACAACTGGAGGACCACAGCCGCAGCAGCCCACAACCCAAGGCTGCATCCCCCGTCAACGCGTATGCACCATCCTCAGCATCCGCATCGGCAGCAACGAATAGTGCTGCTCGGCTTGGGCTGGTGGCCTCCGGCGCTTCCTCTCCTTTACAGCATCCGCATCAACCTGGGCCCTGCATGGTTTCAGAGCTGGCCACCCTCCGAGAGGTGGATCCAGATTCCGACCCCGACCCCGACCCCGACCCCGACCCGGCGGTCGGGAAGCAGCAACGGCAGCAGCGACAGCAGCAGCACGCGTACGCGGCGGGAGGCATGGTGATGGAGGAAGCCGAGCATGCGCCTGTGCCGGGGTTTCAGGCAATGCTGGCCGGTTGCAGCGACCGTAGACCGAGCCGAGTTGGAGTTGAGAAGAAGGGGCTTCCTCCGGCTGGGGAGAGAAGCAGCGCCGCCTTTGGTACTTCCGCCGCCCTCTGGAACCCACCTACATCCGAATCGGCGCTGAATGAGGGGCAGGAGTCTCCGGTCGCAGACGACCTCTCGTACAGCCACTACCATCACTCCTTAACTTCCCCCTACGTACAGACGTACGACGCCAAGGCTAGCTTGTTGAATCCGTACGTGCTGGTGCTGGCGGTAGGCTATGGGTAAGCGGCTTTTACGAGATCAGTTTTGTGGTGTTGTGCGTGCTGGCTCTGTTGCCTTGTGTGGGGTTGGGAGATCGTCTCGCCCTCATGCCCAGTCCCCAGTGGTTTCACCGTTCTAATCCAAAACCTTGGATCTAGGATTCAAACATCCACCCTGCCCCTGGAGCCCCTTTCCACCACACCCACACCCGCACCCGCACCCGCAGCCGCTCGCGTCCACTCTGCAGCTGCCTAAACCCCGCTAGGTTTCCAGGTCGCCAGACCAGGACCTGGACCTGCTTGCAGCCACTCACTCGTCCGCTTTCCCTTCACCCGCAACTCAATACCACACCCATCCGCCCACGTCACCCAACCACCCCGGCAGCTGCTGCTTCGGTACTCAGCTAGTAGCCCTCAACAGCCTACCAATCTACCTAGCTCAGCGCTTCGCACTCAGTCCCGTGCGCGCGGGCGGGCTAGCCAGCCTGGTGGGGCTTATGCAGCTGGTCATGAGGCCCGCCGGAAACGGGCTGGTGGGGCCCGTCACGGGGCTGAGGACGAGGCGGGGGCCCGAGGCCGAGGAGGAGAAGGAGGATGGGGACGCAGCGCCGTCGTCAGGCGGGGGAAAGCACTGCTCCTGGTGCTGCTGCTGTTGCTGCGGCGGCGGCGGCAGCACAGGCGGCCAGGGCACGGGTTCAAGACTGGGACTGGGGTTGCGCGGTCGTCTGTGGGTGCTGTGGGGTAGTCAGGGGGCCGCGGGGATGTTCTGCTTGCTGCTGGGCGCTGTAGGACCTGGCAGCCTGGCGGTCACCGCGACCTGTGTGGTGCTGTTCGCTGCGTCCAGCCAGCTGGTGAGGCGGAAGGGTCGGGAAAGTGGGAATAAGTGAAGAGAGAGAGGGACCGCGGCTGGGCAGGTTGTGTCTCGACGATGTCGCCATTGCCTAGCTACTTAAGGGGGTTAGCCATGAACCGTTTGCAGTATGAACGGAGGGCTGTAGCCGCCAGCGGTGTCGTCTCCACCAGCCGCACCAGGGCCCCACCTCCCCCAATATGCACACACACGCACACGTATACACACACGTACACACACATGTGCCCGGGTGTGTGGCGGTGTCTTAAGGGTACCGGTATCTTAAGATATTTATCGCCAAGGCTGTCCCAAGTAGCAAGGGAGGCTCCCCCCAGTGAGAGGCCACTTGCAGCGCCTCCGGAAATGGGCCGTCCACGTTGAGCCCTAAATCGGCCCCTTTTATGGACCCCATGCTGTTGCCGATTTTACCGTCGACTGGCATCTGTGAAACTGTATATCTGTACGTCTGTACATCTGTATGTTCATCCTCACAGTCGCATCAACGTGACTGACGAGGAAACGGACCAACAAAACGAACGATGTTGGCTGTAGGTAGCCTCGGTATCCGGCCCCATTCCCGTCCCCCTTCCCGTCCCCTTCCCATGCCCGCCTCCATCGCCAACTGGTTCCCAGGCTGGAAGCATGCTGATAGCGCTGTGTGCGCTGCTGCCGCCGCTGCCGGCCCCGCGGCTCCGGCCGTCCTACACGGCCGTAGTAGGCATTGTGAGTGGCGGCGGCCTCATGGGGGCGGTGGTCCTGCAGACCGCGTTCTTCTCCTACCGCGGGTGCGTACGAGGAAAGCGGCTGGGCCCTGGGATAAGACCGGGGCCGATCTGGGCCGGACTGTGCAAGGCAATGGCGGGAAAGGGGAATGAGAAGCCGCGGCACGGCGCTGCGAGGCAGAGGCCGTCGTGTACATCCCGGCTGGGCCATCCGTGTGCAGGACTGTGTGCGACTGGATGAAGCGCCTGTTGTACGAAGGAATGAATGTGCGCCGTACTTGTACATGCACTTTACTTTTACATACACTACGTTAATCATGTCAAGGCAGATGACGTCTCCTTCCCGTTTCCACGTCGCGCCGGTGCACATGTTGATTTGTTATTTGGCTGTGCTGATGTTTGCAGGCTGACCTCCCCGAGCAGCTGGATCTGGATGGGTGCGACGACAATGACCGCGTCCCTCCTTACGGCAATGCTTGCAGCGGGGTGTTGCCGCGGCGGCGGCGCTGGCGGCGGCTACCTGGAGAGCTGCTGTGTTTCGACGCCGCGGCGAGATGCCACAACGTGACCCGCCAAAATAATCCGCAGTTGGCTGAGTTGAAGGTCTGGAGGCTTACGACTACCTGACGGCCTTCACATGTGCTGGTTTGTCCGTCAGGAGCACTAACATGGGTTATGTTGGAAATGTGCGGAGGGGCACTCCTCTTCCCCCACGGCACCTAACAATACGGGGGCTATGGTTGCTGCTTTTGCTGTTACTGCTCGTGTTGATGCGGCCGGGAAAACATTACCCGGAGCTAGACACCGCTGCGTGAACAGCTGCCAGCTGTGAGTGACTGCCTCCCCACACATCCCCCAACTCGTTGACTCTACCCGCTACGGCAGGTCAGTATGTGCACGGGGACTGCAAGATGGTAAGCTCCGAAGCCTATATGCGCGAGTAGGTGTGGATATGTCTGCTTTTGTACTATGTATAGCCTCTGTCGCAATGCTTAGTTCGTGTTCCATCATGTCCAGTCATACGAGGATAAGCTCTATTATGAGCTCCTTCCTGGTGTAGTTGCCGCAATGCTCAGACGGACGAAAGTACTGAAAGCCGAGTGCCATTGCTATGTCGTCGGCAACCTGCTGGTTACTGGACTGTACTTGCAAGCTGAGGGAGATGATGGCGATACCAGGGAGGGGAGAAGAGGAGGACAAGCCTGCTGGTCTTTTTAACAAAGAAGTATAACCCATGTTATGAGGATAAACGCATGCAAAGCAAAAGTCTTTTTGATTTTGGTAATAAATATAACCTGCACCTTGCACGAGGCTGATGTTGTCCTCAGGGGGAGGCATGTCAGGATGTGTATGTGCCACCTAAGAGTCATGGCCGGCAGCCGGCAGGTGCGGCAGTCTGAGGAAAGGACACACGCATGGTTTGGAGATCCCGGGGGGTTCGGGCTTGGCTTAGGAATACGAAGTGGAAAGGAATGATGCCTTTGATTTCAATAAAATATGGTGAGAATTGTTTGGAAAAGCGCTATGCACTCCCATAATGATGATGAACAAAAGAATAGCATATTAATGGATGGAAGGGATGCAGAATTGCAACGTGAGGAGAGGCTTGGTAATATGATGCATCAAGCTGGATAGTGGATACCTCTGTTGCGGCTGATGGCAAGGCCAGGATCCTATGCACCGCGCAACTGTCGCTTGCCCAGACTACAGCCGTTGGAGGTCTTCTGTGTCGGCATTCGGTCTACCTAAGCCCAGTGGGGAGAGAAAAGGGGAAGAGGGAGCTCTTCTGCCCCGCCTGGCTGGAGCCATAGTTCCATGTCTTTACTGGCTGAGCTTTATTGCCTTCATGCTTCGCCCCAATTGCAAATTTGCAGAATAAAATATCCTTGCCAATAATGCAAGCATTTCCGCATATGTACGTGCTTCCATTTCGGGACGTGTTAGTTTTTTGACTTGTGTGTCTGTTACATATTGATCCGGGCCTGACGTTGGCCAGGGGCACCTAACCGTACCCCAACGGGAACGACTGCCAACGAAGCACTCCACCAATGGGCGGGCGTTATATTGGTCAGAGTCCTAACCGTCTTCCCGGTGTGTTACACCTCGGTTGCGCTACCCTTAGTAGTTTGATAGTTTCATTGCATTTAACATGCTTTCTGCCGCCCTGCCGACTGCTGGCGACGCCGGAAAGCACCAAGGGGAAGAGGAAGGGCGTGCCGCGGTGTCCCAGTGTGAGGCTGAGGGAGCATTATGGGGCGTTATGGGGATCGCACGGAGTTCACGGAGGATCCCGTGTACGACACCCCATATAAAATATACCATGGAAGTAACCCATTTTGGATAGATGGATGAATAGAGCCACAAGCTAGGGTTGCGCGTGGAGGATCCAAGTCTTCAACCTAAGCTGATACAAGCTGATCAGACACAATAAACTGGTTGCGTACGTTATGGCCTGCGATGAGCGCCTGGTGACTAACGTGCATTGTGCGCACTGTGTGCAGCGGCCCGATGCTTAAGAGCTTTGCTACTTGACAAGAGGCTTGGGGACAGCAATATGCACGTTGGACTATGAAGGACTAAGTGCTTCTTGGAACCTGGGAGGCGTCTGTGGAAAGCAGGAGGAGAGAGTGGTTGCACTTCGACCTCATGATGAGCGTGATCATTGCGGGAAGGAGTAGTGAACGTGTTTCCTGCAGTTCCCTGCGGATGTATTAACTTGCCGTGCCGTACACAGGGCGTTAGCTCGACATGATGGATCTCATACCCTATAGCCCTCTGTAACAAATAAGCTTTTCCTTGTATCTGTGCTGCCTTTCCTTTGCACTCTTAAGTGACAAGTGTGGATCTCCCTAGATGCTGTGCTGATAACCGTTTCCATGGCGCCGTACGGTACGGCATAAATGCAATGGGAAACCTGTATCCATCTTCTTTGTACGCCGGATCACGCAGGCCAAGACCTCGCCTGCACGCCTTATGTGTTACTGGAACACGAAGAAACGGATTCAGCCGGGGTGTCTAAGGGTTTGCGGCCCTTTCCTGGATTTTCCACAGCTGTCACGCAATGGCGTGTGATGGACCGCTGGTCGCTGGCTGCTTGCTGACTACCGAATGTCCGTTGTGGTGGCTTGAAAGGGGCCCACCGAAACATTCCATGGCGCAGATGCGTCCCTATACTGAAGGTTTTCGGAGAGTAACGATAGAAAACCGAGGTTGTCTGTGGACGCAGAAGAGTTGGCTTTTAGGCGTTGTAGTATTGCCCTTGGGCCTTCGGCTCGTATGGGTAGTCTTACAGGTATGGGGTCACGCACCCCCAACCATGTAACACACACACAGAAGAGTTGGTTGTGCGTGTTGGTACGGCATGTAATGCCAGTTAAGGAGGTCGCTCTGGTGTGCTAGAGTTTTTGGGGGGGGTTGTAGCTGCATTAGGTCGCTTGTGTGAGGCGTTAGGTGTCCAGGAATAGTGGATTGCATCGCGGTAGCTGGAGCCTCCACCCGGCCTATCTACCGAAGGAAGATTTTTTTCACAATTGCTTGCAGGTACACTTCGTAACGTTTGATAATTTTTATGAAAACCTAGGTTACCGGGCCAATCGGTGTCCCAACCGTAGGTATCATATCACGACCGAATTTGGGGTGTTCACGGATCTAGGGGTGCCAACGATTGCGGAACGCGGTCGCGAGCGTCAATCTGAAGGCGCAGACCGTATAGAGCCGTATAGAGGTGGGCATATTGACTTCGGAACTTTTTCCCCTGTGGTGGGGTAGTCGGAAGGAGCTAGGCGGAAAATTCCGCCTAGTCACAACCAACCTGCCCGCCTCGCCCTAGGATAACCCCAGTTTCATGCAGTCTCATGCCCGCCAACAATAACAATTACAGTTAACCCGTGGTGGCGGTAATCGTGGTGGTCGTGTAGCGTGGTGGGTGTTCGGATGGTTCTTGGTTCCCATAGTAACCGAAACTTCCCACCATGTCCTCCGCAGATATGTGTTCCTCATCAATCTCCCCTTACAATCAAGGGTTGTTCCCTGGAATTGTAGCCATGCTTCGAATTCTGTCCGCCTGCCATGCATCGCATTACGCTTAACTCAACGCCCCTGCATCCCTCGTATGTACACAATGCCTCAGCCGCAAACAAGCCATGCTGAACGCGGACTCAAAAAACTGGCGCATAAGGCATTTGCAGTTATAAAACGTATACATCCAATTAACTGCACCACGCAATGCTGCCTTAGCTATTTTCTCCCACGCACTGCAACGCCGGGGGTCAGCGCCGCCCCAATAGCGCTGTGCTGGTGGCCCGATGGGAGTTGCTTTCACTGGCCCCAGCTCCAGTCCCCGAGCCCCGGGGTGGCAACAACCCAGCGGACCAATGCTCGATGGCGTTTCTGAGGGCGTTGTTGTCGTACAACTGCTTGCTGGGCAGACGCTGCTTCGTCACCGGGGACGTGTTGACGTGATGAAGGTGTCGTTCGATGGCCTCGCGCTCGTACGTAACTCCGTCCGCCGCTACCACTGGATTTCGGAATACCTAGATCGAATTTCAAGGCACGGAAAAGAAAAGGACAAACCACGTAACCTGAAGTGGAAAGTGCACGATCCATATAAGGTCCATGTAAGATTGTACGAAACAGAGTGGGCGGTTAATGGCGCTCTCGTGTACGCCAGTGGCTTCTCTGTAAACGTGCAGAGCGTCGCAGGCCCGCCACTAACCGCTGCCCCAACCTTGCAAGATAGAGCACGCTGTACGCTGTCGTCATGGCGCGCTGGCCTGCCGTGGTCGCCAGGCACACCCCCCAAAGCCAGACCTCCTGATGACAGCCAAATGCCCCGCCGGCCCCGCGATTCTTCTCTTTACCTTGCAGGTCAACGGACACAGGAAGCAGTCCGGAACAACCTCCGTCGTGGTGGTGACCGGCAACCTCGAGGGGGCGTTCGCTGCCCGACCAATCGGAAGGGTGCTACCGCTGCCGGAATCGGAGATCCCAGCCGCGGACCTGCCCCTCCCGTCTCCGGCACCGGGCTTGTCGTCCTCAAGCTGCGGCTGCAAAAGCGACACTGTCTGCTGCAACTTGAAAAAAGAATCCGGGTTCGCCGCAATGTCGCGAACGAGCTCCACGCCCTCCCATAAGAGAAGCGGTCCCGCTGCGGCCGCGTCCGAATCCGCGTCGTCGTCGTCGTCACCATCAGGGTCTGCGCCGTAAGCTTTGCCGCTGTACCTAAGCAGGTCGGATGACCCGCGAGCAGCTGCCTCCCCGTCACCTCCATCACCCTCCGCGCCGCTGCCGCGGTCGCCATCACCATCGTCACCTTCCGAGGGCGTCTCGTCGCCACCGAAGTCCGTGGCCGGGTCTAACAGCTCAATGAGCATAGAGCCGCGCTCTTGCTTGCGCTTGCATGCAATGGTGTATGGCGTCATCCCGTACGCATCAACCTACGAAAGTACGACATGTGGTTCAGGGTATGTGGGATGAGGTCACCTGACTCCCTCCATGCTAACCGCGCAGGCAAGCCCTCCTAGCAGCACCCCCCCTTGGGTCGCCAAGTGTAGAGAGGGGCCCACGTGAAACTCGTGTACGTGCATGCGATTGAAACAAAGAACGCACGAGCATCTGTAAAGCAGCGGGTGCAAAAAGTGCAAGCCCCAGTCTTGAATCCTACGTCTTCACGGCGAACTTTATGACAGCTGTCGCAAACGCAGCGCGGATGTCCGGAGTGATCACAGCTCACACGGGCGCCACCACAAACACCGTTTCACCGGCCTGCAAGTCTTCCCTGTCCTGTCCCCAAGGATGGTTCTTAGTTAACGCACCATCACCCGGGGGTCCATGGCGGGCGCCCGCGGCTCGGGCGGCGGTGGAAGCTCCAATGCGGGTGCCGACCGAGTGACGTCCATGCTCTTGACGCTCTGGCTGCTGCTGTCGTCGCCGCCGCCATCGGCCCTTCCGCTTTCCGAAGCTGGCCCCGACTGCGGCGCGGACGTCCTATTCGCAGCCCGCTGGTCTTCCCCGGCGGCCGGTGCCGCGGGCACTCCGTCTGAAGCATCTTCTTGCTGCCGCTGCTCCCCGCAGGTTCCGGCGCCAGCTGAGAACTCCTTAGCACCGTCCTGCCCAGATGTGTTCTCACCCACTTTGTCCTGGTCCGTACCCCGCTCTTCGCTGTCCACCTTCCTATCCCCATGCGGCTGCTGCTGCTTCAGGCCATCCACCTTGTTATGCAGTTGCGCCTCTGCTGGCTCCATCTCGCCAGCAGCCTGTCCAGGAGCTGAGCTGGTAGTTTGTGCCTCCGGGCCCTGGTCCTGCTGATCCTTTTCACCTTGAGCCTCCGCCTCCTTTGCCGGCACTTGACCCTCGTGGCCCTCGGCCGCTGCGGACGGCAGCCCCGGCAGCGGCAGCGAGGCTGGGTCGTGAAGTTTGAGAGGCTGCAGCAACGCCCTCGCAAAAGCTGGCCGTGGAAGCGGCGACCCGGGCCGCGTGGCCATGCGATGCCAGGCCGCCAGCAGCAGCACTACCACGGGCTGATGACCGCGCATAGCTGCAAAGTGGAGCGGTGTAGTGCCGTTATTGCAGGGCAACTCCGCGTCGTAGCAGTCTGTCTCCGTACGGGCGCAAATATCCGCGCCCACGGCCCACAGCGCGTGTGCGGCGCGTGTGTTGCCTGACCAGGCGGCGCAGTGTAGTGCGGTCCTGCCGTACATGTCGCCCGTGTCCGCAAATCTGGGTGAGTGGGGCAGGGAGGACATGCGGGCGCGCACCGCGTACCGCAGGTCGCCGTGGTGCGGGGGCTTAGGGTTCGCTTTACACAAGGATTTGCGGGACACCATGGACCCCCCACACACGATGCTTATCACTGCACAGCTAGCAAAAGGCACTGTTAGCAGGTGCCGTCATCTGGAATGGAAAAAAGTGTTGAAGGAAAGGCCCCGGCGCAACCGCACGTCTACCCAGGGGTTTCCCCGGGTACGCACTCACTTTCGGATGACGTTGGCATGCACTTGGGGGGGCGCTGCAGCCGGGCCCTGCGCAATAAGCTGCTGCTGCATGTGCGCCAGCAGCAGCTCCACGCAGTCGTTGCCCTTGCCGTCCGCACGGCAATGGAGGGCCGCTGCACGGTTGAAGGGGAGGGAGGGTTACTCGAAGCTTTCAGAGGTGCGGCGGCGCCGAAAGGCCAACAGCGGGGTGAAGCAATAACTGCCCGCGGAACATACCATAGTGAAGCGCTGACCGTCCCGTTGCATCTGCAACTAGTAAAAGCGCGCCGCTTTCGAGGAGTAGTCGTACACATATGCTGTGTCCACCGCCACACGCCAGCATGAGGGGCGTCTGTCCTTTGGCATTCTGGGGAGGGGGAACAAAGGAAAGGCGGCAGAGAGCTTGGGGCGGGCCCCACGCCACGCACGCTGCTGGGTGTGCGTGCTGAGCTTTCCAAAGCAGTTAGCCACGGCAATGAATCCACCCCTGACCTGCTTGTTGATAACCTTTGAAACAGGATCGAAGTTGTTGGATAAGGAGTTCGCACGGGTGGTATCGATTAATACCCTAACGACCACGTCGTGGCCCGCAGCCGCTGCGACGTGCCAGGGTGTTGATTTTTCACTGGCATCCGTTGCGTACACCAATGCAGGATTCTTCTTAAGGAAGAGCCGCACAATATCAAGCGATCCGGTTCGGGTCGCTTCACACAAAAAGAAGGCGTCGGATGGTGTGAAGGCCCCTCCCGTTGTTGACACGAAGTTTCCCATCTTTAGGTCATCATGCAGGCATACTATTATTTAAAGCAGCCATATATCATGTGTGAAGGAAAAGTGCCAAACGTCATAGGCTAGCCCGCGTTGTGATACACAGGACGAAGGCCGTGGCCAAGGCGAACGTCTTTCATAATTTGTCCTACGAGGTATTAGTGCAGTCCCACATTCAATAGACAGTTGGTTGTCTATGTACCTGACAAAATTATAAATGCGATCGCCCTTCACTTCAAATGCACTGCCAGCGGTCATGCAATCCCACGGCCCCATATGTACAGTCAAGCGCTAAACTAATGTGTAGTGACCTGCATTTATAAGATGCATAAGAGCGTTGTACCTACATAACCTTGTGCTTGCGCCAAGCTTCCGTCATGTAAAGTATCGCCCTCTTTTCGAGGGCTTTAGGCAGCCAAAAATCCTTGGAATGCTGGGGGATAATTATGCACAAATGAAAATGACAACGGAGCTAGATCTTACAAATTACCATCTTCCGGACTTGACTAGTGTGGACATTGAGTCGTCGCTCACGGTATGTATGATGGATATCGAGGTTGAGGTCGGTGTCTTCCTAACCCTGTACGGTTACTTGTCATCAGGCAATTGACCTGACTGCTAACCGTCTTCGGACCATCGATCCGCGCATACTCCAGCTCCAAGGTATTCGATCCCATCCTTAGCTAACTTATGTATTGCGTAACTATAGCTGTACATACTGTTTGCTCAGGGCTGCGTAGCATCAACTTTCGCCAGAACCTTCTTGCGAACGTATCGGCTTGGAGCACTGGCGAATGCAAGGGCGCGCTTGAAGACCTCGAGTTTAGAGACAACCATTTATCGACGGTGATACGCTGACCTGGGGATCGGGGGAGAGAATGGGCTTCCGGGAGGCGGCACGGGGAAGCGCGGGTTCCAACGAGGGTGCAACCTTGCTTTTGGTTGCAACCGTTGGCGAGAACCGCGGGAAATGCGTAAAAGCAGCATGCACAAGCTGACCATACACTTGAATGGGGGCGCAGCTGACGAAAGTTGAGCTATGGAAATCCTCACGCGTGCAGATACCATGCTTGCAAGGCTTCTTGCAATTACGGAGGCTGGACTGTTCCTACAACCAGGTAGGTTGGCCCCGGCGTTGAAGCATCTGTTGGGAACTTTCCAACGAATAGGTGTGAGCACGTGTTCTAGCCTTCCTCCTACTCTGGTACGGTTGCTATCTATCGCCTATACCAAGTGTCCTCAGGCGACCTTGCCCTTCTGGGTGTTTTTATAACTCCCCAATGCACCAAGTCCACCAACGGCAGAAGTCGCCGTCATGTATGTATCTTGCCTTTTGCAAGGATGCAGGCCGGGCCCTGAACTGCGATGTGCGCCGCGCCAAAGACTTGAACGTGGCTGTCTGCATCACCACCTGTTAAATTTTCTTGCGCATGAGATCTTGGCTTGAGGGGTGCACGGGGTCCTTCGGGCTGTGTCTTGTGTGCAAGGTCAGGAATGCATTCGGGGCCGCCGTCCGTGTATCCGACATATCCGCGTCACAATGCGCCGTAAGGGACCCTGTGCAGCCAGCCGCACGGATTGAGGACCGAAGCCCTGAGAGCTCGCACCTGTATCCATCGTGTTTCAGACCTCATCTCATCCCAGCCGGCAACAACGTTCAGCACCCTAGTCTGCATCCTAGTCCTCAAAGAAGGCCCCCGAGGGCGCCGTCTTGCTGCTGCCACCTTGTTTCCCATGCTCCCGCAATCCTAAGCTTCAGCCCTTAACTGCATTACTTCGCGATGGACTAAGCGTGTCACAACCATACGTACACATCCTTCGCGCATCCTTCCCTGCGTATCGTTCGCCGGCCGCAACCCTGCACAACGCCCGCTTCCGGCCACAGATCCGCAACCTGCTCCCCCTGGCGGACCTGAACTCGAGTAAGCTGGAAGAGCTGTACGTCGCCAACAACAAGGTGACCGCTATCGCGGCGCTATCTCACTTGACGTCGCTGACGCTGCTGGAGCTGGGCTCCAACCGCATCCGCGTCATAGAGGGCATCGCAAGCCTGACGGGGCTGCAGGAGCTATGGCTGGGTCGCAACCGCATTACGAACGTTGACGGGTTGACCACTCTGGTGAACCTGCGCAGGATATCGTTGCAAAGCAACCGGTGGGTACGGTACAAAATGATGTGGTGTGGGGGGCCGGGGAAGAGGGAACCGGAAAGGCCGGCGGGGTGGAAGACGGCCGCGGGACGGACCTACACTGCATACAGCTTGCAAAAAGTGGAGGTTGGGGGGCGACTGTTGTGCGGGGTGGCGCCTTTTGGGACAAGGATCCGTGAAGGCTGTGGACCGCATATTCCAGGCAAGCCAGGTGTGGGGTTAGGGTACTTTGCTCCTTTGTCGCACACACATAAGCTTAAGTGCTCAAGTCCTTCCCACGCACCACTGGGCAGCCAGCTAGGCGGAATCCATTCCTTCATCCCTCCAGCTATGGGGGCGAGGAGTAATGTTTTGGTTCGCTTGCCTTGTTCTTTTGTTCTGAACCCCGCAGCTTGACATCTTCCACCGAACCCCTTTTGCCCTTTCATGGCCTTCAACTCCAGCTTGACGTCCATGCTGGGTCTGGAGGCGTGCACGGCCCTAGAGGAGCTGTACCTAAGCCACAATGGCATCGCCACTCTGGAGGGTCTGGGCCCCCTGACACGGCTTAAGATCCTGGACGTGTCATCCAACCGGCTGACTGCGGTGGACCCCAGCGCCCTGGCCACGCTCACACAGCTGGAGGACCTCTGGCTCAATGACAACCGCATTCCGGCCATCGACGCGGCACTGGACCGGGTGTTAGACCCCGTGCGGCACAGCCTCACGTGTATCTACCTGGAGGGAAATCCGGCGGTACGTGCTACTGTCAGGCGCACCCCTGCAGCCTGGCTTTACTTTGTTTTGCTTCCTCCTTCGATCTTGTAGTCTTGTGGTTTTCAATTCCGGATTTTGCCTCTTCCCGTGGTTTTGCAGGCAAGCGACCCCCAGTACAAGCGTAAACTCGTGAACATGCTGCCCAAGCTGAAGCAGCTGGACGCCAACTTCTTGTGAGGGTGTCTGGCAACCTCTCCTTTATTTGTCCGTCCGTCCGTGTCCCCTTGGAGTCATTCCCGCCTGACCGTGCTACGTGGTGCAGGCAGCTTCCACCCGAGCTTCGTTGCAAGGAAGGGCAGACCTCAAGAATCCTTCATGTGGTATGCCATACGTGAAAAGTTGAGAGGAGGGGCCGGTCACTTGCATTTCGGGGTCCCGTCTGGGTTGGTGGCACTTGGACGGGTTTAAGGTTCCGGTCGGTGTTGTCACACGGAGCTTGATTACCTATTGGTGTGCGCCATGAAAGCGGCTGCACTCTAGCTGAAATGTTGCGGCGTAAAGGTGCCGTCGTGGTGATCGCGACAGCAGAGCGGGAATCCCAGGAAACCCGGGGCCAGTGATTCGGATGCCTCGTGTGGTGTGTCCTGGCTTGCTGGCAAACGAAGATATAGGCCACAGGGGTCAGTGTCTGGGGTCGTTCGCCGGGTCCATGTGGTCTGTTGCGCGGCCCGCCGAAATACGCAGGAGAGCTGCGGCGGAATCACAGCAACCCCAATGGCTTTGGTTTGGCGTGCAGCCGTGTCCGAGTGAGCGATTGCGATGCGATTGTGGCAAATTTGGGAGTGTACGTGCTCTGCTTCCTCCGTTCATTCATGCGCAGCTGGATGCCGTGTGTCCGTCGCGGCTTTCCTGGTATGGGTCCATGATGTGGTCTAAACGAAGCTTCTGCAAGCGCATGCACGCATGCCCCGTTGACTGGGTTACCTAGGCTGGTTCGAAGACCGAGGTTTCGTGATTGCCTCGAAGTGTGGTCTTTCCTAAGTCCTCCGGCCTCATGCATGCCTGCAAACGATACCGAACGCGGCTGGAGAAGGGGCGAAAAAAGGACCATGTGGGGGTTGGGGCCATCCACAATGGACATCCTGGAGGACCCTTCCTGTTCATGAAGCCAGTGATGGCAGTGCAGTGCAAGTAGGAAAGGTGCAAGGATATGTGTAGATGTTAGAATGTGAAAGGGGTGCAGGCGACATGCTAACGTTGCTGCGTCCGTGTCGTCCAAGCAGGTCCATGCATGCTGCATGGAGGCATGCCGGAATGATTTGCAGACCGTGCGCGACATGTGCATGATCAGCAGGGTTCTCAGCTATGGATGCAACGCAGTAAGAACAGCGAATAATAAAAGGCGCTTGTACAGTTTGGCGAGGCGAGTTTAGCAGATAGGCATCAAGGGCTGCATTGAAACCGCTCTTAACGCGTATTGTATTACAGATTTCTCATGTTTCATGTTGTTCGACTATTAATGGCTTTAATGTGCAGAGCTGTATGCACTTGAGAAGAGGTTAAAAGCTACGCTGTTATTTGCATTTGAGACTACTTGAGCAGCGCAAAAGAGTACGAAAGGGTCTTTACACGTAAGGGTAAAAACGCAACGGAATGAAATGCCGGACATGGGTGGAATTTGTGTCGCAGGCACTTGTCACCCCGCAGGAATCGTAGCTAAAGTGGAACCACATGCGTCGTATCCTAGTTCACATGGGCACGGGAAAGTAGTAACCATCGCTTCCACTCGCAAGAACAGTAACAGAAGCTGACTTGAGGACTTACAAGGTGCTCGTAAGACCTCGTAATGCAAGGACAGAGTAGCATCCCCAAAACACAGCGGTCTAAGCTTGCTTCGGACACGGTACTTAGTGATACCAAAACCAGGCTGGGCCTGGTCGAGATGGAAAGTTCCACTGAGCTGTTTTGTGTGCTTCAAATACTAAAGCCAGGTTTCACCTAACCAGCCATGGGGCTACTTTTGCTTAACTATCCTAGAAATTGTCTGTCCATTGTAACAAAAGGTTAAGGGAGTTTGTATGGCATGACTTATATCCCAAACCTGGATGGCCGGTCTGGAACCGGAAGCTGCCCTTACGGTCACTGGGGTAGTATAGGCAAGATTGCATAGTTGTACTTGCGTGTTTTTATCTACGATACATGTATTTCCCTCTATTGTGCCTGCGTAAGGACATGCCGCCTCAGCTCCACATGTCGTACAGGTGCCCTAACCGCCTGGATGGGGTCCACGTGCCTTTGGGATACAACTGTGTTAGTTTTACTCAAGAGAGATGCAGACTGGTGGCAAACACCTTCGTCATTGAGTTGAGGTTCTTGTGTTGGCGTATATTGAAAGAGAAGCTCGAATTAGTCATACGCGTTCCTAAGCTTGCGCCGAAGCAAACGAAGACAGATTTTAACTATGTTTTGTTTACTTGGTACTGTTATTAAGCTTTACTCACAGGACACCTGCATATAGCTGCTACATTATGGTTGTCTTGCCACTCCTCCTTTTCTTTTTCCTCGTGGACCACCCATGTGTCCTGGGTCGTGCGGTTGGCCCAATTACGTCAGTTAACGAAATGCTGAATGCGCTACGTGACGAGTCAGTCGACCAGGTTTTCCTTGGGCCGGGAGTCTTGTCTTTGGACGCGCTGTCCGCGTCGGCAGGTGGCGGCCTTTCCATAGGTCCAAATCGCCGTGTGGAGTTTGTGGGCAGTGTATCCATACAGCAATTATCTAACTCAACGGATTTGAAGTGGCCTTCCGCACAAGGGTTCCAGTTCGCAAGTGGCATCGACTTCGGTAGCAACGCGCAAGGCATTTTCAAATTGTTTGACAATACCACTCTTGGATTTCGTAGTCTTTTTCTATGGCGTTCATTGTCACAGCTTGGCTACGACGCCCAGGTTTTGACTTTGGCCCAGCCGGGTATCAGGTGAGGCTTTCGTTTGAGCTTTCGTTCCATACATAAAAAGGGGATACCTGCAACCTTATCCATGTCAAGTCTCGGCAAATGGAAATTCATGCGCGATGTAGTCTGTATCCCATCCCGTGGGCGTCCTGTGGGCAAGCTGTTTCCCCTCCTGGTTAACTACTACTTGCTAACCTTCGCTTTCCCCGCTACATACGGAAACTAAACTGCAAGTTGGGTTATGCATTGCTTTATATACCAATCTCATGTCGTTCCCGTCGGCTTCCCTTCTATTTTAGGGCCGGAGTTCGGTTTATTCAGACTGTGAAGCTACGGGACGGCTGCCTTCCACTCCAGATCTTCGTGCAGCATGTCACGTCTTACACACGGCTTGCGACCAAGGGAGGGCAGCAGACCGCCTCTTTGCAGCCGTTCTGTTACGTGGCCCCTCCTGGAAGCCCTGCTGGCTGGGACTCAGCCAACGGCAGCAGCAGCCGCAGCAGCAGCAACACCAGCAACGTTACTTGCGCACCTGAAGTCTTGGTGCGTAACAAGCCAAGGGTTCTGGCGGGGCGGGGCGGGTACGGGCTGAGATCGCTGAGGTGACAGAGATGCACAGCTGCTATTACTACTAAGCCTACCAATCCAAAACCGTCAGACCTTTGACGTTCCTTACGCCCTCTGGACTACTGCTGGTCAAAATGCCGTCCTGTCCCGCACATCGGTGGCCTATTTCTTGGGGCCACGCTTCGTTGGGAAGTTGTTGTCAAGTGGCCGGCTCGCCATCTGCCATATTGCAGCTCCCCGCTTCAGCAAGAGAATCCGGAGGCTCCGGGGAAAGCTCTCCATCGCCCGCCGCACCGGGGGGCCGCCGCACTTGGGGGAGGGTCATCCGCGCACCGCCTCTGGCATCTTCCAATACCTCCCCCCCTTGCAGCACCGCGGCCCCAGCAGTTTGACTCAATAATTAATGCAGTTTTAGCAAAGAAACACATAACTAGGTTTCAAAACGATTAACCTTTTTGGCTCCGCCTCTAGCTAAACGAATTTTAACTGCCATAACTTCACTAATTTACTTAATTTTGTTCCCTTAGGTCATCGCCTATATAGTAGGAACAACTCCAAGAGCAGTATGAGAGAAGTTTAAGATCAATTAATTTAGCTTCTGAGATATTCTCAAGAACAGCTATTTCGGAAGCAAGCCTGTGAACAGCGTTAGTGTCCTGAAATTCATCAATTAAAATAAATTTAAGTTTATTTTGGTAATATTTAAGAACTTCAGGAAAAGAAACAAGACTGAATTTGAATATTAGGGTTTAATTGATGGACACCACGAAGTTTTAGTGGCAGTTGGCTAAATCTAGCAATATTTGTGGGTAATAGTAAGGGTGTATTTCCAGTGCGGATTAAGGCCAGGGATTAACCCTCTGTCCTCCATCGATACTTGCTCAAACGGCTAAGTTGTTGGCAAACTTACCTCGCCTTTTCAACCTTTGGTTCCCTTATGGAACGAAACTACGTGGTAAGCTCGTACCAAGGACTTCCGTGCCCTAATCCCTGGCCTTAATCCGCACTAGAAATGCACCCTAAGTACCACCTGCAGGAGCTTTAGTCCGTACGCTCAACCTATTAGGTGCCAGTATACTAAAAGATATATCAACAGATTGCAGATTGCAACAGAGTCAAAACCGGGCCAGGGATCCGCATTCTCGTATGGCAGCTTGCCGCGCTGTAAGCCACATGGTCCTAAGGTTTGTCGCAATATAATTCCCACCCGGTTCGGATCAGATCGAGCAGGTCAGGGGTTTTATACGTGCGCTTTTTTGCTTTTGTTTTTGCTTTTATATATAATGTAACCTCTTATGGATGATGCATAATCATAAAGATGATTGAGCTGAAGGGCCTCCACGCACCGTTCGCCGTTTCCAGGCGATCGACGACTTGGCCACGAGCATCACTCGTCCCAACGGCCAGTCGTACGACTTGTACGAGCAAAAGAGTACGTACTGGTGCCGCGCTTACGCCAGCATGTCGTGCCTCAGCGCTAGCGGACCGGAGCAGTGCGTCAAGGAGCTACTAGTCGTTAGCAGCAGCGGCACAGCTCTGCCCAGTGCGGAGAGCGATGGAAGCAAGTTGACCAACATTCTGTTGCCCGCCATCCTGACAGGTACGGCACGATACGGCGCACGGCACCAGGCCCTTACCATTAATGCCTCGTGACGGAATCATGTACGGCGTTACGCAGCCGGGTGGTTGCCTGTGAAGACCCTAGATGAGGACCCCTTGGGCACTTTGGGACTGTGGGACTTGTCGATGTTACCATACCAGCCTGCATCTGTGTCTTGCTGAGTGTCCACATCGCTGCCAGGCAATAGTATTGGCTTTTCCATCGTATCCTCTGTTTCTGTAACTTGGACGAACTAGTGCTGGATGTGCAGATATACAATACATACATATGTGTATGTATGTGTATGCCTTGGGTCTGTTAGACCGAATGAATGAACCACCCCTGAGCCAACCAAAACCATAAAACCCACGCCTCTCCCCGGAACCACACTTCCCCGGCCCCCCCAACACGGTCCTTCCCGGGCCCGAACCACATGTTTGTTCGACCCATCAGGTGTGCTGACCCTGGCCTTCCTGTCCGCCACCGTGTGGTGTATCCACCGACGGGGTGCCGCACAGCGCGGCAGCTCTCTACGCTTTCAAGACTTGGATCCCGACGCGGAGGCAGCAGCGGGTGGGGGTGGGGGTGGGCCCCGAGGTGTCGGGGCTCGTGTGGGGGGTGCGCTGGCGCGGCTACTACCGGGGACTGCAGCTTGGGACGTGCAGCGAAGGAAGCCCAACGTGCAGGTCAGTCAGTACGGTTGGGCGTGCGGCGGCCGGACGGGAACGCACACAGCACACTGCACGGTTGGAACCGCTCGTCCCACTGTCGGGCAGTCGGGGGCTTTGAGTCGGATGATGCGGCATGGAACCTGGTACATACGGCAATCGTACGTAGAAAGGGGCGCTGTCTATCCCCCCCTACCCATCCCACCATCCCTACCCAACACATCTTGCTGGCTAGGTGTTGGTCTGTCTTGTGGGAGCCGGGAGGGTGGGGGAGGTGGGGCCCTCGGAGTGTCTCCGGAGCTTGGGGAGCACTGGCGGCCATCCCGGGGTCTGCGGTCCGCCGCGCTCCTGGTCCTCGGTGGTTCGCTACTGAAGAGGGCAGGGTCGGCGAATGCAGCATATCGGCACAGGCGCCATGGGGAAGACTCTCCATCTCTCTTTCTCCCTGGATGTCTTTTTTAGCTCTGTGTATAAAAACCCCGCCTCCCAACCCCACTTTCCTGCAAGGTGGCAATTCCGGTGCGCGCGCTGAATGATATGATGAGACGCGAAGTTCCCTCTTTCCGCCCGGCCTATCGGCTCCTGCCGCCTCCTGCACCCCGACACAGGTTCAACCTACCTCCCGACAACCAACACCCCAGCCCGCCCGCTCCCTCTTCCCAACCCCGCAGGGCTATGTGCCTGTGGTCAGCAAGGAGGCGCTGGACCGTATCGCCAAGGTGAATCGGTTATAGCAGTGGAAGTGGAGGTGGGGGCCGGGGACGTGCGGGGGTGGGGGGGTTAGGATTGGGTGTATGGGGTGGTTTGGACGTTTGGACGGGGAGATCACGGTTGGCGTCCGGGGTCTACCTCCTTTAGAATGTGTGGGGGGGTTGAAGGTGGGTGTGCATGGGTAGCAACGAGGCGGCTTTACGGGGGGAATGTTGCGGGTGCAGGGTTAGCCCTGCTATTTATTGCAGTAGCTGCGTGACGGTTCCCTTACTGCCCAAATTTCTCTGCCCTGATTGGGGCGGCCCCCAATTACGGTTCGCCAACTTGTTCATCCCGACTTGAGTTGACTTGCCTCTTCCCGTCAGGTCCGTGCCGAGCTGAGCAGTAAGATGGTGGTGTCGTCCTCCAGTGATGACCTGTCGGACGTACGGAACCTGCAGCTGGTGGGCAAGGGGACGTTTGGCAGGGTGTATAAAGGTAGGTGATGGTGGTGGGGGGTGAGGAAAAGTGAGGGGAGAAAGAAGGGGTGAGAGGAGGAGGCCCCCCAAGTCAAGTGGGCGGCGGCGGCTTTAGCCCTTCGGTCAAGTTGTCTGGTGATGGATTGGGTGGGTTCAAGGGCTGCATGGCTGTGTTTTGTGTGGCTGTCTTGGCGCCTGGCTTGGCGCGCTGGGGGACGGTATGAGCGTGTTGGGGCATTTGGGGTTTGGGGGTTTCCGACAACCCCCCGCACACTCGCAGGCGAGTGGAAGGGCGTCACCGTGGCGCTCAAGGTGATCAGTGTGCCGGTGAGCCAGTGCGGCCAGGCGCAGTGGCAGCAAGTGCTCGGGGAGGCGGCCATCTCCACGCTGTTGAACCACCCTTGCGTGCTGCAGGTGAGACTGGCCGCTCAGAGAGCTCACGGAGGCGGAAGGGGGGGAGGGGTGGTGGTGGGAAAAGAGGTAATAGCGCATAGCTAAGTGGGGGTGCTAGGGGGGCCCCGCTACATGACATGAAGAACAGCAGTACGTACATCTTGGCTGTAGGAGCAGGAGTTGGAGGGTTACCTGTCACTGAGAGCCACGTGTGCTGAACCACTCGACGGTTGTTTGTTTCTAACCAACCGATAACTTCCGGGCGTTTATTTTTAAAAACAAATACCGCGCTGGGGCCTCTGCGCCTCCCCCCACCACCACCACCACCCCTGGCAGCACCTTCACTCGTTCGTGGTTCGTCTTTCCCCCACCCCCCCCAACACCCGGGTCGGCCTTAATCGCCTCCTGTCTTGTTACTAGACGTGGGTTGTAATGACCGTTACGCTCTTGGCAGATTACAGATTTGACCCTTTGTTTCTTGCGTTGTTGCGTTCTCCCCCGCCGGCGCACCTAACCTCGCCTCAGACCTACTCCGTGGCGCTGCTGGAGTACTCGCCTGCACTGAAGCCGGTCAGCAATCCCTCTGAAGACGGCGCGTAGGTGCTGTCCTTGCGTGGTCGTGCACCGGGCTGACGAGGAACGCTTAGAAGGCGGGTGGGCTAGGTGTGTGACGACGAGAGGGGCGTGACGTCTCCTTTAACCGCTTTGATGTGTGTGTGTGTGTTGTGAAGTGTGTGCCGTTTGGCGTCGGTCGTTGCAACGCAGGGCGAACGGCGCGTCGTCTGGAGAGGCGGGTACTCCGTCACCACCGCAGCAGCAGCAGCCCGTGTCCGTCAGCGGTGCGGCTGCGGACGACTTGGTGCCGTTCTACCAGCTGAAAATGGTTTCGGAGTGAGTTCAGTGATTTAGCACCGACAGCGAGCGCTACTCTTGGCAGGATTGTGGCTTGCTAGTACGGCATTGTCGTGCTCCGCTGCACACGCAGCCCGTGCTTGCTTGTGATGTAAACGTTCTTGTGTTGCTGCTGCTGTGCTCAGGAAATTGCTGCTGCGATGTTCATTGGCCATTTGTCGCGCCGACACGTTTGTGTATGTATGTATGTATGTATGTATGTATGTGTGTGTATAAGTGCTGCACGGACTCGTGTCATGTCTACAGGTTCTGCGAGGGCGGGTCGGTGGTCGGGGCGCTTCGGCGGATGCAGTTTTACGACTCGATCGGTGAGGCGGGTGGCGAGGGCCTCCTGGGGGGGGGATACTCCGCTCTGCTCTGCGTCGGGGGCGAAATCTGCATCTGTATTTAGACAGGTCGGGATCTGGGTCGTCATTGGGCTGGAGGCTAGGGAGGGGAAACGAGGGAGCTCCAGTACGGGAACACCGCACGACACTGTACGACACGCCGTGGCACTGTACAGGGGCACAGGGCCGCATTTAACCCACCCACCCGGGGCCTCTGCCGCACTCGCAGGCGGCGGGACGGTTCGCTTGCCGGCGGTTGTCGACATCGCCGCGCAGGTGGCGTCTGGGATGACGTACCTGCACTCGGCTAACATCGTACATGCGGGTGGGTCTGTGTGTATTTGGGGGGGGGGGAGGGGAAAGGCCAGGGAGCGGATGCGGTATAAAACTGCGCACGCACTTGTGCTGGTTACGAATTCATATTTATGGAGGTGAAGATTCCTCCTTGCGGAATTGTGTTTATGTTTGATGAAGTGAGGCGCATCTGTGCGTGTGTATGTCTGTTTTTGCATTCTCTAGAGGAAGCACCCCTCGCCTTTCCCCTTTACCTTCCCCGGCGGTTGGTGGTTGGCGCAGATTTGAAGGCTGCCAACGTGTTGCTGAAGCAGCAGCCCGGCAGCGGCCGGTTGCAAGCCAAGGTTGGGGACTTCGGACTGTCCTTCAGGCTGGAGGAACCGGAGGCTACGCACGTCACCAAGGGGCAGCTGGTGAGAGTCGCATTGGATGCGCGCCTGTGTATGTATGTATGTACGTATGTGCGTGTGCTTCCCCTCACCATTCCAATCCCCTCCCCCCTTCATGTTTACCTCCGCCGTGCCAACATCACTACCCTCCGGGGACCCGCTATGTCCCCCGGGCCGCCCCTCACCTCACCTCACCTCACCCCACCCTGTAGGGCTCTATTACCCACATGGCTCCAGGTATGTGTGTGGGGGGGGAAGTCGTGGGGGCCCGGGGGGGGGGGAAGATGACAGAATGGAGCAACCTTGGGGGGACTGGCTGGTTGGGTGGGTTGGGGATAGTGGTGGAGGTGATAGTGGTAGGGGTGGGTGGGGGTTATGGGCGGGCACGGGATGGCGCTCGCCCGCCTGGTGCATCAGGCGGGAGACGTGAAGTCGCAGTGGTTCAATTGGCACTACTTTTGTGAAGGAGGAGGGCGGCTGCCAGTTGTTGTGAGATCTCACCCCCCCCCCACACACACACACACACGCACCCTCCCGTTTGACCTCCTACACCCCCTTCTGAGAACCGCATCGGGACATCGGCAGTCGTTCTATTTTGACATGATTCACCCCCACACCGGGTATTCCCGGCCCTGTTTGTGTTTGTGTTGTGTGCGCATATGTGTATGCGTGTTGTGTGTCTGTGTGTGTTTGTGTAATTCGCCACCACCCTCCGTCACCCGCTCTTCATGACGCGCCGCAGAGGTCCTGGTGCACGGCCGGGTGTCCAAGGCGAGTGACGTGTACAGCTTTGGCATTCTGTGTAAGTGTGTGTGTGGGGGGGGGGAAAAGGGAATGCGGGGCTGCCGGGGCTAGCTGCGGGGCGTGGGGGCGCCCGATGGGAGGGCTTTTAGCAGCGCGCACATACACACACACACACGCACACACATCCCCCTTTGCTGCAACCCAGTTCCTTCCTTCCCTCGACACATATTTCTCATCCCTCGCCTTCCCGTTTCCTGACACTGCCGTACTGTCTCCCCCCCCCAGTGTACGAGCTGTACACGGGGCAGCAGGCCTACTGGGACGTGCCACAGCCCATGCTGGCCTACCACGTGGCTACAGCCGGGGGTAGGCCTCTGCTGCCCGCCCACTGCCCACCCGCCTACCGGGCCCTGGCCAAGGTCTGCTGGTCGTCGGAGCCCGCCGCCAGGTGCGTGATAGGACAGCAGTCTGTCACAGCGCAGTTCCTTGAAGGCACCTGAGGGTCTGCGGCGCAAACAGTGGCTTGTTGGTTCGCTGGTTGCCACGTTCTGTGGTCCTCTCCGCGTCTCGTTGCGTTGTACGGGACGGAGGCGGATGTTCTGCCATGTCGGAGTTCATTTTTCGGGGGGGCTCAATTAACATGGGGCTTTGTTTTCTCTGTTGTTGTGGAGGCCGTGTGTACGACCGCACTCCATCCCGATGTTCATACGTACATACATACCTACATATTGTTATGCAAACGACAGCGTGCATTGTGATGCCCTGCGCTGCGTCCTGCACCAATTGATGCTAAAGTACCACCATGCATTGAAGTGTTGGCCCGCCGTACAGTATTCTGTTTAGAAATGGACCAGGTCTGTCATACATGCTAAGAAACCATTCGCTTCCGGCATATTCAATTTAATTCAAATCACGCCCTTCTTCCCGTTGGGAACCGTATCTGGCATGCAGGCCGACATTTCAGGACGTGTACAGGCGGTTACAGCTCCTCGCGGAGGAGGTGCACGTATCCATGTCAGCGCGCCGGTCCGTACGGAGCGGCGGGCCGCGTAGCGAGCCACCCTTGGGGCCGGACGCCGCCGCCGCTGCCGCCGTTCCCGTCGCCGAGCCCATCATCTACGGCGGTGTGATCTCCGCCGACGGCCAGCTCCTACCCGGGGGCTGCGTCTTGGAAGCTGTAGTCGACATCGGTACGAACAAATGCGGATGTGTGGCGCCGCCACCCAGCCAGGTGACGAATGCAGGGGGGCCGGCGGCGGCGGCGCCAACAACGCCGACGGGGCACCCTTCGCCGCAGCCATGTGAGGGTTTGGCGGTGACCCCGCATCCGCCACAACCTGAGCCTTCACCTTGCCTGGATATGTAGTTTCGGGGGCGGTCTGTTGATGTTGGTGTTGATGTGGTCCCCGGGGTAGGTCCAGGAAGGGGCCGGAGGCTCAACAGTGGGCTGAGGCTCAGTCGGCAGCACTTGCAGCGAGACGCTGCCGCGGTGGCCTCTCCGCGCCAGGCTGATCACCCGCGTCGGCAGCCGAGCGCCTTCTGCAGCAAGGGAGGGAGGAGTGAGCTTGGTTGGCTTCGCGGTTGGCGCATACCTCCCATCACCAGGAGGTATGCACTGACGGCCAAGCCGGGGTGGTTGCTGCAGGGGAGGTCTGGTGGTCGGTGTGGCTGGTGGGGGCCTCCCTCCCCTCCCCTCCTAGAAGCTGGGGGGGGGAATCGTTGCGCCTACCTGCGGGGGGGTGCGCTCGGGGGGGGCGAGCTGGCGGTGAGTGGCGTCCCTGGGCCGGGGCCCTGCAGGCCGGGGGCGGGCGGGCGGATGGGCAGGGAGAGCACACCACATGCGGGCGGCCCAGAGGCAAGTGGCTGAAATGGGAGAGGAGGTGAGCAGGAGGAGGAGGAGGAGGAGGCTCTTGCACGAAATTGAGGCGCAAGGCTTGTGTTGTGCTGTGCCAGGGTGTCGGAAAGGCGGTGGGCAGCGGTGTGATGTTTCGATTCCGGCGACTCACAACTCCGGGACTTCACGACTCGTATATGATGGATAAGTGGGTCGAAGGCGGGAAATGAGTTTTGGTTGGTGGTTGGAAGAGGAGGGGTGCCATGTGTTCCTGCTGCTCTTCGGCACTGAATGGTGAGTGCTGGTGCTGGA